TCTGTGATTTATTTTACTAGTGGTAACAGTTTGTAAAATGCCTCTTGCAAATTTAGATGTTCCCTGGCAAAAGGATGATTCCGGTGTTCAGGTAAAACATGTTGATTTTTTGTTTATAATTTACACCATAAAGTAGAGTCTTCTCAGACTTTCATTTCTTTAATGTCATTTAATGTCATTTTTTTCTTTTAATTTAAGTCCCGAAGAGATACCATCGATTGATAGTAATGAACAGGTTCAACAAATGGAAACTGATGGTTCAACTATCGAGGTTACACATGTTACCAAGGAGGGTCATCCAGCTGCTGATCTAGACCAATTTGCATTTTAAAGTTCTAGGTGAAAGATCATCTGGTAAAGTTTATATGGCCAAGAAAACAATTGGACCGATGCAGGCACATTGTATGCCATGAAAGTCTTGAGAAAGGCAACTCTCAAAGTTCGTGATAGAGAGCGAAGTAAAATGGAACGAGATATTCTAGCTGAGGTTTATCATTGAATTGACTGATTTCGGCTTGAGTAAAGAATCTCTTGTTGATGACAAAACATATTCTTTTTGTGGAACCGTAGAGTACATGGCACCTGAAATAATTAATCGTAAAGGTCACACTGTGGCGGTTGATTGGTGGTCTTATGTTAACCGGAGTATTACCATTTCGTGGTGGTTCCAGAAAAGAATTGGCTGTCTTGTTTTTTAGTTTAACTCTTTAGCTTATTTACATATGGAAAACCCGAGAAGGTGAAAAACGAATGATAATTATGATGTTAATTTGTGTTTCTCAGATAATCTCGTGTAATATTTTCTGATTCACTAGTGAATAAGTCTTGTTTACAATGAAAGATTTGTTTTATTCAACAATTATTTTAAACAATAAAATGGCAATTTTGTCTTTTGTTTTTATATATAAATTTGATATTTTCATGTAAAATGATGTTCATTTGTGTTTAATAATAATAATAATAATGTAAACGATAACATTTTTTAACCACACATTGTTACAATAATGTAATTTTTAGCATTTGTGATTTAAAAAGAGAGATTTGATGATGTTTGTTACAGTGGCAATAGTTGATTTTTGGAGATTTGTTTTTTGTAGGTTGGTTTTATTTGTTGATTGGTTGAATTGTGAATTTAACTTAAATAAAATTAAAATATATATTTAGTTAATGTCTTTTCATATGAAGAGATAGATGATCTGAGCGTGAAAAAGACCGTTGACACAGTTGACACTTGAATGGTTTTTGTCCGGTGTGCTTTCGATAATGGCGTGTTAATTCATCTGAACGAGCAAACTTCCATGTACAACCTTCCCAATTACATGTATATGGCTTTTCGCCTGCGAATAAAGGGAGAGAGAAAGAGAAAAAAAATACAGAACAATGTATTAATAATCAATTATTAAGCTCATGATTGACATCTATCAATAATGGATAGTGAAAACAAGGAGTAAGCAAAGAGATAGAGAGAAAGAGAAGAGAATTAAGACAATTTTATAACAATTATCAACACGACAATTATCATTATCACCATTATAATTTTCATTTTTTACCACAATGATACCGAGCCACTCGAAATAAATTATCAATACCAGCTCAACTCTTTCTCTATTATCGTTAGTGTTGTCGGTAGAAATGCATGTAAAAACAAAAACATTCAGACAACAGATACACACACATAAAAACAAGAGGTTGAAGCAAACAAAAAAGCTTAAAATTGAGAACACAAAATTTTTAAAGGGAAAGGAAACCAAACATATCCTGATTACAGATATCCAAATTGAAAAGCACTCTTAATGACACAATCACTGGTAATGTAATAATGATGATAATGTAAATGAAGGAACCAGAAAAATGGTGAAGAGAGGTTGAGAAGAAAGGAAGAAAAGGAAGCAAAAAATGGAAAAGAAAGAGATGATTATTTAAGAAAACAGAGAAACAAAACGAGGATAAATGGTGAATAATCCAGTACCTGTGTGAGTTCTTTTGTGAGCTTTTAAATGGGAACTTTTGGTGTACACTTTTTCACATCCTTCAAAGTCACATTTATGCACTTTCCTTCGGCGTAGATTTTCAATATGATAATCAGATGAGGATGAGCTTGAGGTTGATAATGAGGCTTGAGGTGAACGATCAATTTGAAATTTGCAGTAACGTTTAATTACAGTCTCTTTGTAATTTGTCTTTAATGGGTCATTTGTATCTGGAGCACGAACACGCACAGGAAGGGTGAGGTCAAGAACATATTCAGAATCGTCCAGAGCCATATGTGATGATGATCTTTGATTTGTTGACTTGGTCAATCTCGCACTGACAGACGTAAAGACACAAACTGAAAAACATAGATAGAGAGAGAGTGTGTGTGTGTGTATGTGTTTGCTTTAAGAAAGGTAGAACCAAAATGTAGAGAGAGAGAAAGAGAGAGAAAACCCAACTGGCTTAGCCAGCCGAAAAACAAGAATCCTTATTGTTGCTCATTTAGAGTCGACTCAAACTTGTCAGTCTCTTTAAGTTTAAATGAAACAAAGATTTAGTGAAATAAATTGCCACTGGAGTCGCTTCAATCGATACCATTTAAATGTAATTTTTTGTAAATAAAATTGAAAATAAAAATAATTAAAAACTCAACTCAAGTATTGTTTTTCACTTTTTCATTGACAAAATTTGATTTCGGGTGATTGGAACTAGATTGACCTTTAGCCAATGAGATATTTATAGTTGTTATCAATTTCTTGTCACAATATTAATGCTAAATAACTTGATGATATCAATGAAACAAAAGTGTGAATAGTTTATATCAACTAGATTTTGATTAAAAATGTAGTCACTATTTTCATGGGTCAGTCTGGAATAGCTCTTGTTAAACTTATTCAGACGAAAGTATAAGCATTTTAAGTAAGCAAGAACGTGAAATGATCAATATTTCCTAATTTGAGTTCTGGGAATGAGGATTGAATAATGAATTTCTTGGTGAATAGATTTACATTTCCCTTTGAGTAAAGCTCTTTCAATCTTTAAATCTAGTCAGTCACTTTATCTCAATAAGAATCAAAAACGACTTAAAAATAGTAACTAAAAAGTTGAAAGGAGTAGAGCCAAAAACTTTAACTTTCGATTTAATAGGAGTTCAAACTTGATGACTGCGTAGGGTCATAAAAACTGAGTCCAGTAATGCTATTAAAAAACTTCTCTGGTCAACAGTTTTTGATCAAATCGTATCCAAAGTTGAAACTTAGATCGCATTTTGTACAGTTGTGTGACCAGATTTTTTCAAGAAACTCATTCTCCTGATGCAAATTTTGATCATCAACCAGAAAATGTACTAATTTTGAGAAATAAAACTTTTTGTTTTTTGTAAAAAAGATCACTTCGATTTTCAGTTAAATCGGCCGCTTTCTCTGACCGCAAGAGTTAGAGATCTGAAACTCGTTTCACACTGATAAAAATGTTTGGTGAATATGGCTGACCGAAAACTTTTTTCGATTTATAAACAGTTCGCTTGATTTTGACCATTAGCGCAAAAACTTTGGTCCTCAATTCAATCGCAGTAATATCCGAGCCCAAACAGTAAAATCAAATCTCTTCTCGAGACAGAAGCATCTTTTAACACAATCTTTCCTTAAGTGATCCAAGCTACTTTAACTAGCTAGTGACTCCGAAACTATGTTTTTGATTGACCAAATGTCTAGTTTTGATCCAGCAATTGATCCACAATCGCGAAAAGTCAAGAATAGAAACAATTTATCTGTTCTCTCAACTGAAACAAAACTTTCAAATTTACCCAAAATTATTGGCACTCGAGCTGTAAATTTACTGAGAAAATGTTCCAGCAATTTCAAGTCTAACCTTTCAAATTATCCCGTAATTCTTAGTTGTAGCAGTGAATTCGTCACTGCAAAATAACTCAACATCAACAAGATTCAGAATAAAATTGAACGTAGCAACGATCAACGAAAAAATCAGATCATTTCAAACATTTATATCCATTGAAATCAAAAGTTTGTAATATTTCTCGTCTCTTTGAACTTACAATGCAAGTTAAATGAAATTTTAGTCAACATTGAAAAGCAGATCAACTCTTAAATCAAAGCATTTGATAACCAAAATATCGTTACAATAATAATACAAATTAACACGACTTCAATGTTTGGCCAAAGCAATCAGACATGAAATAATAATAAAATCAGATATAATGATAGTCAACTGAAATCTGTAAGCTTCTGCGAATTCGTGATTTCAGTTGTCTTTTGTGCCATTCAAATTGAGAGCTAAGCTCAGAAGTTGACCCAACATGATGCTATTGAGTACTGGATAGACTCGTCCTAATATGCACTTGAATTGATTGTAGCCACAATTATCATAATAAACTGGAGTTAAAGCAATTAATAATGAATTGAAAGTAAACTTAACCAATTATCCAAGTATCAAATTGCACCTTTGAGTGGTTATATCATTGGTCAACATGAAATGATCTAATAATTGCAGACAATTTTCCAATGATGAACAGATTCCAAGGTTTACCTAGAAATGGGAGTAACAAAAAAGAGTAGAAATGATGAAAATCTGAAAGGTTTTGTGCCATTTGCAAAGCTTACCGTTTTTTCATTGCATGTTGGCTTCAAGCATTTCACCTTAACCTAAATCATTGGGATTGTATTGATCATCTAACAGCATCAGTTGCAATTCAACCTTCCATAGACTGAAAGCTTTTAATATTGCACATGCAATTAATCATCAACATCTTCATCATCCTCATTATAAACCTCATCATTGATATCATTCCAAAAAAGATTGTAAATCTTGGAACAGAAGAAACGAGAAGAAGAGAAAAAAGCATTTTTTATGTGAATTTAGCGTTTATTATTTTACCGTTTTGCACACCAAAAAATCAAGGTGACTTGAAAAGTTGAACTTCTTTTACTTTGCTTCTTCAAATATCCTGAAGGCATCACATTATACATCTCAAGTCACAAGATGATAATGACGATGATCACCTTAGCTGATGATAATGATGACACTTGATATTAAATGGACTCACACGTACAAAACAAATAAATGTAAATGGGTAAAGCAAAGTGTTTACCAGTGAAAATGACTCCACGAGATGATTACTGTTAAATCCAAGGTTAAGATCAAGATTAAGAGTATTTTGATTCATTTTATTGCCCCAATAGCTGGACTCAAAAATCTGGAAAGTCGATGAACGTTTGTTCGCGACTATTTGTTTTGATGCATTTTATTTCATTGCAAAATAGCAAAACGACAATATTTTTCATCCCATAAGTGCTGTTAAGAATTGCTTAAATGAAGCGAACTTTATCCAAATCCTTAGCTTGCAAGAAAGCCATGAAAATGGAGAAAACACAGAATGCAAGTTGTTTTCGCTTATAATTTGATGTTATTATTTAACAGCAAAAGGTTTGTTCATAATTACATTGCAGGGAATATTGCAATACCTTGATTTTTCCGTGATTCAGTTTATTGTAAAATGCACTTTGCTAGTTGCATAAATACTGTACATAAATTATGCAAAAAACAAAAGTGTTTTTTAGTTTCCGAGATTTCGCATTTTCCGTCACAAAGTGTTGCATTGGTAAATTTCAACTCCAAACGTCTCATGTTTCACAAATTCATTAATATACTGAGAACGAATCAACTTTTATCATTTGCGATCAATGCAGATCAAGAATGCTCAAGAAAATAGTTTATACCCTTGATTTGCGCGTACCTTAGGTTACCCAATATAATATTATATATGTACAAGTTGTACAGTTAGTACAGTAAATTGTATGATCAATTTGAATCTAAATTGTAATTATTACATTGAATCTGCAACCTTCAACTTTGCGTTGAAATCGTTGGAAAAGCAAGCAAAATTAAACTGCAAATGATTTATAGACAAACTTTAGTTCTAGTATTTAACCAATTGATTGATACCAATCTTCGCAGCAAAGTTGAACTAAAATCAAAATTTCGTTTCCTACTCAGGCTAATCAAACTTCAACCATTACCAATCCATCGTTTAAAGTATTATTTTCGCCTTCAAATCCTTCTTGCAATGCCAGTGCAAAATAAACCAAGTTTTTCATCATTGCTGCAGTATTGTTTAACATTTGAAATTGCGTGGATGGAGGCTAACGAAGCTAATCAGCACCTGTAAAGCACTGGAATCAGCGTTATCGCTTCTTCCTACTTCAAAGTCAATGCAGAATAAAGTTTTTCATAATTTCTGTTGTAGATTCAGTAGTTAATCAAAGTCAAAATCAAATTAGACTGTAATGTACCAATTACTGTCAATAACTCTCCTCTTAAGGTGAAATTGATTGAACAAATTAACCAGGCAAGTTATCAATCTGATGGTTATTTGAATAAAACAGCATTTCAAGAGTAATTGCCTTTTCTCACACAATAAATCAAATTTTGTTTTTTGGGTTCAACAATAGTTTTACTGATACATTTAATCGCTTTTGATTGAAGCGTAGGTTTTGGGCCTTTTATAACAAAACTGGCTAAACATGAGGCTAGAGAATAAATAATTCAATATTTATCTCGATGATTGGATTGATGATGAATTAAACGGTAGATGACAGGTTTAATGTATAATTGATCATCAAAGTTATTAACAGATTGTCATCTTAATTGGCTCTAATTGAATATCATTAATAAGGTTAACATAAAACGAGAAACAAAGATGAAACTAAAGCAAGGTTGTAACAACTGTATTAGCCTTTATAATGATTTAAAGCACACATTCAAGGTTTGGTTCAACTAATTCATGCTCATCATTACCATTAAAGTGATTCAACGAAAATCGCCGTTCATCATCTTTTCATCAGCTCAACATCTTTGTTAATCAGCCAAGTTTAACCGAAAAAAAGTTGAGAGGTAAAGCTGACCAAATATTGTATAAAAGATGAGACGGAAAATGATGATGAAAATGATGAGGATAAAGATGATTGCAATGTACAAGAGTGTATCATCTACGCCCAGCACGTTTCCAGATTTTGATTCAAATTCTTGCCTTCTTTTCACTCTTCTCATCATCAACTCGTCATCTTGATCAAGGAAAGAAGAAACAATTCGTGATTCATGACTGAACTGAAATCGTCAAACCAGAGTCAATGTTCAATCTTGACTTTAAACGTTATCATTATCATTCCATTAACTAATGTTATCCTTTATGCATTAATGTTAGTTTCACTTGTTTCAACCCATACTTTTGGCGATTCAGCAACAACAGATAATTACTAAAATTAATATTTATTTCAATCTTATTTTTTCATTCTCCAGTTTTCTGTCTTTCACTTTGGTAGCCTTTTAATTAGCTACAGTAATAACTAGAGTCAAGACATTCAATTAAAACGAAAGGAATTGACGAAATCAGTCAACATCATATTCTTGGTGGTCTTACCCTGATTCAGTTCCACTTTTGGACAAAACTTGAAGATCAATAAAGATCGAAAGCAATCTTTTCAACTCTTTTCACTCGTGTTTAATCACGCAATTAGCTATACTTGATTGATTGCGAATGAAAAGGACGCAAATTTTATGCACAATTTAAGTTAATTGAATGATTAAAGAAAACATTTATTCTTTCAATTTTGCTGTAAAACATTGAATCGATTCATGGTTTCATTAGAAAATATTTGATTACTTGAATGCAGTGAAGATCAAACATTGATTGATATTAGCAGTGGATTGAAAAGTCGATTGAAAGCTTCATCATTTATAAAGATTTATCATTATTAGTTGCTGGTTATTTCAAGTGAAATTTTAATTAAAAACTGAAAGAATTATCAATTGAACATTTATTTTCTTACCTTTTCTTTCAGTTTGCAAACACGCACTTGGATTTTGTTTTGTGTTACCTTTTTTTGATTATTTACTGATGGTGATCAACAATAATTTGACAGGAATAATGAAATTATACGAGTTTTGCTTGTGAGTATTGGATGATGCCGATGACCGGCTAATTCAGAATCTGGACTTGAATTGTCTTCATTCATAATGGTTGAAACTGTGAGGCCAATTAAGGTTCTCAAAAGATGGATATGAAGAAAAAGCAAAAGGAATCAAAAATAACTTTAAAATGTAAACAGTAACGGAAACAATCCATTTATTCAAGTTATCATTATTATCCTCATCGTTATTATTATTTCATTTTTCATTCGCTACTTATGTGTGTGTGTGTATTAATGGAATTTTGGTGTTTTCAATTGAGAGGCAAATTGTTTATTGCGTGCTTCGCTATTGTCTATGCAAGAGATATCACTGATTAATCAGACTGTTCAGTGTTGATGCTATTTGCATTATTGTTACAAGAAATGAGCAAAATTGAAAAAGCATCGGCTGAATTAGCGTTACATTTGATGTTGTTGATACTTGCAAAGGGTTACAATCAAAATGCGAAGTTGATCAGTTATTGACTCAAAGCTAACTAACGAAAGTATGGTTTGTATCGTGAGGATAATCATACTTTGTAATCGGTTTATGTTAACTCTGATGGCCAAGCATTCTCAGTCCTTTCACCATGTGACAGTTGCAAAAAGAATCTTAATTGCAACGAATGCTTTCGTCTTGCTTTATTTCAAAAGTTTCGTCAAGTATCTTCACAAGTTTTATAATTTGTAAGCTCGATATTAACTTTACCATTTGAAGTCTGAATGGCGGCTATCGAAGTAAATCGTCACTAGTAAAGCACTGGAATCAGTTGATTAAACATGAAAATGTTGACTTGATTGATCAATGATTTTTGTCTGGAAAGATGTCACTTGGTAAAACATTTAATGCGAATTAATCTTGTTCAGTTAATCACTTTGGCTTGAAAATAAGCCACAACAAGGCGAACCAATTGCTCTCTTCTTTCTTGTGGCTAATCATAACCATCTGATTATCATCTTACCATGAAATGATGGGAATGAAACAAATAAAGCCAAAAAGATGTGACATGAGAGTAAATTAATTACAATCAATTATATTGATCCTCAAGGTGTATTAACTGGGAGGTTCAATGGATTGAAATTGCCGTAAGCTTTGTTCAAATGTTTACCAAATGTTCACCATTTGGTTAACTCATCAATAACAACTAAATCAATGCAATTTAAATTCATTGTTTTCCATTACAACCTTTTCTTAATTGTTAGCAAAATGATTAAAATCTGGTCAATCAGTGAATCAGTTTATTAATAAAACTCTTTTAAAACAAATTGCATAAAAGAAGCGCAAAAATGTTATTATTATTTAGACGAGCCGATTACACTAAATCAAGTCCTAAAGGCAGTTTTAAGTCACTTCAATCCATTTATTAAATTATATGAAATATGATTTAACTAAATTACAATTATCTTTAATTGATTATAATGGTAAACAGTGCAATGAATAAATATTTGATCACGAATTTAGTCGTTAACTGTTTGGGATAATTGGATTGATAAACAATTACGAGTTAATTGTATGAGAAGGAAAAGAGAAACTTTGATTAATGATTAAAAGACATTAAAAGGTAAATTTGATGGTTAAAATGATGACAATTAAAAGTGTCTTTCATAAATCACTCGACCGATTGTGACAATTGTACCAAAATTCGTGGAAAAATTGTCTTCCATTGAAAGTAAACATTAAAAGTAAATCGTAATCAAATGTTAACAATCAAAACGTTTAAAGGCGTTTCGAGCGTTTTAAAAGGCAATAATTTTGATTAGAATCATTTTCAATAAACATTTCAATGTTTGAAAAGTTAATTGATTATCCAATGAATAAATGAATTTAATCGTTTAAAGCAATAATTGAAACAAATTTTCCTCTTCAAGGTTTCGTTTTTTCAACGAGATTTACATTTGAAACAATTAATCAACGACTTGATGATTGATGCACCAAATCAAAATTCAGTGTTAATCTAAAGTCGCTCAAAAGTTAAGAATTGTTTTCAATCAACTTTTCAATTTGCAAATGAACGTTAAAATGATTGGAAATGGCGAAGGTTTGATCAAGCAAAAGCAATTGCAATTTAGAGATGAATATTTATAAATTTGGATAGTTTGTAAAGTTGATTGAACGCGAAAATGAAGTTAATTGTGAAAGTGCACTTTACTCAACAATCAATTAATGGTAATTTAATTTAATTTAGTTAAATAATTTCTCATAATGATCAATGATAATCATCATCATTATTGTAATCATTAAAACAATGATAATGGGAAACAAATGGCCGTAAGTTAAACTGGACTTGATTGAAGCTTCAATCAATGTTTACATTTTAACCTGCACGTTACACTATTAATCAAGTTGCTTTATTTTCAAGTAAAAAAAACAATTCATGAATATAAATTGAATGTTCATTTAAATGGTCCTTTTCATCATTTCAACTTTTCTCAAATTCATCTTTCCCTATCATTAGAGTTCCAACTGTTATCATGTTTTAACTCAGTTTGAGTATGAGTTTAATGTCAACTTAGGCCATTTTGGATAACATTTGCATTAGTAACTCGGCATTAGTCGAGAATGAAAATTGATTTTCATTTCTCAATTTCATTGTAAAGATCATTTTCGTTACTCTTTTACATCAAATTTTTCTTGTTTTGTAAATAAATGATTCAAATTGTTTGATAAATAAGTCTATTGTTAATTTAATAGATTCTCAATGGTTACCAACTAACAAGTTACAAATAAATTGTTTGTATTTGCTTGAATAGCAAAGTGTAATTTTTACATTAAACATTTGTAAACTGAGGTTGACTTTAATTTGGTAAATTTAAGAGGAAACTGAAAATTTGGACAAAAAAGAAACCAAAGTTTTGACTAGATTTTTTTTTCTTTTATATTTTCATTCTGAATGATTCTGAATGATTTGGAAGAAATTGTTGCTTTTTCTTTTTCTTCTTTTTTCGCCTTCTTTTGGACCATTTTATTCGTTAACTGGTTCAGGTAAAGGTGATGATATTGGTGTTGTTGTTCCACCTGATGATGAAGGGTTTACTGATGAACCTTGATTGGTTGAGATCGTTCGCTGTCTCAGCATATTGAGTGAATCAAAGAGCGCATCACGTTCCTCTTCAACTGACCTTACTCGAGATTCAAGTCGTTTAATGGTCGATTTAAGTGTTTCAATGGATGATTCAAGGGAGTAAACATTTGACTGAGCCACATGAAGTTGATCAAGAAGCTCCATATTTTGACCTTTAAGCAGCTTATTTTCACTCTCAAGTTCAATTAGACGACTGGCAGTGAGTCCAGTTGATTCACTGGAATCAGGCAAGTTGACAGTTTCCGTTGAACTATCAACATAACAAGATTTAGTTGAAACAACTTCAGGTGAAGTTGAAGTAACAACAAGTGGACTTTCAACGGTTATGGAAGCAATTGGTTCACTTGGTGTTGGAGCGGCCAGGGATGCCGGTATAACCAGGGGAACAGTTGATGGACCTTTGTTTGGACTGAGTCTAGGTATTTGAGACAATAAATTACCTGTAGAACCATAGAGTTCAGTTGAGGTAATTGAACCGGTTGAAGATAATGAGGAAACTGTTGAATCTTCTTGAAGTAAATTGTATTCCGTTTCATAAATAATCAATTGTTTACTTATATCACGGGTTAATACTTGATTGAAAACACGCTCCATTTGAATGGGATTCATTGCAGGAATATTATTCTTTAACAATTCCATGATTGTTTCAAAGGATTGGCATGAAAGTATCGCCTCTCTATAGGTGTTCAAAAGGACAGTTGATAATCGAAATATTGCTTCGATTCCATAAAGGAAAAGTATATCTAATTGAAAGAAAAGCAAAGTAAAAGTTAGACAAAAATGACAAAAAGAAACCAGAAAATGAAGCCAAAAACCCAAAAATGAATGAAAAAAGCAAAAGTCTCTTTTAAATGTTTTACCAAAAGCCGTAAGCAATCAATGCAAGGTTACCTTTTGATTGTCATTTTGTTGATCATTAGTTTTATTTTTAACATTTTTCTTGATTACTCTTTGTGGTATGTAAGGTATGTCAACACTGATCAGGAAGATCAGGCCGGGAAAAGGATCAAGATTCTGAAACAATTTTGGTTCATCATTGAATGTAATAAATTTGTTTTTTGCTGCTTTTGGTGGGAACCAAGCCTTAAGGGTTGAATGTAAATAACAAGTATTTATATTTATAATGTCCAAATGTATTTGTGATAAACACAGGTAACAATGATTAACTTGAATATTGTATCAAATTTCCTGCCACGAATTATCGATTTCTTGTCAGGTTAATTATCATGGAAAACAATTAGATAAACTTGAAGCCTCAAGAAACATTTGCTTTTAAACTTATAGCAAAGGTTGCAATTTATTACCAAAGTGAATCTCATCTTTTCAACTTGAAAACTTGACAAGTCGATTCGTTTAAAGAATCAACTTTCAAGATAAATTATTGAAAAATGTTGAGAAAAGATGAAACAATTTGGTAAATCAATCAATTTATTGGTTTAAATTGGTTGGGAGTAAACCATAATTAGTATTGATTCAAAGTAAATCTTTAAATTCATCATCGCATGTTAACTAACATTTCAATTTACTGTGTTCGGTAATGCTTCATGTTTTACCTGATAAATCAAGGATACTTTTTGTTGCCATGATTCTGTCACACCCAAATATATCATCATAATCATCATAATAATCATACTTGATATAAAAAGCAACAATTTGATTACCATTTGTTTGTACTTGAAATGGTTAATAACAAGAACAACTTGTCGAAGGGAAAAACTGGTGAAACGAAAGAGTTGATAGATCAGTTTTTTATCTTCAACAGAATGGAGAGAAAGAAGAAGAAGAAGAAGAAGAAGAAGAAGAAGAAGAAGAAGAAGAAGAAGAAGATGATGATGATGATGATGATGATAAATAACCAACTCTGGTTACTACGCAATTTAGAGCTCAATCAAGATCGCCTTGGGAAGGGAAAAGTTAAATTACGCAAAAATATTCATGTTAACTTGTTGCCAATTGGAATGGGTTGAACAGCAAGAGATTTGTTCATTTCTTTGCAATCAACATTGTTACCTGAATTACCAATCAAAAAATAGATACTCTTAATAATAATAATCAAGGAATGATTGCAACAATTGCTTTAATAACTGTCAACTGTTGCCCATCATCATTACGGATCATTATCAACAGTAAATTCAAAGACTATTTTTAGTCGAGTTATTGAACAAACAAAACAGCCTTTTGGCAAATACAAAAACAATTTCATTTCCAACTTGTATCAATATTGAAGGTAAATCCTTTGCTACCATTTAATTTAGTAAAGTCCATTTTTTAGAAGTTCATTTCAACTTTCAACTTTCGATTTGAAAATGATATAGTTTACACTCTTTTCCGTATCAGGTTAAGAGTTAAGGTAAATATAATAAAACAGTTACGAGTGATTATTTTCAATCGTAATTGTTGCTTGATAATGATATAGTGGCGGCGATGGTTGATACATTTACCGATTGGGTTTAAGGTTAGCCATTGGGTTTACAATTGAAATGTAAATATTAGATGATATGACAGGAAGGAAGCAAATAATGAATGGGAAAAGGTCAGGTCATCGGTAAATGACCTTAAGGATAAAAATAAGTGATCGTTACATTGGCTATACGAGACAGTCAATGGTGTGAATGAAGGAAATGAAAGGAAAAACGAGGAAGCATTTTACAGGTAAAAATGTACACAGAAAGGTTAGGAAGGGAAGAGAGCAAGAAAAATATAAGAAGAAGAAGATGAAGAAGGAAAAGTCTTTATGTTGAAGAGTGATGATAATGGACAAGACGACCAAAGCAAGTTGCTCAACAAAGAACTAGCAAGTTCCCATGTTAACTGATAATAATAGTAAAATGATAATTTTAAACATTGAACAGAAGTTGAGGCCAACAATTTAACCATTGTTAACTCGTACAACAATTATGCTCAAGTTATTGTTAACATTTGTGTTTTCATTTGCCATTCATCATTCAAACTGTACTTTTACATTGTCAAATTGGGTCAACATTGGTTTCCACCTTAATTCAGTAAATGAGCAAATTGTCCATTGGGATCGATGTACCTGTGATTCAACATTGGACTCAACATTTTTTTTGTTTTTTCATCTTTTTTCTGGTTTTTGGTTTTTTGGTTTTTTTGGTTGTTCAACTTACCAAATAGACGAGCCACAAAACCGATTGGAAATTGAGAGGCGAAAAGGGTTAAGAACCATGGAGCTGCGTACAGAGTCGGTGGTATATCATGAGCATCAAAGTGTTCATAAATGTCGTGGTGAAAATCATAGAGAAGTCGGGTTAACTGGTATAACTGCATCTGCAACGAGTTAAGGCAAATTAATATTCATTCAAATGTCAATGTGAATGGTTTATCAGTAAATAATCATGCGAATCACCTTTTACTTTGTTACCTTGTTTACTGACCAATGGTCAACAAAGAAAATGTCTTTTCTCTCTCTTTCACCTTTTCATTCTATTTTTAGATGGTCACTCAAAGGACACTTTTGTGAAACACCTTTTCATTAAGGTCAAGGTGCAAGTCTGATCATTGACCATTCATCATTAAATGTCCATTTTACTACTAAATGTGTGTTGACCCTTTTGCTCAATGGTCAATGAATGGTAAATTCAAACAACAAATAATGGAAAAACAAATTTTCCAAACTTTAATTTCAAATGTAAATCTAAAATCTTGATTCTCTAATATCGCAAACAATTTGCAACTAAATTGCTCATCAATTGACCATTAAAGTTGTTGAACATTTTTCGATTTTTTACAATTCAAGGAAAATCTAAATTACGAAAAAAAGTCAATTTAAATATAAATTGTTGTTTACCTTTTCTGATCTGGTTTCATTTCAAATTAATCAACTTTTTTTGGTAATCAACAAAATCAATAAAATAATCAATTTAAAGGTTTCAATGAGAGTTGTTGGTGAAAAGTTGTATAAAAGATGAAAATTGATGTAAACAAAGTAAACATTTTTTTCAGCAAATAATTGAAATATCATGTAAAGTGCATCTTTAATAAGATGAATCGTAGATTAAAGGTTGATTGTGAAGTCTCATGAAACTGAGAAAATCAAATTAACCTAAAAATTCGAGGTTCGTATGGAATTGAAATTACAATTATTGGCAAAAAAAGGTTTAAACAAAAGTAATAATAGAGTTGAAGAGAAAGTAGTAAATTGAAATAAATAGAAAAATCAATTTTCACTCAAATTTAGGTAAAGGTTATTGATGATTATGATGATAGTAAATGATGATGATGAGATGAAGAAAAGAGGCAAAAATGATTGACCTGTTCAAGATGAAGATAGACAGGTAAAGGTAGGAAATGATGAGAATAAACCTTGAGATGGAAACGCCGAAAGAATGGATTAGCATAATAAAGTGAGCTTTATAATCGCAATTAGCATAATCATTGATATATTAATAATAATAAATCACGCTACTTGATCAGAAATTCATGTTCAGAACCCAAAGAAATTTCAACTAATTTCATTGACAATGAAGAGAAAAAGTTTATCCATTTTTACATCATTTCATCATTTATTAAAGCCCAAGATCGCATTGATTTTATTCATTTTTCAATTAATATTGAGTTTCGATTTGAAGCATTTTTTGATTTTCTTGATCGATTCATGATCGGTTTATCAGCCATTTTCATTGAGAATTTGATTTTTTGGAAAACATTTTCTCATCTTTATTTGGTCATTCGAGTTGAGCTGATATTTGAGATTGATTTGATTCTCGAATTGTTTGAATTGTTTTGAATTGGGTTTGTGACTTACTTGAAGTGCAGACATATCAGGTTTATATTGTCGTCTTAAGCCAAGGTAGAAGAGAAGATATTTCATCATTTCAAATGAATCGTCTTCACTCATCTATTCTCAAGGAAAGAAGTAAAATTTTGATTAATCAACTGTCGCAACTGATCGACTTGGCAACATTTATATTTACATGTAACAAAAGGATTGCGGCAACAAAACTCAATCCTTGACAGTAACCAACTTCAGTATCAAAAAGTGAATATGCTTTAAGCAAATTGAATAGCGACAACTGTCCAGCACCCAAAGGTTGAGCAAAGTAAGGATGTTTAGGAAAGGTTCGACCTGTAATTAGATGAAAATAGCGATTAATTTTTGTTTCAATTAAAAATGCAAATACGAATGATGAAAGTGATGGAAGCAAGAAAAAAGTTGAAACAGTTTTCTGGTTAAATGCAGTAACCCCAACAAGGTTGACTAATTAATAAGAAAAATTTGAAATTTTCTCTCAATTTTATGATCTTTTTTTTGATACAAAGTTATTGAGTTTGCTTCATTTTCACAGGTAAACAGGGTTAAACCAATTTTACAATTTAATGGCAATAATGTTAAGAAATGAATGGATTCATCTTTACAAGTGTCTGACAAGGGGAGGTTTGCAAGAGGAAGAATCATTTGAAGAAGGAAAAAAAACGAGAGATTATTCAGTAAAAAGGAAAACAGGTCTGATAAGAAGATGATGATGATGAAGATAAAAGATTGTCTCTCTTTGCTCGTCAATTTATCAGCTCTGATTGAGCTATAAATCTAAGGCAATTTATCTTCTCCTTTTGGTAGACCAAGGTTAGGTCCTCTTTGCTGGTTCAATTTTCTTGGCGTTTTTTTCTTCTTCTCTCAACTTTCTCATTACTTTTACCAGGAATCTAAAGATGAACACCAGGAATCGGTAAACCGATAAGTCACTGATTAATAGCAACATCACCATCATCATCATCTTTCTTTTTATCATCTCCTTCATAATAAACAACCACTATAATCATTATAATAATCAGTATCATCATCAGAAGCCAAAAGGCAGAAGCATCAGAAACGCAAATCAAACAACACTAGAAGCTTGTTTTAGCTGGAAGCAACATTTTTCTTCTTTATTTTTCTTCTCTCTCTTTCTCCATTATCATTCCATGTACATGATTGGAATATTTAAATGAAATGAACGCTATTCACTGATTAACTGTTGCTCTTGTTGTAGGTCGATTAACCAACGAATCTCAACAACAAATTCAATCAACAATTGAGTTTTACTTTTCTTCTTCTTCTTTTTTTTCTTCATCATGAGACATGAATCAACTTTATCCGATAGTGAATCCAGGCTTATTTGCAATCTTCAAATTACCCTCAATATCATCTTCACCATCAGTTTAAATATCACTTAAACGATAGGAAACTTTGAAACTTTAACTTCATCTGATTGCAAACATCAACAAATATCAAATGTATTTCATTTATTTGGCAATAAAAACAAATCTAACATTTGTGATTTCATTTAATCAACTAATTATGATTTTCAGGATAACCACACACATATACAGATACACACCTTAACACATTTTGTATGAAAAAGGCCATTTTTTCAACTTTACCTTGCAATTATGAGAAAAAGTTACAAATTGAAAAATATAAAAACGCGTAAATTTGCTAATTAATGGTTAGCAATATGAGCAACAAATGTAATCAACTGATTAATAAATTGCTTGAGTTGTTAATTGATCACAAAAACCGCACCCAATGGGAAGAAACAAAAAACGAAGGATTCATCAAAAGATTCACCAAATGAACAAAAATGATGAAAACCGCTGAAAGTGATGAATTGAAAATCGCTCATAATTATCACTTTATTCAACAAAACTTTCATTTGTAGATGCAAATGTTTGATTAAAATGTTAATTTTCGACTTTTAGTCCAATATGAGTTATTGATAGACTTTTTAATCAAATTTAATTTAATCATTTTCTGGTTTGTTAGCAACACTTAATCAAAGCTTCCAATATGTTAACCTCATGTGCCCGGCTTTAATGGGCCAGAAACTCGAGGGAATAAATTTTGATAACTTTTTTGTTGGTTTAATCAAACAATCAACTCTCCCAATTGTTCATAAGTTTGATTAAGAGTCGGTTATGGTGGTGAAGGAGGAGGAACCTGAGGTGGGTTTGAAAAGGCATTTTATTGTTGCTTTGATATTCCTTTAATAATATTATTATCATCATTATTAACATTAAACATTGTATAATAATGTTTCTCATTATATTGAACAATATATATATAGAACCAACAATTAATGTTAATCATTTTGTCTGGTGAGTTAATTGAATTTAAGAGTAAATTTTGGTAACAATTTGTTGCTCTTTCACTTAATCACGATTAAAAATTACGCTTGTTTTTGCCCATTATTAATAACTTTTTTGGTTAACATTGGGTGAGGGTTGGATGGTCAAGAGGAAGGGACTGGGAGGGGTGGGAGGGGTTCACGATTTCATCAGGATGGAAATGCGTGAAACACGCGTTTACGTTTTGATAATTGAATTAAGGAACAGAATGATTATGATGATGATGATAATGATGATGAATGAAAGATTCATCCTTTTACTTGATCGTCTTATGCCACTATCAGTAAAAGCGTCTTTTCACCTCTTTTAGGTTGACTTTTTAATTGAAAACAAATAATGAAATTTCAATTTACTTTATTTCACGGTAAAACAAATGCTGATCATATTATCACATACAATGAATCAATCATGTTTATATTTAAATTTTAAAGGCTAATTTTATTTATAAATTTAATGGTAAAGTACTCAAATCAGGGTTATTACCGTTTACAAATGATTGGCTTCTTAAAGTTCACCTTTTCCATGTTGCAGTTTTTTCAACAAATTTTTTTCGATTTGCTTCTCTCGACTCAAATTCTGATTAATTTGACCAAACATTGAAGTCGAGTTGTTTTGCATTATTGTAACGATAAATTGGTGAGCGAATGCTTTGGTCCAAGAGTTTATTTTCAATGTTGACTAAAGATTCAGTTAACTTGCATCGTCGTTTCAAAGAGACGAGAAATTTTTATTAACTTTTCATTGAAATGGATATTGAAAAGATGCATCAAATAATCTCATTTTTTCGTTAATCGTTACTACGTTCAATTTTATTCTGAATCTTGTCGATTTTGAGTTGTTTTGCAGTGACAAGTTCACTGATGCAGCTAAGAATTACGGGATAACTTGAAAGGTGCGTCTTGAAATTATTAGAATATTTTCTCAGTAAATTTACAGTTCAAGAGTCAATAATTTGGGTAAGTTTGAAAGTTTGTGTTTCAGTTGAGAGAATAGAAAAAATTGTTTATATTCTTGACTTTCCATGATAATTTCAATATTGTCGATCAATCGCTGGATTCAAACTAAACATTTGGTCAATCAACAACTAAGTTACGAAGTTGCTAGCTAGTTAAAATAACTTTTATCTTGAGAAGAGATTTGGTTTTACTGTTTGGGCTTGGATATTATTTTTGCAATTGAATCGATACTTTTTTTCGACTTTTTGATAAGATCGAAACGTTTTCAATGTTCAACTCAATCAAAGAGGGCCGTTTCTCTGATAAATTCTTAGTTCTAGTAGTTCTAGCACTCGGCTGCCTTGTTATTTCGTAAAAATTGATTGAACTTGAGGCAATGGGCTCATGGTGATGAAGAGGTTTGCATTGGAAATTTGATTCCAATGAAATTTTAAAGGAAATTATTTAAGGTTGAATTTGCTATTTATTAAATTGAAATGGATCCTTAAATGATTGGATTATTGAAGTGTAATCAAACAGTGAGAGGTTTTTTTGAAACATTTTGAGTTTCAGTGCAAATCTTACAGATTTGAGATTCATGATGAAAAATATAATTGACGTTAAATATTATAAAGAGTGACAAGTAATCAGTTAATGATAGAATCAGAGTGAAAATTGAATAAAATATCAAATCATGATGAAATGGGTGTTCATCAAGTTGGCTCATCATATTAGGTGTGCATTTAGAGTTAAAGGTAATTTAAATACATTGATATGAAACAAGAACAGGAAAGAGTTTCATTTCAATTTTGAGCTTGAAAATTGAAAGGATTGTTCATCAGATTGTGTCCAGTTGATTTGCGTTTCAGTTTATTAATTTAATATGGAATGGGTTAGGTTCAGGTTAAAGTTAATTGTAACATTTTTGTAATTAAAAAGGGCGTCAAGACGGAATATGATGAGTTAGATGATCATTTTCATTTTGATAATCAGATTACTTTGATTGCCAGCTTAAATAGAGTCAACTTTGAAATCACCTTTAATTGGTCAATCAACTTTTCAACAGATGATATTGAAAACTGGCGATAAAATGATTAAACTTAACCATTTCATAAACGATTCATAAACGGAGTCAAGTTCAAATCAAAGTTGATCAATCAGCAAAAAACTTCAAATCAATAACAAATTTACTTTCAATATTGTCTCGATATCGATGCAAAATAGTTCAATCAGTTCAACATTTGAACGAATTTCGATTTTCAAGAAAAAGAATATTGGAATCAAGTTTAGTGATCAAAGTCTTGTCATTTTGATCAAGACGATTAAACAGCAATTCATCAACATCGTCAGTTTATCTCATAAATCACTATAAACTAGTAATGGTGACATAAAGTTGAGTGCAAGTGAGTTTGTTTTTTGGTGGGAAAAGTGATTGCAAGGAAAGCTGACATTTGGCTTAAAGTGAAACAATAATAGCGATTATATTAATGATAATAATTAAATAAAATATAAAATAAGATATTTAACTAATCTGATGAAAGATGAAAAGCATTTCAATGATTGGGTGTGTTGTCATTTGTGTGCCAAATTCATGTAGAGAGATGTTCAGTTTGATCAGAAAAACGCATTTCTCAAGAAAAAACAAGAAAAGCAAAGAACATCTTAAACATCATATCAACATTATTCATCTTTTTTTTCATTCAATTCACTCGTTTATCCTGTGAAGTATCATCATCATCATCATCATCATCCTTAACAGCAACAACCCAGCCCTTAGATTTCCGTAGAGAAAAAAAACATCATCTCTTTATCTTCCTTACGTCTTTCGTTGTGTGAGTGTTGATACATGAGAAGACAAAGCACAGATCAACAACGCCATGCGAACCCAAGCACGGCCCTGAGCCTTGGAATGAGAGAAATGAGAGAAATATTATTAAGAAGAAACTGGCCTCAAGGCAACTAATTTGATGTAATTTAATTTCTCTCTAAGCCTACGTTCATTTGCTTCATCATCATCAATATCTACAGCCAACAAACAAATTCTTGCAAACAAGGTAAGCAAAGTGCATGATTGAAGCTCTCGCTGGTGCAGTGAGTTATCACTACACGCCCTGTTGCTGCAACAGCCACACCCTGTACACACGCATTCAACATCTTATAGCTGTTTCCATGTAAGACGGCGAAAAAGGAAACCCCGGCCCAGGTCAATTTCCTTTTTCATTTTTCTCTCTTTCTCTTTCTTGCCTTTTCTTCAGTTCTTTTCTCTCTCTCTCTCATCATTATCATCTTCATTGGGAAGAGAGAGAAGAAGAAGAACCCAAAAAAAGTAATAATTCAACAAAACCGCAGCCCATCGCTATATAAACACAAAGGCACCATCATCATCATTTCCATCGTTTTGCATCTTGAGCATCATCACTATCAACCTTTGTTAATCATTTTCATCTGTTGAAATGAACAAAAAAAAGAAGATGAAAACGCAATGAAAATGTCCATTTTTGTGTCGCTCTCTCACCTCATCTTCAAGGATATCTACGCATTATTGTCCTTCATTTAAATGGATAAATGATACAAACAAAACCTAATAAAGTCATCGGCCTATTGTAAATTATTATTGAATGCCACTCCCTTTACCTTGTTCAATTATTACCATCAAGGGTAGGACCAGGTATTATTGGGCCAACAAAACAATTTTCAGCTTAAAAACAAAATCCTTCATGTCACCAAATGTTAGGCTTTACCTCGTAACATTTCATTCACAGATTGACAAGGAAACTAATTATTGGACAAAAAAATTGTTGACCGTCTTTTCCCAGACCAACAAATTCGTCCAAACCTTGACTAACCCAAATAAGATCAAAGATCAACTGATCTTGAACTATTTCCCATTATTATTGACAATAAAAGCAACGGTATTGATCACAAAAGCATTTGCGGTGAATGTACCTTTCGATTTCGAGAAAGTTTAATTTTTGATTTGACAATGAAAGTTGGATTCACACATTTTAGGGTTGAGTAAAAGTTGAGCTTCAAAAGACAAGGAAAAGTTTCTTACTAAACTCATTTCTAGATTAAGTTGATTTGATTCTAATTTCATTTGGTTAACATGAAAAGTTGAAAACTTTTTTGTTCATTGGTTTGTCATTCGACTTTCGAAGTGAATTTTAAGGCTAATTATTTGCTGTTGTATCATAAAGAGGACAAAAGTGATTAGTTTCGTGTGTGATCATCGAAATGTCCATCTTTTATGAGTTGATCCTGATTACCATTTACTTTGTGTTCAATATTTGAAATTTATTGCTTTCAAACTCTAACCAGCAAGGTGAAACAGAAAGTAAACTTTTTTGTTGCTTCATTTGATTTGTTTTTCAATTATACTTCATTTTTTTGCTACAAAAACAAAACGCAAAATGCAAATGAGCTTCAACAGCATGATTAAATATGTTAAATCATTTAACATACTGATTTTCATTTCATTAAATTGATGCAATTTGCATCAAAATAAATCAATTGCATTGTCTTTTCTTTCACACTAATCAACAAACCAATTGAAATAAATCACTGCAAACCCATTAACTTTCACTGAAAATGCAAAAGAAATCACAATTTCCTTTCATCATTTACTATCGATTACTTTTTCATCTTATTCAATATTCAATTTCATTGTGTTCGTCTTAAGCTTTCCTCAAACCCAATCAAATAGGATTAAAATACCTTAAAAGGCATTTAAATTGTTCATCAAAATGATGAAGTTTAACTGTTATTCAGTGATCAAGTCAACAGTTAGAAAACGAAAAGTCAAATGTCATTTCACACTCGAACCATAAAAAGCTTATGAGCACAAAACATTTTTCAAGCAGATTCTCAATTCCAAAAGCTTTTACCTTTTCTCAATGAATTAGGAAAAAGGGAAATAATGAAACTTTAATGTTGGCTATACAATTATCATGGTGAAAAGATGCAAGATGAAGATGAGAAGATTTCATGAAAGAGGGAAAGAAGAAGATGAAGAAAAAATCAAGTTAAAACTCACCCAAATCAACAAGTATTGCGTGTTGCTGAGCAGTCAATTGTTGAAGTAACTCCCTATAAGGTTTATCTGGGTCAACAGAACCAACATCTTTACATGCATTTGGTATCCGGTTAGTGTGTTTATTGTAACGAGCAATGAATTGCCAGATTTCACCTCGCTTTGATCGAGGAACCCCTAGAAAGTCAATGATGGAAGGCGATCAAGAGGAAGAGTAAAAAAGTGTTCAAAGTGTTTAAAAACAAGGAAAAGTCAATCAAGTGAAAACTCAAAATTACTTTGCATTTCCTCATTGAAATTTCTTCAAGTTCAAACAATCTTTGAAGAACGTCCAAACTTTGGAAATTCAGAGTTTCCTAATTTGTTCTGGACATTGAGGTTTCAATTTGTCAAATTTTCGAAGCTTGTTTGAGTTTGAAAAATTCAAGTTTCTAAAGTTTTCGATTTTGCATTTGATTAAACTTTCAAAGTTTGTGTTCGAGTTTATTTTTGGATTTATGAGTTTTTAGAGAGTCTTTAGTCTAGAACTTTTTAAATGAGTTTATGATTTACCTTTCTTGATTCCTTCCTTTAACTGGAATTCAAGTGTAGAATCATTAAAATCTTGTTTCAGTATTTCATCCCACATTTTCGACGTCTCCTTAAGACATGGTGTAATCTCCTCATAATCAAGTGTAATCTGTTCATTTCGTACATTAGAATGTTCGGGAATTGAAATGCTTCCGGATATGGTTGAGGCTCGAGCTCGGGTTTCCGTGTGTTCACTTTTACCCTTTGAGGGACTGTAATATTGTGCAATTGAAGGTGATCCGGTTCGCTATTGTTCAGTTCATCAATCAACATGAGAAAAGAAGGAAATTGTTAGAATAAAAATATCATTTTAAAGTAAAAAAATTGAATCGATATAAAATTATTGAAAGTTTTTCAGGGAATTGATGATAAAATTGATAATAATTTAGCAAAAGTCTTTTTGATACAATAAAATCACTTTACAATATTTGTTAATGTTCAATGGAATCAAATAAATTTTCATTAAAAGCAAAGAATGAATTGAACAAATTTGTTCATTATTGGCTAAATTGGATGAAAAAATGAACAATTAACAGGCGAAATTGAAATTTTCATGTTTTCCAATTTCTAAAAATGAAACATTTTGTAGTAAATTTAATTGTCCATTAAAATGGTGAAAGATTTCGAGATGAAAAGCTGACCAATTTGGACAGTTAATCATAATTAGTACTTTAGTGATTCAATCATTGATTAGTTATGATATTTTAAGCTTTACCTTGAAGCTAAAGCTTTTGTTACGTTGCATTATGAAAGATTATCTGAACATTTTTCTCGATTTATGAAAATGATAAAATATTTTCGCTTTTATTCTCATATTTTTTTCTGTCAATTTCAGAAAAATTTTAAAGTCATCAGAGTTATTCAGATAAAAGAGGAATAACGAAGGTAAAGATGAATGGAAGAGAGAAAGAAGAAGAAGAAAATGCAGAATATCTCAGCATGAAACTTGAAGATGAAGATGATGATAGTTGATGGTTGATGATAAAGAAGATGATAATCAAGGTATAGGAGGGAATCAGTTGAATCAACAGGAGGGATACTTGATGAGATATGGGCATCATCATGATAATCATCAGTTGCATCATGAAAAAACTGACCGATTGTTGTGATCAATAGTTGGTCAAGAAATGAGTGAAGCATTTTGTTTCTCCACTCAATTATCATGGCCATGATTGTGTGAGTTTTTGTTTTTCTGTTTATTTTTTCTTGCCTGTTTAACGGCGACTAAAAAATGAACAAGTAAACATTGATTCTCATATGATTAGATGCATGATAAGGTAAGATAAAGACTTGAGCATAAGGCAACAAAAGGCGACATAATGTTGATGCAGCAAAGTTACACGCGTAAACAAACACGCAACAAGTGACATCAAACAGGAATGAAACTGACAACAGCAAGTGAAGCTGAATTTACTGATGGATTAAAAAGGTTGTAAGGTTAATCCAAAGAAAGTTTGATGGGAAGCAAGAAACTGCATTTAATCTCAAATCAAATGGAATCAGCTTTTATGACTTTTGAATAACTTTTCACCAACTACTTGTTAGATAATCAGGCAACTTAAATCTCATTGATTGGTCAGCTTTGTGTTTTTTTAGGATAAATTCAATTACATGGAATGGTGTAATTAAGAGTAAAACGATGGAAAAGGTAAACTCATTGATTGGTACCAAAAAGTTGGGAAAAAAGGTAAAGATAAAGGTTAAGATAGAGACTTGTTATTGTGACGGTTTGGCTGGAAAAGGATGTGTCCCACTGATTCCAACGATTCTTATCAGAGTAACATTTTTCAACCAAATATGTTCCATGTTAGCCCACCCTAAAGTAGCTTTATGCTGGTCAAGCAGCTTCTGAATAAATTTTTACTTTTATTAATACAATATTTTACCTTTTTTGACTGTTATGAGAAGAAATGGGAAAAAAGTAAATCTCAATTTTCATGATCACCATTTCAATGAGTTTTAATGCTTCAGCATTTCTAGCCTTTTTGGATGACTTTTATCAACTTGAGATTGAAACCAACATTGAGTTTATATTTTGGTTTGCTATTGATATTGATTGGTAATGTTTTTGCCTTTTTTTAATGCTTTTTTTTGGGTTGTTTTAACCATTTGCATTTTCAATTGAGAAATGATAAATTGGTGGAAAAGTGGAAAATGTTAATTATTAAGGCTTTTTGATGACAATGATGATCAAGTAAGGAAAAGGTAAAAATTATGAAAAGATATCAATCAAATGGTTTGGGCGCCAATGTCGGTGAACCCAAACAAAAATTGAAATAACCTAAAAAAAGTGAAAAACTATCATCAGTTCAACGGACTGATATTTTCCCTTAGTCAATGTTACCTTTGCACGTTTTTACCTTAATTTTTTCACGCTTGGCTTCAATTACCTTTACGTTTTTGTGTTGCTTCATGATATTACGCTATTTTACTGATTACAAAGTTGCTGCGAAAGTTGAACATTTTACAAGTTTACTAATACATTTTCATAACGATCTTGATAGCAAACAAGCTCAAATTACAAATGTTATTCATTGGTAACAGGTTAACCTTTAAGTAAAAGTTGTTTAAGTGTAAAAAAGTAAATCATTTGGTGCAAATATTCACATTTACTCACAATCAATTTCGATCTTTTTTGATCGTCAAAGTCGATAAAATATTGGACCAAAAATCAAGTCAAAAGTTTAACTCATTGAGAGCTGATTAATGTTTATAACAATTTTTCATTACACTGAACCAATAAATGCTCAAGTTCATTTGAAACAATTTTTCCATTGAATCCTTTTCCATGGTTTTTGCTGTTCAACAATGTATCGACAGATTTTTCAAGTCAACATTTGAGATGATTTACAATCATTGACTTTTGAACCATCTTAATGTTAAAGGGTTGAGTAAGTTTTGAATTAAACTTGTTTTTCTCGTTGATGATTCGGGTCTTTTTGCTGTCTATTGGTTCAATTATGATGAAAACCTAATGATTATTTTAACAGGCTTTTCATTTCAAAGTTGATCTGATTTTAATAAGCATCCAAGAGTTGAAAATGATAGTTGATTGCAAGTGAAAAGCTTATTGATATCAATAGTTTGAGGTTAAAATTGTGTCTTGGACTTGAACAGAGAAACGGGAAAACCAAAGAAACGTTCAACATTTAAAGTGTGATACTGACTCGATCAACTAATTAGACCGCAACAACTCGAAGCAATGTCAAGAACAATTGTTGAAATATTGAAAGTCTCAGACTAAGCAATGTGTAAATATTGGTAAATGTTTGAAGGATAAGCTTTTGCTTTACGCTTCAAATGGAAAGCCATTTTTAATATAATTTTTTGCTTCACTTGAATTCCTTCCTTTTCTTGCCTTTCTGATTAAAGATAAATCAATCTGCCAACTAACCTGCACAGTGACCAAATTATTTTTAGCAAAACACAACTTTGTGTCTCTCACAGATGTACATTATTGGGCATTAAGATGAGTTTTATGTTTGGGTAAAGACATTTTCAAAAGAATCTAAGGTTTGTTACCGGGCGTGGTTGGGAGGGTAACTCAAGGGATTTAGGGGTCTCTCAAAAAAACAAGGTGGTGATTGAGTGTACATGTGAGGGGAAGATGGAGCAAGGGAAAGATGGCGAGTGAGTGAGGAAGGATAAAGATGAGGAACAAGTGGCAATGAGAGGAGAGAAAAGCAATAACAAGTCGTAAATAAGAAAAGATAAACTCACAGATGTAACTTGATATTTGATATTCGACCTCAGATTTTTCTCTTTCTCTTCTTTTTTTCCTCTTCTTCTTCTACCTCCACCCCTTGCTATCTTCATCGTCATCATTATTATCATTTTCCTATCCTGATCTTCAACTCTCACAGCAATCTAGACAATCGTATTATTAACTAAATTCATTGAAATTAAAGGAGAGGCACACAACGGATTAAATTAAATTAATAGAGGCTTTATAGCGTCGTGATAAGCCTTGAGCAGAATCGCATTTTTTTATTTCATTTACTGTACAACCGAAGTGAGATGTTTAAATTTTTCATCTTCTTCTTCTTCTTCTTCTTCTTCATCCTTTTCTTTCTGAACATTTTTACGTTTCTCTTCCCTTTACTCTTCTTTTTTCACTCAGTTTTTTAACGATATCAGAACGATCAGCAATAATCTGAGGTTGAACCAACGTTTTTTTTGCCTCATATCATTTTGATGGTTAACTATCGTTGTTATCATCGTCTTGTTATTGGCTATTCATGAGATCGCATTTCAGTTTGAGTTTGACTTTTTGTTTGCTCTTCTTTTACCTTTCTTTTTCTTGATGCTTCTCATTTTTTTCCTCTCCTTCATGCTAACACAGTATGAATTTCATTCTGTGATTGATGTGTGATTAAATAAGCATCTAAATGATGATGATAAATAAAAAAATGTGTGTTTATGAGAAGGAAGAAGCTGATAAGTTTGAAATATATAGAGGATATTAAGAGGAGGAGGAAGAAAGGTAAATCTAAATTGTTCATCAAGACTGGTTATAAAAAAAACAAAATTTGGTAATCATCATGATTATGGGTTAGCAACATGATTAAGTGAACTCAACTACAAACAAGAATTAATCAATTAATGTATTCATCTTTGAATATCAATGAGAACATTAAAGGTAATAGTTTTACCCCTTTTTTGTTACATTTTCATGAAATATGATTCTTACATTTGGATAAAGTTATGATTGATTTGATATTTGATTAAGAGTGTAAAAAATGGATTAAAATTGAAAAATGTTTGAATGTTGGATTTGAAAAAAGGCTCATTTTTTGTCATGAAGCAAGATTTTTGTGTGAAAAAAAGGTAAATTTTTTGCGTATGAAAAGGCGAGTTAATTACATTTTCTTGGTAGTTCAACTAATCACTTGTTGACAATTGTTTAAACCTGTTGCATATCATGGAGAGGGATTGAATTTTGTTGAGTATAAAAACGAGGGTTGAAAGGAGCGATTGGTTTGTTAGGTTAGTTGAATGGCAATTTTGTTTTGGTTATTGAATGGGAAAAAAAGGTTGAAGGAAAAATGATAATTCACTCGATTGTCAATTGGATTGTCAGTATATATAGCTGTAAGGCTTAATTACATTTTTAAATGTTTGCTTCGTTAACATGACATTTCGGTGTTTGTGGGAGACAATAAGTCAATGTCACAGTCGTTTCATGTTGAATCTACATTTTTTGTTCATGTTTTCATGTCCAACAAATGTTGCTAGAGAAGGCAAGTGAAAGATATGATGATAGAAGGAAATGAAGGTGAGAAGATAAGAAAATTACCTTCAATACCACACCCTGAAACTAATAAAAACTTGAGTTGACAAAAGTAGCAAAAAATGAGGTAAAAAAGGTTTATAAAAATAAGGGAAAATTATCATTGATGGAGTTGATTAACTGACGACGCTGTTGATGTTTGCTTGTTTTCCGTGAGATTATAATTTTCAATAGTTTCTCAAGGTATATCAAGAGGCCCGGTTGAACAATTGAAATAAATAACATTTTAACAAATTAATTTAATTGATGAATGGTTTGAATCAACTTGCAATTAAAGTAACAGGTTATAAATAATTTCAAGTAATTATCAGCTGGTTACACCATTTGGAAAATTGGCGCTCTTTTAGTATAATGGCTCCATCTATTGTTACACATAATAGTTTACTTTTTGTTCAAGTTTGCTTTTAGCTTTCAGAACTGATTACCAAATTGAAAATTTCAATTCGGTAATCATTATGTGATAATGAAACAATTTAAACAAGTTTATAAAGCTATATTCTCTAATTTGAATTTAAGTTTACATACCTGTTTAGATAGGAACTTGAGTAATGTTCTGTGCTTGTTTCTAACTTTTTTCATGTTTCTCTTTGACATGGGATATTTTCTTGATTCATTTATTGTCAACTCAAAATTATTTTATTTTGTGTATTGTTCAACAGTTCTTATTCATTCTTTGTGGTGAAAATTGTGTTATTTTTTGTGCTTTGTACCAGTCAGTTAAACTATTGGTTACTGTTATTCAAAAAGGTGGATATGTTTTCTGCAACTTTTGCTTATTATTATCAATTTGTAAATTCAAACTCGAATGGGACACATTTAAGTAAGCAATTACAACTTTGGGTGTAAAATTAAAGTGATTGACAGAATGGCGAGTTTTTAATGGTTAAATAAATTTCAACATACCTTTAAAATGGTTTCAAGGGAACTTGATAACGATTTGCGTGCCTTTTGCTTCAAATTGTCTAAAGTTGAAATGGAATTACGTTTTTCATCTTTACCATTATGATTATGGTTTTGCTGTTTACGTTCGGACATCCTGCGAAGAAGGCCCATGATAATTCTATTCTGCTCATCAATAGATGATACCTGACTTCCTTCGTACTTCGACATGATTTCATTTTTATCGGCATCTGGGAGAGAATCAAGACGCTCCAGAATAACTGTTTGAGCCTTTTTGGCTGACAAATTTTCAACATCCATGCAAAGTCGATGGAACCATTGCATTGGACATGCTTCACAAATAATGATGGACTTATTTTTATTGACTTGACATGCATGATGAGCATTGTGGAAAGCTTGTTTCAGAGTATGCATAATCTCGTTGACCAGTTTATCTGTCTGACAACGGAAAACGTATCCTACGTAGCTTTCACTTGGATAATAAGAAGGTTCTCGACAAATAAAGCCGAAGTGATCCATATATTTAACTCCCTGGGAGCAATGAGATACATAGTTAAATGTTTTATTGAATAATATTTGCTGTAAATCAGGACTTATCAAGCAAATTGCAAGCCTTCCAATGAGAAAAAGCATCGTGCGATTCTGGAATTTGGATGATTGACGATTTCGCCGTAGATCGCTGGCACCTCCACTGGTTCTAGTTCTGCAAGGCAGGGAAACTTGTTTTTCCGTTGATAATTTACGAACTGCACTGTTAACACTTGGAGTTAACGAAGTACTTGAAACACTATCTGGAGCTGGAGCGAGAGGATGAGTGAGTGATGCATCTAATAAAAATGAGGAAGGTGAAGGTACTCTTGTTATCGTCGAAGTCTCTTTCTCATTAATGGCGGTTGGTGATACCTTCAATTCATTTTTAACAGGCAATGATGCGTCAGGTTTAAACATTACATCAGGATTATTTGGAGATTGTATTGGTGACAATGATTCCTGAGTTTGTTTTGAACAAACCTCAAGATCACGTAGTATCGACGCTCTTCCTTGTTCATCCAAAGATTGAGTATTAGTAATTAAAGAGGTTGATGGGAGATGAAGACTGGTACCACTGGTTCCAAATATTCCTCCGATTCCAGAAGCAGTACTGGCACTTGATTCTGGCCTCGAATTATTAAAACTATCATCCATTGACTCACGGCCTTCATCACTAAAAACTGAATCCTTTTCATCACTATGAGTACATGTTATCGTTACCGGGTGGCTCGGTAAGCTACTTGTAGCATTTTTTAAAGAAATGTTTATTTCTTCTCTAGGACTTTCTTCGTCAAATGTTTCCTTATATTCTTTACAAGTTGTCAAAGAAGAAATACTTCGAGGTCTTTGCATGCCCAATTCATTGGCTATCGAGGCTGTTGTTGTCGGAGATGAAGATAACGATAATGAAGATGCATCAGGTCCATCATTGAGAGGTGTTGGGGTCAGTGAATTTTCACTTTCACTGCGATCAGACTGCTGTTGGTTATTAGATCTATTGTCATCAATATTGCTAAATTTTACTTTAGCTGGGTTAATAGTGCGGAAGCTTTCAACAGCATCATCTATGAAACTTGGAGGAGCTCTTTTTGTATAAACCTAACGAAGAAAATCATTGGTGAGAATTGAAAAGAATATAAAATTAGAAATGATTTTATTTAGCAATTTATGAATAGTATTGAACATAAGTTACAAGAATAAGATAAAATCGACATTTACCTTTATTTTTCCAACGTACATAACTTCAAATTGCTGTGAATTACTTAGTATATTATCTAGACTAGAACTTCCAGTTCGCTGTAATAAATTAGAACCATTATTCAGATTTATATAATTGCAATGAAATTTCAGCTGAAACAAAGTACAATATTTACATGGATGTATAATAAGATTGGAAAGTTACCTGAGTATTGGTGGTAAAAGCGAACATTCTTGATCGGAAAAGAGATGAACGCCAAGCACACAGAAAAGTTTAAAAGAAATAACGTTGGTCTGAAGGGTACAAGGAAGCAAAAATCATCAGCAGGATTCAAACTACATAACTGTATTCATTTGAAGGGTAGAGTAGCTCTACTAGAGTTACCCAAGATCAAAGAGGGTAAAGACTATTTTTACAAAGGAGTTATCTCCTTGGATTCGATTCTTTCATAATTGATCCTCGATTTCATTGGATGAACAGCATCTGGCGGTAGTTTTGTTTTGCACTTTAGTTGATTCTGATCACAATTATATTTATAATTACTGATGTAATTGCAATACTTAAATGCTGGTGAGATATTGAAGGGGATTTTCAGACCATATTTGTATTTTCCTTTCATCAACCTCCTTCTGTCCCAGCAAACCTTCAATTTTTCAGTCAAATGCTGAATTTTGCACACAAGTAAAATTAGATCATTACCTAAATTATTAAGGTTAAATAACATTCATCGTTTAAACCTTTGTCACATTTAATGTTTCATGATGTTTTGTGATGATTCAACAGAAAAATGTCATTTTAACTAATCAAGCAGTAGTCTATTAAAGAGTTTTTATCATGATTGTATTACGATTTCGGGACTATTGGGTTCACTTTACAATTTTTCTGCCAATAAATTCTGAATTCATTCGTTTTCATGCTTAGATTTCTGATTTAATGATAAATTTGTTAACCAGTAGATTCATCCAACATTATACTACGATAATTTATTTATCATTTGCACCATGTGAAGGTAAACTGAATGAATTCAGAATTTATATGAAGACAAATTGTATTGTAAACACAATTCAGTAGACCCTCGATTTTTTATCGAAATTGAGCGAAGAAAATCATGACAGCGCCATCTAGCTGTGTGATAAAGGATTATGAACCACATTAAAGCTTTTTTTGTTTGTTTGATGTAGTTTTTCAATAGATGGCTCTTTTTTGAGAAAAATCGAGGGTCTACTGAAGTCCCAAAATCGTAATAAAATGACGAAAACCCTTCTATATGCTTTTGCTTGATTAGTTGAGATTTGTTAGTTAAATGAAGTTTTTCTGTTAATGTTATTAATTGTTTTGATTTAATTTAATTTGTGAAAATAAAGCAAAATGAAGAATAAAAAGTGTATGTGAATAATGTGAAGAAAGTAAAAAGAAAGAGTCTCTCACTCGCGCCATCTTCTGTCACCAAAAAACATGTTCACATAATGTATCGAATTGCTATCTCTTCCTTTTTTACTTTTTGCACAAAATAAATTTTATTCAATTTTGCTTTGGACCTGATAAAGTATTATAATACTTGTGGTCCATATCTTTTTCATTTTGTAATCACTCAACCTTTGGTTTGCCATATTCTTAATACAGGGTATTTCAGCTAATTTTACCGTTGTAAATTGGCTATATCTTTGCCCCTGAGTGACCTGAGGTTAGATATTTTGTTTATGATAATTTAGTCGATACTCAATTGTTATATTTCAAGGTCAAGGTCCTTCAAGGTAATTTCGTTATTTGACCTCTAACTGATCTTTTGAGGTCATTTTCTCAATTGCCAGATTAGTTGATGCTAGTGACATGTTCATAACTTATTCTGGTCAAAAGATATGAGTGTTTACACATTGTTGTGTTGATCTCAAATAGAGCACTGTTTTTAAAATCAATAAACTGATTATCTATCTATTTATTGAATTGAATTCCATTATCAATTTTATTGAATTGAAATATAAATATACTTATCATTATGCAGCGGAAACGGTTTCAGTTGAATCGTATCTTGTCAGCATCTTAAGTAGACAAGTTACAGATTATAATACAATAACTTGTCAGTATAAGATGCTGACAAGATACGATTTAGCCGAAACCGTCGCCTAGATATAATGACAATCATGGTGAAAAAAGTGAATGGCACTAGCAATCAAAGTTTATTGACGGTAAAGGTGACAAAGTTTAATTATTTTGACAGATTTTTCGAATTAATAAAAGAAATAAATGATCCCAATAAAAAATCCCAATTAAACATGAATCGCAAAATAAAGAAAGTTGCATTAAATGGGTACTCTTGCATTTTTTCGTTTGAAGAAGGGCTTTCGATCAAGCCAGCAATCAGGGCTTATGTGCTTTTCGAAATCATGAAAGCTGCGGAATCCAATGCTGCAGGAACGGCAAACAACTAGGACATTATTCCATAGAATGTGGCCACCCAACACATCAACGTCAATGCTTTCGAATTCGCCTTCACAAATGCAATTTTCGTGATGACATTTTTTATCATTTTTCTCAAGAGAATCACCAACAATTGATTCTAATCCATGGATACTTATTATTTTTCTGGCTGATATTTCGAAAAGTTGAAACATGATTGATCTTTTTGCGTCAGAATCATGAAGATGAGATGAATAATAAATTATAATGAGAAAATCGTCATCGTCCCTGTGAAAATAAAAGACAAGAAATTATTATATATGTAATATTCAAAAATTAAGTGTTTAAAATTGAGAAAGGGAAATGGTCCAAATTATTCTCCTCTTTCTTTATACTGTCTATTCCCCTGTCTGATTTCTTATTCTCAACAATGGTCAGAAGGGCAAACTTAACTCTTTGTTTTAACTAAATGATTATTGAGGGGAGTTGTAATTATGACTCCAATGTGGTAACTTGAAAATGACTGGCACTAGTGCTTGGACGTAGTATTCATTTAATTATTAGTTTAACTAAATTTAGTTAATTCAATGGGGTATTGTCCGCTATATGATTATTATTAATAAATATTCTCAAATGAGTCACTAGGTAATATTTACTCACGTTCAACTTGGAATTTCGTTGTTTGATAATTGAATTTTTTGAAAAATTTGATGAAATTGAAATCGGTTTCTCTTTAACTTCGGCCATATAATTATCATATGATAGATCTTTAAAAAACCAGTATCTTGAATATCAAGATAAATATCTGAGATGAAATCTATATATACAGTTTCAAAATCATCGTCGGTCAGCTGATCAATTTCACGAGCTTACAACTATCCTTCGCTTTTTTTGTCCTGGATTTGGTTTGCTGTCAGAGGGTTTTCTTTAGCGACGCGACCTAGATGCAAACATTTTTCTCCATGAGTAGCCAAAGTTTTCTTCATGGCCGAAACGTCACCCCAGCTCACACAGTGGAAAACACATTTTTTGAATGGTTTGACTAACTAAAGTGTTAGTGCTGTGAGGGTTTCTTGATGCAGGGCGGTGTTCGCGATTCTCACAAAAATCCGCGATACAATAACTTTTGTAGGCTGCTTGAGATGGTGTCAAATATTCTTTGCGAACAAAAGCTCTTAAGTCGTCGTCACGCCAAACTTTACCACTCTTATCGAGAATTTGATAATCATCTGAAATGATTTCGTGTGGTTCCTCTCTCTTCTTTTTTCTCTTTCTCCTTATTATCATCATCTTTTGGTCGAGCAGCATGGGTTTCAGAATAGAGTAAAGCTTTGATTTTAGACCTGAAAGAAAATATACTTAATTAGTCAATGCAATGATTTACGCGACGTTTTCGGTTAAACTGAATCTTGTCAGCATCTTATAAAGACAAGTTATTAAATATACAAACTGTAACTTGTCTTTATAAGTTGCTGACAAGATACAGTTTAACCGAAAGCGTTGCCGATAAAGATTAAGTAAAAGATTTGGATAGAAATTAAAACACTTACGTGTAATCAGTAAATTTTACTTTTGATTTGGCTTGTGCCTTTTCAATTCTATAATAGGTTATGACTCGCCATAGTGGTGCGTCTTTGTGCCAAGAAGTTTCGTTTATTTCGAACCATTTAGGGTTCGAAAGTCCGCCAGTTGAGGAACCAGGTTGTTCTTTATCAGCATTTTTGAATCTATTGATTCAAGATCGTCAGGAGAATGATAAATTTCTGTCTGGTCAGAGCTGATGCGTTCAGGAGTTTCAGTAGAGCGAAATCGACTAGTCGAGGGTGCTGGAGATTGTCGAGTTGGGGCTGTTTGTGATAGTTGAGGTGAGGATGTTGGAGATCGTGAGGTTGCAGATCGTTGGGTTGAGGGACTTAGAGATCGTGAGCGTCGAGGTTCATTTGTTGGCTTTTTTGCCAACATTTTAAAAAATTTTTGCACTTGGCTAGTGCTGGCAATGTCCTGTCCATCAAACATAAGCTTTTTCACTTCCTTAAATTCAGGGCGTTTATCAAGACCATTTGGTTTCTTGTACTTAGTTTTTAAATATTTAACCTGGCTCTCTGTTCCTATCGAAAAATAAAAAAAAATCATTGAAAAAAACATGAATAAAAGAATTTTTAAACACTTACCTTCAATTATCAAATAGTGAGGCCAAAATTCTTCTGGACTTTTTTCTTTTGCGAGCCAAGGGTCGTCACGCACTTTGATGCTTGCAAATAGTTCAGGCTGGTCTACTATTTCAATGACCGATAACAAATTGACCACACCGTACCTTGTAAGATTACTCATTGTAAGCGAGGGGTACCGCCTTCAGTCCGGTAATACAAAATCCAAGTTTCATCATCGTGGAAATTTTCAAGATTTAAGATACTTATTTAATGCACAATGCATCAATTTAGAAATTGTGACACAGAGGATGATGTAGATTTTTTAAAATAGCGAAAAAAAGATTAAAAAACTTGGAATTAAAATTTAATTAATAGCAATTAAAACAATTGAACAAAGATATAAAAGATGAACTAATTGTTGTCAACAAGCTGACTCTTGTCAGCAGTAACAAACGCCATCTATTGGATTTTTTGGTCAACTTTTTTTGCGGGATTTTTATTTATCTAAAGACACTGACAAGATACAGTTTTATCAAAACTGTAGCCAAATGTTAATAATACAAATAAATTAAATAAATACAAATAAATCGAATTAAAATCTATGTTGAGCTGTTTGAACAACTTGACCGAACTTGTACCAATTTAAGTCTTTGTATTCTGAAAAAGGCCAACTCCTTAATGAATGGTTTGAAACTTTTAATTCACAAAAAATCGCTGTGATCCGATTGAATCGTTTCCAAATGTTCTAATTTTTTTGATAAGGCCACATTTGTTGAATGTAAAACATAATCATACCTTGCAACTGCGCTGCTGTGTTCGCAAAAGTATGTGTCAGTCGTTGAAACTGCCTGTAAGTCAAACTCTTTCATCAGAGCTATTAGTTGTTTATCATCAGTAGTTTTATTCCTGCCAATATCAGCGTTGAAATCGCCAACAATTATCAACGCTTTAGCTCCTGTTTTCAACATTGTTTGGTATCTGTCCAAACCTCCAACCATCAATCTTGAAACTGTGGCTTTCATAACCGTCCAATGAGTTTTTCTTCCTTCTACGTCCGTTTCTGGTACTCGGTGCGTGTTGATGAAACCGATACCAATAGGATGTATGATTGCTGTGACCATCCTGAAGCCTGTCTTAAAAATAAAAGGATGCTCTCCTTGATGTTGTGGTGGTGTTAAAATTAACAATATTTATCAATTTGATAGAAAACCACGTCCTGGCTATCTCCACTGTTGCTTCTGCTGGATTCCTGTTCAAAAAAGTCGTTGCTTCGGTCCCACACTGATTTTGGCACCTCTTGAAGTCCAACAAAGAGTGGACCTCTATCTTTAAATGTGTTTACTACTTTGCCTCTTACACAAGTATAAAGTTCAGCATTTTTGCATATTAAAAGTTAAAACAAAGACTTTTTTAATTTCAGCAGTTGCCATTTTATTAAAACAAAAGATTTGTTTGAATTGTTGAGATCAATTTCTTGTCCAAATGTGAATAACTGGTAACAATGAACAGTATTGTTGTGTATTCACAATTAACCAAAACATTCGTTATGTTCATCCTCAATCAATATCCTTATTTCTTACGTTATTTGCCAGATAGAGTAATGTGAATAATGACAAACGTGGCAAAGTATGATTAAAATAATAATTCAAAATGTGACAAAAAGTTTTTCGATAGTTTTCATGCAAAGCTTTAAACTTTTGACAAAAAAGATGCCATTTTAAATTAACAGCGTCTGGCTAATTAATCATTCACTGATTTACTGAAATAAATTTAGGTGAAATTTTTTGTTTTATCAGTACAGTAAGGTACCAGATAATGAGAATCAATTTCCAACGACCCCTATTGAGGGGGGGAAGATCTTCATTGTTATTGTTTTCGCTCTCATTATTACGAAATTTGCTCTTAGTTCAACGCTTTCGTGTGAATAAGCTATTTCAAGGTATTCTCATTATCTGGTACCTTACTGTAGTCAATTCCTGTGAAAATATTATAACGAAAAAAGGTTAGTATTGTTAGCCTAAAAGTGTACCTAAATTTGATTTGATTTTGCACAAATTGTTGGCTTTAAACTTTTGAATATGACTGTAGAATACGAAGAGTATAACTCTTATAGCTATTACTCTGTGATAGAATAGAATAGAATAGAATCATGTTTATTAGCAAAACATAGATGGAGCCAAAGATTCAATTGAACTGACAATTCGAGGTAGCTCAGAAACGGCACTTTATTTTTTCAATAATCTCTATTTTTGAACTCAATTCAGATCTTTATTATTTCTAATTGCTAGAATAGAAAAAAGAGCTAAATTGAAAAATCTTTCAAAAATGAATATCTTTTTGAAGCTTCTTATTTCTCTTCACTGATCTGAGTTGAAGTGGATGTTGGCAGGAAAATTTCAAGATTAATTGTGAATAAATCAGAAGATTGTTATTCACATTTGGAAAAGAAATCGATCTCAACAATTCAAACAATCAGTGTTTTCAAGATATCAGCATTGATGCCAAAATGAGCGATTTCTTGTTTTCTCAGCAAATCATGTTTACCAATCTTTATCATTGAGTATTTTTTTTCTTTCTTCTGATGAAACTTTCATGCATTTTGTCATGGAAAACATTTTGATAGAAATATATCAATAAAAAGGGCAATATCATTAGTGAATGAACCGGAAATCATTGGATAAACATATTAATCCCAACAGGAATCTCTTAATAGTTTATTGATAAAGATATTTTCATTGCAAATAATCAACTAAAATATCCATCTAATCATGGTTCTATCTTATTTACAGTTGAAGCTTGGTTTAAATTAAACCAAACAGTTTAAAGGTTTTTATGGTTATATTGATGTTCAAGTTGAATCACAAATGGCGTCAATTGGTTTTTTGATGGAAACAGTTTTTCATAAATCATAAGCTCTATCCAATGATACTCAGTCAAATCGGGTTCAAGTAATGCGTTTCCTTTCCTGGACAATCTTTTCATAAATGCAATCAATCGAGAAGTATAAAATTATCAATTATCAATACTTTCAATCATTTAAAAACATAGAAATAATGTTAAATTACATTACATTTACATTTACTGCACGTGTTTACAGACTTTACATTTTTACAAGAATTGTCTGTTTTTTTGAATCGTATCAAATAAACTTTGCAAATTTTGAAAGAAAGACCAGGTAATAATTAGTAAAATCAACAAAAATACTATTATTAGTTTAGTTTGAATTCTAGAATACATTTCCACAGTTCTATTAATATCAATGAACTTTTCTCGATTGTTAATCACTCCTAGTTCACTTCTTGATTTTGAAGCTTGAGATGAATTGAACTTGTTTTCTGGAAATGTGAAACAAATCAGCATTGAAGTTAACATCATTTTATCGCCTTGAGTTATCAATTGAAAAATGAAAATTGGCTAAAGAAGTTGTTTCAATGATAAGTCAAATGGAAACCGCATTTTCAACATAATCATTACAAATCATCATTATCATCATATTTTCATCACTAAATTTGCCAGTAAAGTAGTCATATGCATTTTGATTTATCCTTTCCTCTTCCTTTTTTATTTGCTCCTTGATAATGTCCCCAGGCATTTGGCCTCATCATTGTTGGTTCAACTTATTCAAATTGATCATTCATCAAACATGGCTCTTTTAATATGTATATTTCCTAACTGGATAACTCCAACTATGATTATGATTATGCTGAAGATGAACATGATGACTGTTGAAACCATCGAAATATTTTGGCTTTATCTTTACCCTTAAGCAATATCCATACATATTTATCTTTTTGGTCTCATCTTTACTCTCCTCTTGTTAATATCATTATTTGAATCCAAACAAATCTCCTTTCCATTTTTGTATATTGTATGAACAACAAATAACGGTATCCATCGGAAATCTCGAAAGTTTACTCAATGTTTCAACATGGATACAGCAAACATGATTAACAGTAGGTTAAATAAATCGAGCCAATCCACCTTTGTTAGCCAATTACATATAAGATTCAATTTTGATTAGATTAACCATCCATTATATGAGAGTTCCTCTTTGACAATTTCCACACGATCAAGATGCAGATTCAATGAATCGTTGAATGGTTTAAACCCATTGATAAGTCAGGATAAATGATGAAAAAGCCTGCAGATAAAGATAGAGATGATGATCAAATGAAGATGATAATAGTGATGATGAGGAACAAAAAAGGTAAAAGGTAAACTTTGAATTGAAATGTAATTTACTTTACTCTGTTTTTTGTTAATGTAAACATGAGCTATTACCCTAATTATAACAGCAAAAGCCAAAATTGCATTAACTTTTTTCTCATTTATTTTCTATTATTAATATCATCTTTTTGTCTCTTTTTTCTTCCTCTTTTATATATTCTTAGTTTCCAAGCCCAGAACCAATCAACCTTACCTTTTGATGATGCTCCTTATGATGATAAATGTTAAAGATGAATCCTTGCTTTTTTCGCTAGAATCATAACCATTTCACTAGTCTTTTATTATCATTTTTTTCATTTGCCTGAAAAGAAAACAAACTATAATGAAAAAAATCCATTTTGCTCTCTTTTTCATTATTCATCCAGGATCACCTTTATTCAGAGGGAAATAAAGAAGAAAAGATGAAATGTAACAGGCAAAGTTTAAGAAACAGAAAGGCAAAAAAATGAAAACAACTGCACAAGAAGAGGTAAAAGATGATGATGATGAAGATGAAGATGATACAAATAAAGAAAAAGAGTGAAAGAAGAAAAGATAAAGAGAAAAAGAAGGCAAAAACAACTACTATAGAATAGATAGACTCTTTTTACTGTTGAATCTCATTGAATTGAGATTTTGTATTTGCTTTTCATCGACATTGTTTACATTGTAACCTGTTGGGACATTAATTCGCTCTCTTTTTTTCTCTTTATTTATCTTCTTGTAACAACAGGAATGATGAAGATGATGCTGTTGATGATCACGTTGATGATAATGATGATGATCAATTCACTATTTACCTGAATCAGTCTGAAAAAAAATATGGAGAGAAGGCAAAAGGCAAAAGGATCAGAAGAAACCACATTGGCTGAAATTGGCTCTATAGAGAACACTTTAGCCTGAAGATGATACAGATGATGTATATTAGCTAGAGTTGTATATGCACAGATTATGTATTTTTATAGGGACTGGTTCCTCTTTGGCCATTGTTACCTCTTATAATGAAAAAACAACAAATAAACAACAAAAAACTAGCAAAAAATAATAAAAAGCAAAAATGTCTACTCTTGTTGCGCCATCTTCTTGTTTACTTTATAATTCAAATAATAAATGCATTAAGCATTGCAAGAAAAAAGGCTGAAATCAAAGTCTTCTTCCCGCTCTCTTCTTCCTCGTCATTATCATTCAATTTGTTTTTCATTTTTTTTTGTTTCTTGTTATTATTCATCTTCATCGTCCTTAGTCTCTTCAATGTATTAAATCTACTCTTGTTCATTGATCTGATCATGATGCAACTATATCAGTTTTTTGTCTGTGTGTATTACAGTAAACTATTGGCCAACTCTCACTTTTTCACTCATGTAAACATCATCCGTCATTTTATTCATCATCGCTTTTTCTCACATCCACTCTTCTTCTTCTCTTTTCCTCTGTTCTCTGTAAGTATCTTTCATCTTCAATGGATATCAAAATGTACACACTTTTTTCATTTGTTGTTGATAAACTTCTCCTTTTTTTGAATAGCCATTTTGATTCTCTAACGGACCGTGATAATGCAACAGATAACACCACCTTTTAACCAGATATTTGACTGGAAAATTTATCTCTATGTTTTTATTGACATAGCACATTAAACACTTAACCTGATTCAGTCTGTTAGCTTATGGTAATCTCATATTGAAACCAAGTTTATTAACGGGCCATCAATTAGTTTAGTCTAAACAGCACCAAAAGATGTACCAAAAGAAAGTGGAACCACAAGGGAAGGGAAGGATAACATAATGAAGGACAGCAAAAACACAAGACAAGACACAAAAATGCAAATCTAGAAATCAAAAGAGTCCATTAACGGATCAATATTCAATCAAGCACTGCCAAGCAACCGTGCACTGGTTTTAAAATTCAATTGGACCAGAACAAGACGAATCTTGAAATGATGCTTACAGATGAGGAGACAATTAATGCTATGAAATATGCAACAAACCGTACTTTTTCAGCTGATCTCAAGTTCGTTTTAAGACACACATAGATGTACATTAATAGCAGCAACCCTGATAATAATGTCATCAACTAATATGTTATGCGTTGTGATATCAGCTTTATGCTATTTATGTGAGTCCAACCATATTAATCAACCTGCCCTTGGGTGTTAAAATAGTTGGCCACAATTTATGGTGGATAAGGAGGTTACAAAGCATTTTTATATCTATTATTATGATTATTATTGGTGTTGTTCAATGAGAAGCAACAATAAAAGGAATTGTTGTTCGGTTAAAGGTAAACTATATTATTATGACAATTGTAAATGACAAGCCAAACTATAAACAGAAACCTCCTCTCAACTCAACTCCTTTCAACATTGAAAATATTATATTTTGTAAGTAAGCATGAAGATGATGATAAAAAAAACAAAATCAATACAAAAATACATTTCTCTCTTGTGTCTCTAGGCTTTGGAGCAAAGAGGCAACTGTGGAGTAAAAAATCTTGATGTGATTGTCTGTTTTTGACAGATTATACAGTAACATAACAATCAGTACAAACATACAACACTGTATTCACTTCAACTAAAGCTAATTAACATCAACACTTTGATCATCTTCATTCTTACCATCACCACCACAATTATTGTAACCATCATGTGTTGAAAGGAAAAAGCAGGAGAAAGGAAAATTGGTGACAATTTTTGGCTCTTCATTCACACCTATTAGCTGAAGATGATTAAGAATCACACCAGGAATCAACAATTAGTGGATTCAATTTAACTTGTAATGTTACTTTCATACATATCCATGCAATCTTTTACATTTTAAATCTCGATTATGTAAAATGTAATCCACAATGTAATCCATACACAATGTACAACAATAATCTACTTTTCTGGATCATCATTTTCATCTTTTTCAATCTAATCATTTTTTTAATCATATTGAAACTGATGGACATCTTTTTGTTACTATTTGCACGTGACAATCAACATGAAATGATTAGGTTAAGATGAAGATGAAAATGATGACAAAGAAACAACCGATTGATGTATTTGTAATAACATGTCATGGTAAAGGGCATAACCATGTTTTATTTTCAAATGTGAATAAACATGAATCCCGTTGAATGTTAATATTTTGATTTACATTAATCAATGATATTGAGTCAATCATGGGACCGGATAACAACAATTGAATAACCACAATTTAATGCAATTCACAGTGGGAGATAATAAGTTAGGCTAGGTTAGGTGAGGTGAAACAAGATGATGAAAAGGATGGAAGAGAAAAGAAATCAAAGAAGAAAAAAATGATAATTCAAATTGTAGATTAACTTTGATTCAATTGAATGGGATCAACGATTCGAGTAAGAAGAAGCAAAGGGAGAAGAAGAAGAAAAAAAGGAAAATCAGGGAACAGAGAAAGAAATTGAATAAGATTCAGTTTATTCAGCCCAGATGCATGATGTCAAGAATCATCTCTGGTTATGACACTTTAAGTGAATCCAAAATTAAGTCAGACTTTCAGATTGTAATGAAAATGAAAGGTAATCAGCGAAGAGTCGACTGTGTGTTTTGGGACAAAAGTGACTCTATTAGCTTGACTGAACCACGTATTTCTGGCCTAACCAGATGAAGATGATGAAAATCAGGATGACACAAAAAATGATGAGAAAGATGAAAATATTGTACATTAAGAAAGGGAAAGGTCAATTGTTTAAGAAGCTTATGGAAACCTTTTTTTGTCAATATTAAAATGAACTCAGTCTCGTGTTATTCACTCCCATTATTTAGCATTCTGCTTTTATGTATTGGTACTATCCATACCTATTGATTTGAGGCCAACAAAAGATCGACTCATTACTTAGTACTATACCTAGGAATGAAGGGAGCCCAAGCGCAAATAACTCAACAACAAATATGTATTCATCTTTATTATTGTAATAATAATTTCTTTTGATTTTTTGGGACAAATTTTTGGTCCCTTTCCCGAGTATCCAAAGGAACCCAGGTTTGTAAATTTGTAAAAATGGCAATAATATTGATAAACACAGTTACTGGAAGAGGAAGAAAAGCTTTTTTCTTCTTTCAACATGCATTTCCAACAATCAAATTCATATTAAAATCTTCTTTCCTCCTATTTATCATTTCAAACAATCTTCATCCTTGTCTTTAAATGCATCCGCAACCCTTTTGAAGGCAACTTTTTATCAGCTTTTCCTTCTTAGCTCTTAACGGCTCAGTTGTCACAACTCTGAGAATCTTCGTCGAGATTCAAAGATTCACTTGAGCTGACAAATTTTCACTAAATCACAGGTTGACTTGACCGTTTGCTTGACTTATTAGCTTGATATCATCGGATTATTTTGTACTAATACTGGAAATTGATAAAACAATGAATTTCAAGTTGAACTCAATAAACATTTCATCGCAAAAAGCATTGCTTTTATCATTGATTGAAAGTTTACTTAAAAGTCAAAGATGATTGGGTTATTTTACATTAAATTATGAATTATTGTGACAAGAAATTGATTGATTTTAAAGACTAAAAGGTTGTTTTGATTCAAAGGTTGATTTTATTTTCGGGAAAAAGGTTGCATTTGCAAGTCTCCATCTTCAATGGATGAAAACATTTCACCGACCAACTTTCAATGGTAAAATTTAAATGAGTAAAACGTTTGACTGCTCAAACAGACTGGACACAAATTTGTTGAAATGGTCAACTTTGTCCATCTTTTTACACAACTGTTCAAATGATTTGCATTTTGAATCGACAAGAAAAATTTAAAACCTCCATCATTATAATAATCACCATTGTACATTAAAAGTCCAACAGTGTTAATCTTGGAAGAAGAAGAAAAAAAATGTCCAACACTTGAACATTGAATGTGGACAAAAAAAGGTAATATATAATAATAGAAACTCTAGTCTATAGAATATTGTTTTGCCTTCTTTGCTCGATAAAAATAAAGTGTAATATATTTGCTCATCTCGGCGACCAAATCTTGTGGTTCCTTTGATTGTTGCTCTAAATTTGTGCCCAGTTTTCCGTTGAATTAATCATTAGTCCATTCTTGAACTAATCAGGTAACAATTAAAAGATATTCATTCGATGGTTTCACATTTCACTTTGAAAATCATATTAAATGACAAAAGTCATCCTTTAACCGTAATACACAAAAAAAGGTTTACCAATTGTTGCCATTCAATCTTTTCCCAGTAACTTTAGTGTTAAATTACATGTTACAAACAATAAATGTTTCCATATTTAATGCGTCTCAATCGTCGGAATCATTCGTTTCGATAAATACAGTAAGTGAAAATGACTAGTGAATTGAAAGTTCTTAACTGATAATAAGCTTCAGGTGAGATTCATCCCAAGTTACTAGTCCCAAGTCATTTTTTACATCATCTAATGAGCTTTTATCAGATCGATATATTTCGTTCATCAATTTTTACTATCGATACTGACCAGGTTTAAGAAAGATTTTCTTGAATAAAATCTTATTTTGAATATTTCTTGACATTTAACTTATAAGTTTTGGTGAAGATTTACTCATTTTTTTGAATGCTTGGGTAATGTTACACTTGGATTGAAAATGGATAACATTCACTCTTGAATAGATTGTAAAAAATAGGAAAATTAAAATTGATGATGATGTAAATTTGTTGACAACATTGTACTTGATCATCACAATATGGACTAATCATTGTTAACATGGCACTTGAAAAAAGCAACCATTTGTATCTTCACTTGAAGAAGCTCTTGAAGGTTTTTTTGGTCTTCCCTTAACATTTCATGTAAAAATCGCTTCTCATAACCATTTTCAACCGTAAACTAACGGTTTCATTGTTACAACTACGAGATGAACCTTGATAATTGAATACAATTTGGATAATGTGAATAAGCTAATGAAACAACAAATCACTTTGAGCTGGCAAATTGATCGCCTAAAAGATTAATCAACAATTTTTACATTTCATCAAAAATTGCTGTTCAACTTTACATTATTAGTAAGCTTTTAGGTTTACAACAATTTACTAACCAACTCAACCTATACTGGTTATAAATGGTTGATTAGTGTTCACTTATAACTGGACCAATTTGTTGTAATCAAATTTAAAGTCACCAATTTGTGAGGTTTTGTTAAGACACCTGAATCTGTTGAACTGATTGAGAGTTGACAAAAGTTAAAAGGATTATCATTGATATCATCTTACATGAAACATTAACAATATCATGATATAAATATCAAATAATAACAAGAGTAACATCCTATCATATTCATCTCCTCCCAGTTCAACCTCCTTATCATTCCTTTTATCATCCATTATCTTCTTTTCCTCCCTTTTCCTCTTTACCTCAACAACTGTATAAACTTATTATCGTTCAACAATGTCTTCATCTTCAATCTTTATCCTTTACTATTTGGCTTTTCATCGCTTTCAATCCAAACATTAAACCTCTTTTAATGTCATCGACTTTTACAAGATTATATCAACTTTCATTTTCATTAAACTCTTCAACTTAAATTGTTGACCAAATCAGTGCAAACATTGAAATTAAATTGCAAACAGTTTTCACAGTTGAATCTTTTATTTTTATTTTAATGTTAACAGTGAATTCAATGATGGTTTTGCTGTTGATTTTTCTTGCCATTACCATGAAAACGGATCATTTAAAAGACTAGATGAAACACTGAATTTTAAAATACTTAGCATTGTTAGACATTCAACAATTACAAAATTGGATTTGAAGAGAAAAGTTGAACTCAAAGTTCTAATTGTTGATGAAAAGGTGATTTAGTGTAGGGTTTGATGGGATGATTAAGGGAATCTGGTTAAATTGGTTAAATGCAATGTCTTAAAGGTTGAAACAAATTTTCTTTACTTGGTTCATTTGATTTGTTCAACATTGACTCAACAGTCAGTCCAACAGGTTTGCTGGTTGATGAGGATGAAAATCGAGAGGAAGATGAGGATGAAGATGAAGAGGAGGAAGATGATGAAGAAGAGGATGATGAGGACAGTAAAAGGTTAGATGTTGAGGTTATCTCATCGTCCTTGTGTTTTGTTTTGACTTTTCGTCGACGTCTTCTAGGTTCAGTCTTTTCACTGTAACCAACTCGTCTTTTCAATTTTGCTCGTCTTCTCATTGTTTCATCTTTTGACTGCACCTTGTCATCAACATGCATGCTCTCATCATCATCTTCAAACTCTTCTTCGTCCTCTTCATCTTCATCTTCTTCATTTTCATCTTCATCTTCTTCTTCCTCGTCTTCCTCTTCATCATCGACAACGTCAAGAATCGGTGAATCTTCACAGTTGATTGACTCTTCAGGTGAACTTACAGCTGATATTAAAGCGTTTACACTGAAAACTGTATTGGATGGATGAGTAAGTTGCGAGTCTGTTTCATGATGTTGGTGAAGATGATGAAGATGATGGTAAATAAGAGAGAAAGCATTTCTATAAGGGTCAGTTGAGCCCATGGAAGATGAGGGTGAAGTCAATGGTCCAGTGAGATGGGGATGATGAGGGTGATGATGCGAATGTTGAAAGGTACCGTTAAGATTATGAGTTGGGGTTGATGAAGAGACGGTCGAAGCTTGAGGTAATGTGACCTGTGAAGGTAGACCAACTGGGTGAGATGAAAGTGTATTAACTGAGCCCGTAAAGGAAGGGCACGAAGGAGACGATGAAGTTGAAGAGGAATGATTTAACTTTGTTTTTGCATCTTTTACTGAAGTAGAAGCCGTAGTTGTGACACTTGTTGATGTCGAGTGTAACCCTGATGGCTTGCCTTTACACGGTCCAGAGACGGTTGATGCTCCGGTCAGAGTAGAGCTTGATGATGAGGTTGTCGGGTTTGTTGACAAAACATCGTGCAACTTTCTCATGTGCTTCTTAAGGTCAAAATTGCGACAAAATCCTTTACTGCAAAAGGAACAGGTATATGGTTTGGTGTCTTTATGAGTGTACATGTGAAAGGTCAAATTATAAACCTGATGGAAAGCCTTGTTACAGATTTCACAGCGATAAGCTTTAATACCTTTATGAGTCAACTCGTGATTTTTAAAGTTACCCTTTTGATGGAAACCTTTTCCACAAATTTCACATTTCCAGGGTTTATAGTTGGAATGGATTCTTACATGAGTGTTCAGGGTTGATGAACGGTTAAATGCCTTTTTACAGATTAGGCAAACATGAGGCTTTTCAGCTGTATGGATAATCTTGTGTCGGCAAAGGGTCGATGCTTGGCGAAATCCTTTGCCACAAACTTTACAAACAAAGGGTCGAGCTCCAGTATGGACTGGCATGTGACGTGTCAAATTGTAATGGGCATTAAATACTTTGCCACATTCCGAGCAGGTAAACATTTTTGATTTGTTGACTCCATTTGTGGATGAACTTGAGGTTGCTGTTGAGGTTGTTGTTGTTTTAACTGACACTATTGGTGCTGTTGGTTTGCTTGTTGTGGATAACAATTTATCAATTCCAAAGGAAAGTTCAGTTGATGATTTATTCATGGTTAATCACTGGTAGGGTTTCAAGGGTTGATTTAGTGCATAAATTAGGTTTAAACTATACAAATGTAAAGCACATCAAACAGATATTAAAATGAACAAAAGTTGCAAAATTACTTGTCTTCAAATGATTTCAATGTTGTGATGAAAATGATGAAAATGATGATGATGATGATGATGATAACAACTCAGTAACTGAGAATAATATTTATAGCAATGTTCAACAGTTATATTCACTCCTATACTGACAATATTATCATCAACTTGCCTGTGCAAGGCGGAGTTAACAGGGACTTGGATAGACCAATGAAAGCTTGTTATCGCTTCATATTATCATATTGTTGCTTCAATGTTGTGTATCAACAGCTCTTAATGGTTTAGCCTTTTACAATTTATAGTCAATTTTATTGCATTGTTTTTGGGACAAAATTTTCATCAATCATAACATTTGTTATCAACCGATCTTCGATTTCAGTTCAATTCAAGTTTCAACATTTTTGTCTTTTCTCCAATGTTTTTGTTTCAAATGACTTTAATTAATGAATTTCATTTGCTGTTAACATGGCACTTGAAGAAGCTCTTGAAGGTTTTTTGCTCTTCCCTTAACATTTCATGTAAAAATCGCTTCTCATAACCATTTTTCAACCGTAAACTAACGGTTTCATTGTTACAGCTTCGAGATGAACCTTGATAATTGAATACAATTTGGATAATGTGAATAAGCTAATGAAACAGCAAATCACTTTGAGCTGGCAAATTGATCGCCTAAAAGATTAATCAACAATTTTTACATTTCATCAAAAATTGCTGTTCAACTTTACATTTTCATTATTAGTAAGGGTACTTTTTTCGCGTGAAATTTATTTTTGCTCAATCTCGTTTAGGTGTGTTTTGGTTGTGTTATCTTGCCGATAACAATTAACATTTTGAAAAGGCCTTTTTAACTCAATTCCATTGAATAGTATTCAATTAAAAGGTACTCTTAACCATTTTTACCGATTTCAATGAGGAAACATTTCAAGTTTCAATGTTTGTTATTTTGTTGATCTTGTCAATGAATATGTATGAATGTGTGTGTGTGTTTTTGCTGCCCCAAAGGAGCCAAAGAGTTGAAGCGTTGAAGCTTCTATTGTTAACTACTTACCACTGAGTTTAGAGCAATACAATGAACAAGCAAACCAATTTGTCACTATTTATCAATACTATGAATGGTAGACAGTGTGCAGTAAATAAATGAAGTCGAGTTAATTATCCTTTATAATCGCTTGATCCGCATGTTATCCGCTTTCAACAACCAAAATATTTGACATAAACCGTGAATAGGTCTGAACAAACCAGTCGAATCAAAATAGACGCTTAAAAGAAAATTCAGCGCACGAATTGAAGCGTTTTTCTTTATACATGCAGTACATATTTTTTGTCATTACCTCTTCGCGTTTTTTGCGTTGCAATGTCAGTTTCCACAATACACTTCGAAAATTAAAGCAAAACTGTTAAATTAGCCACTTTCTCAGTGGTTAAAGAGTTGGCCAAGTGAAGAGTGATTAATGGGTCGAGTCTCGGTTGGAGCATCTTTTTGGGAAAATTAAATTGAATCGAGCGTCTAGCGCATATAAATTTTAATTAATGCAGAAGCTGCGGACTTATTTGACCAATTCTCTTACTGCTCACTCTTCTAGCGTGTATCCCGACAAGAGTGACTCTCTTAGGTTGACTGGTTCATACCTTAAGTCTGACCAAACTTGCACAAAACAATTTGAAATAAATTAATTAAAATTGTAAAGACAAATGTAATGATTAAGATGTTAATAGTGATCATTATGATCATTATCGTAATGATCATATCTTTGACTCTCTCTCAATTTGTTTTCATCTTTAGCGGCTAATAACCTTTGAAATATCCTTAATTTTAGTCGGTAATTGAATGAAATGTTGAATGTGTAAAGAAGTAGGAAAACTGTTTTTGTTCATTGTTCATAAATGGTCCCTACAAAGAGCTATGATAAGAGGGTGGTTTAGGGGCTGGCTGTGGAGGAGGAGATGTAAAACCCTCATTCAATACTTTCAATCCCAGTCCATCTCTTAAAAGATTATCACATTTATTGTTGGTAAATATGAATAATAAAAGTTACTATTTGTTTTCTTGTCTTCCCTTGTTAATATCATGTACTTTTTTTTCTTGGTCATTTTAACATTCATCCTTTTAGTACCAACTACTTGTACTGTTGTCCATTGTAATCGGCTCTTAATACATGTACATTTGTATTTTCATGTATTTTAGCCGATTATCGGCTATTTTATATTAAAAAACCTTTAAGCCAAGCCGATTATCCCGTTAACAATAAATCCGTGTAAACCACTTGCTAAGTGCCTATGGTACATTGATTTTCATTAATCGCACTCCTTCCTACCAACAACATCCAAGGCTCATTTGACTGACAAATCTTTATCTTCCTATTCATCATCTTCTTTCTTGCCCAAAAAATCCAAGACTCTTTTCGTTGCCATTTCATCTGTGCTATAACCTTTTCTCATTAAATTAAAACATTTCATCTCTAAAAAGGCCAAACTTTACATTCAATTTGCTCTTTCCTTTCATCTTCCAGAGTCTCACTTTTTGCTTCTTCCTTTCTCATCTTCATTATCCTTAAGGTAGTATAAAATATATTTGTCCATTTTTGATCAACTCTTCTCTCTTTTCATTCCCTTTTCATCATTCCTTTTTCCTCCCTGTATGTGTCTTCATCATGAATACATAAATATATGAGCATACACAACTTCCATGCAAGTTACTATGTGGCTAGGCACTTCTTTTGTGAATCCCCGAAAGGACAAAAAGCCTTTGGTTCGTGGCCCTTTTCATCTCAATGGTATTGCTTTTTTTTATTATTATCATTACTTTATATTTTTATTTTTACAAAATGCTGTTTTACATTTTTGCTTGCCTGTGAAGTTGATTGAAAAGAGCCAAGACACACACACACACAGCATCACAAAAGGTCCTCCAATGAGCCAGTAACAGCGCAAAAAGTCTAATGATGAGGAAGAAAAAGGAGCAAAAGAGGATGACGGTGATGATGATGAGAATGAAAGAAGACCAAAAACATGAAAGAAGAAGGTCGCAAAAACAAGGCTAACTGAAAAAAAAATTTTACGCTTTACATTTACATTGTTATTGAATAGAGTAAAGTCTACTAAATACTCTTTACTTTTCACTAATACATGTAATCCTCTCGTTAATACACATAAATACTAAAGAAAGTGCTCTTGTAGTTCATTTTGTACCTGGGTTAAACTTGCTAAAGGTAAGTAGTAACAAGAAGAGAAAGGTGGAAGCGCAAAAAAAGCGAAGGCGAATTTCAATGGAAAACAAGAAAAGGTATTGAACATCCTTCTTATAAAGTACATAATAATGGACTTTACTTTCAACAAAACACTGCTTTTGCTCCTTTTTTCTTTCGTCTTCGTCTTCTTTTCTTTTTCATCTTTTCTTCTTCAACTTCATCTTCTTTATCATCATCATCATCTTCATCCCAATCATTTCCGTTGATGTGTTACTCGTGCGACTTGGGACGATAAAAGTCAAACCAATTTACTTGGACTTTCAACTCTGGTTAACCTCAAGACTCTTAGAGTTTTTTTTGGTTCACCTTTTTTTTCCTGGTCAAGTTTCGTCAAGATCAAGTTTCATTTCGCTCTTTTTGTTGTGGCTCTACCTTATTATCTGATAAGCATCTCTGATTATGATCAGGATGATTATTATGAGATGAGGCTGATAATAAACTAGGTTATCTTGAAACCACAGAAAACAAGTAAAAGAATAAGCGAAACTTGAGAAAAGCGATTTTGTTTCTTGTTTCCTTTTTTTCACCTCATTTTGATTCATTCATTCAACAATTCATTTTAATAGCGACCTGTCAACACTTATTATCGCATCTACTTTCATCGACAATCAACCAGCCATTATTAACCAATTGTCACTTCAATTGTTCAATGTAATTTATATCTTTGGCCCACCGTCAGTTTGATAAGTATAAATGTAATAACCGCATTGGCCTTTAGCCTTTTATTTTTAAATGTCAACGTCTTTTGGTTTCACTCTTTTTTCACTTCACTTGTTCAACATTGTTGACTTTTGCTGCTCATGTTTCATAGTTATCTGATTGATCAATTTCATTTATTGATTCGGATTAATAGACAATTTTCAAGTCAATAATTAAATGATACTGATCTTTGCCGAGTTAACTCATGAAAGTTTAAATGATTCATTTAGATTAGTTTAAATCTAGAAAACAATTTTTAATGAAAGTGAAAACTATTTCATTAGAGTTTTAAATATATTTTTCGGTTCGATATGAATTCTAGGTCAGAATCGACGGCAATTTTGCTGAATGAAAGTAGGAAACACTTTATGTAACGTTTTAATTTCAACTTCAAATTGATACCACTTTTGTGTCCGTCCGAAAATTTATAGTGAGAAACCTCATGTTTGCCTAATCTGTAAAAAGGCATTTAACCGTTCATCAACCCTGAACACTCATGTAAGAATCCATTCCAACTATAAACCCTGGAAATGTGAAATTTGTGGAAAAGGTTTCCATCAAAAGGGTAACTTTAAAAATCACGAGTTGACGCATAAAGGTATTAAAGCTTATCGCTGTGAAATCTGTAACAAGGCTTTCCATCAGGTTTATAATTTGACCTTTCACATGTACACTCATAAAGACACCAAACCATATACCTGTTCCTTTTGCAGTAAAGGATTTTGTCGCAATTTTGACCTTAAGAAGCACATGAGAAAGTTGCACGATGTTTTGTCAACAAACCCGACAAGCTCAAGATGTCCAACAGGATAGTTCTGTTTCAAGCAAGAGATAGCCAAAAAATTCAGCGAAAAATCTAAAATTTGTTAAATTAAATAAAATTCATTGAACTGATACAACAAGCTTCCAAAATGATGATATTGAATTAATTCAGCTTAGGCTTGATCGCTTTACACGAATATCTTAATCAAAATTGATAATTACTTGCCAAAGCATCAAATAATTATTGTAAAGGATCGGACTCTCTGTTTGTTTTAAAGCTTAAAATATCGCGATTATGAACTTTTAAACCAAACGGCGAAAACCAATCAAACAAGAATATATCACCAAATAGGAATTATTAAAACATAAATTTACATGTTCGTATTCATAACTTTTGGATGTAAAATATATCAGTGGGTCCATCAGTACCATTTCGCCAGAGTTTACCAATTCAATTACGTTCTCGTTTTATAACAATAAATTTTTGGCTAAGCAACTGCATTTCATTGTTATCATCGTATTATAAATTTTTATGCAATTATACTTTAATACAAATCTTCGTTTTAAATTCTCTATAACTATCTAATTTTCTCATGAACTTATTACACAAATCTAGTAGCAATCGCTATGATTTTGTTCAACCCGTATGTTTCTTTCCTAATTAAATTCGGAATTGGAACTAAAATTCGTGTACCCAAAGGATTTCCTTTATCGTCCATTAGAACCATGTTATTCGAGTCAAAACGAGGCACAAATGGCTTCTGAAGTCGCACCAAGCCAACAACTACTCCTTTCTTTTTTTGTCCCTTTATTGCTACAATTACCTTAGCACCCAATTCAGCTATTCTGGGTTAGATTGCTCAAATTAAATTGTAAATAGGTCATGTTTTCAAATCAATTTATTAATAAGTAGTTTGCCAGAGTTTGATTTAGTAAAAATCAACAATTTAATTTATTTTGAAAATTGCGCATATTTTCAATGTTGTTTAGTAGAGTCCTCTATCGTTTAATAAATGAACAACTTTTAATAACAAATTATTTTCTCAAGTCTTCATTGACCTTTGTGCTTGTTTACTGTTTTATTTCTTTATTAATTTTAATAGATTGAATTGAATTTAGTTTAAATTTAAAATGAGATTGTCTCTCATTCGTAGATGTAGACGGTTTGATCCGTCAAAAATGTTTGATGAATCGCCTGAGGAATTGGATAAAATGCGAAGACGTTATGAGTTGAGACAAAAGCTTAAAACTGAATTCAATCGATTCTACTACAATCCTTATAATTCAGCATATGGTGTTGCATACGTAAGTAAACTTTAAGCATAAATTAAGTTAGTAAATTGATAAATTTTTGTATTATTCATTCATTAGGTCGATCCACAATTTGAGAGATATTACGCTGCCAGATTTTACAGACTTGATTACTGGAAGCCTACCTTTGGTTCATTTATTCAATTTGTTGCTACAATCTTCATACCATTTATTATTCTTACTAGATTTTATCAGAATGAAGAAGTAAGTCAATTTTATATTTAATTGAACAAGATTTGGCAATTATTGACTCCTCTTTTTCATTTTACAGGATATCTATTGGGAAAAAACGCAAAGTGGTGAATTGACTTATAAAAATAGGAAGCTTTACTGTTTCTTGTATTAAAAAAGTTGTACGAGTTATATTTAGTATGAGTAGTGTAAAATATTGATTTAAACTCTAGTTTAAAGCTTAAAAAATAAATTTTTGATTAATCACTTTCGTTTTATTTTTATTAGGTACAAGTGTAGCCTCAGATCATGACTGATCGCAAATTTATTTTCACTGTGTACGATAAAGTCAATCCACATTTAAAGACTCAAATTTTGAATTAAATATTTTGTTTGATGGACAATCATTGATGAAATTGACTTTAAAATTTGTCATTTGGTCTCTTTTAGCACAGTCGAGGCACCAGATCATTAACCAAACTCTTTATTCGAAAGATAGTTTCGCATATATTCCTAGTCCAACAATAAACCATCAAACTAAATAACCAAAAAGTTTTTTCACCAAACACAATGCTACGAAATACGTATTCTGCATTTTTTCCCCTACCCTGTTTAAACGGGAATTTCTCAGTAACTTGAATTCTGATTAACTCTGATTATTTTTCGGACATGTAGTTCAATCGTGGCATTCAGCCTGTGCAAAAATTTCCCTTATAATCCTTCCCATGCAGTAGCAATTTTCACACAAAAATTTGATGTTTTGACTTTATATATTGTATGTATGGATTATTTTTTTTAAATTCAATTTTGCATCATATCTATATCTAATATCATTGATTCCTATTTTTTATTTGGTTAATTATTCAAATTTCACTTTTTAATATTTCCCCATTTTACCGTTTATACGCAATCATGAAAAACAGAAGGCTTGAAATTATTCTGGAAATTTGTTTACGCAACAACTTGATTACTATTTGTCCTTTTTCATCATACACTGGGAATGAGATGAAGAAAATTAGAATATTTCAAATTTCATTTCTCGTTATGTTAGTATCTTTCCTCTGTTTCTTTTTTCGGTCAACTTTACCGTCAAGTTACTGTGTTATCGAACAACTACACATCACTTTCAGTAACCAAACTCAGAAATTATCAAGTAATTAACAATAATTGTAAAGGTTAATCAAGTCAAAATCAAAAGCTAACAACAAATCAAGGGTCTCACTTTATTAGAGCTTTACACTTGTTCGCCTTCAGTTACCGCAAATGTCCGCGAATCGAATTCATTTTTCAATTATTACCTCATTATCACCAGGACGACCAATGGCTTTTGACATTAGCAAAAAGACTGCTGGTTCTCGATCCATTGAATCATCTCATCCTCTTGGTGGCTATTCGATCAAAGGAGGTTTTATGTCTTCCTCTTTTTCCTTGACCAAATCACATTCCTTGTCACCCTCTTCATCAACTTCAGATTCATCTCTGGCAACTAAAACCTAAACTCCTTCAAAACCACCTTCTTCCATGGCTAAATATTTACGCATTAAGTATTGTTTCTTGATCAACGTTATACCCTTCCAATGTTGCCCTGAATTGTAAGTGATATCCATCGTACCTTAACTCACTGAGGTTCCAAAGATATTGAACTTGAGGTGAATAGTATCTGCCTAATAAATCACCATTTATCAACTAATTCAGAGCATTTCGATTCACAATATACAATATATCTATTTCAAGTCTCAAGTAAAAATATCGCAATATGTGATTATTTTTATGCAATTATACTTTAATACAAATTATCGTTTGAAATTCTCTATAACTATCTAATTTTCTCACTAACTAATTACACAAATCTAGTAGCAATCGCTATGATTTTGTTCAACCCGTATGTTTCTTTCCTAATTAAATTCGGAATTGGAACTAAAATTCGTGTACCCAAAGGATTTCCTTTATCGTCCATTAGAACCATGTTATTCGAGTCAAAACGAGGCACAAATGGCTTCTGAAGTCGCACCAAGCCAACAACTACTCCTTTCTTCTTTTGTCCTTTTATTGCTACAATTACCTTAGTACCCAATTCAGCTATCCTGGGTTTTCTATAGATACCAATTATTTTTGGTGGTTTTCCATCAAGCATAGCTTGTTTCCCGAGCGCACTGTTATCAACAACTCGCATAAATGTACCAATTCGTGCTTGGTTCAAGATTTGAGAAGTACTGTTAAATTAAAAAAACATTGTGAGCAGAGAAATTTCTAAATATATATTGTAATTTTGTGAATTTATACATTGACACTTACTTAAAGTTTCGAGCATAATTTACCAACAAGGATATTTGATTCAATAGCCGAGAGTTTCCTGGAAATGACTGATGCAAATAGACAAAGATGGATTCGTTAAATAAGAGATGAAATTCGGAGTTTAAATGACCAAAACTAACTTACCATAATTCTCCAATTATTTAGAAAATATAAACAACAATATAACAACAACGAAATAACTGCACCATGAAGTTGATTACAATGAAAAAATGTTTTACAAATGAATGTTTCAGCTGATTTGAATGAATGCTCCACCTATTGATAGTTTGAAGAGCGAATACTCCATTCTTATAATTCTCATGCAGTTTTTTATTCTTATTCAGTTTCGAACTATGCTCAAATTAAACTGCAGACAGACATCATTTTCAAGCCAATTTGAGTAGTTTTCCAGAGTTTGATTTAATAAAAATCAACAATTTAATTTATTTTGAAAACTGCGCATATTTTCGATGGTGTTTAGTAGAGTCCTCTATCGTTTAATAAATAAACAACTTTTAATAACAAATTATTTTCACAAGTCTTCAGTGACCTTTGTGTTTGTTTACTGTTTTATTTCTTTAACTGAGTGAATTTGATTCAGTTTAAATTTAAAATGAGATTGTCTCTCATTCGTAGATGTAGACGGTTTGATCCGTCAAAAATGTTTGATGAATCGCCTGAGGAATTGGATAAAATGCGAAGACGTTATGAGTTGAGACAAAAGCTTAAAACTGAATTTAATCGATTCTACTACAATCCTTATAATTCAGCATATGGTGTTGCTTACGTAAGTAAACTTGAAGCATAAATTAAGTTAGTAAATTGATAAATTTTTGTATTATTCATTCATTAGGTCGATCCACAATTTGAGAGATATTACGCTGCCAGATTTTACAGACTTGATTACTGGAAGCCTACTTTTGGTTCATTTATTCAATTTGTTGCTACAATCTTCATACCATTTATTATTCTTACTAGATTTTACCAGAATGAAGAAGTAAGTCAATTTTTATTTTTAATTGAATTAGATGTGTTTTGGCAATTATTGACTCCTATTTTTTATTTTACAGGATATCTATTGGGAGAAAACGCAAAGTGGTGAATTGACATATAAAAATAGGAAGCTTTACTGTTTCTTGTATTAAAAAAGTTATACGAGTTATATTTAGTATGAGTAGTGTAAAATATTGATTTAAACTCTAGCTTAAAGCGAAAAAAATAAATTTTTGGTTAATCACTGTCGTTTTATTTTTATCATTGTTATCTTAATTTCTGGTTCTCTCTGTGTTTCTATGTTTGAACTTTTGCTGTGCGAAAAATATTCAATAATCAATTAATTTTCAATAGGAAGCATTAACATCTTTCAAATCTTTCATACAGAAATGCATTCCAAAACGAACAAGTTGCAATACACAACAAACATTTGCTTAGCTAAATGCCTGATTATCCATTGTCTTATAAACCATTTACTTTTGTAACTCATTTTCTTACCAGCAGTAAATTAGTGGGCATATAAATTAGCCAGCAACCCGCTTCAGAGTCACTTTCAATATCTTTCCTTTTTAAGTTATTTTCTGTGTTTGGGGTTGATATTAAATTTAATAGACCGTGCTGATAGTCGCACACTTTTGACTGAATTACTTTTGCGCTTGTGACTATAGTATTATATTGCTTTTTGAATTGTTCAATTAATTTGGATTTAATTCGTTGTCGTTCTTTTTGCCCTTCACAAGTTTCGTTAATTTTCATCGTTAATGATGAAGATTAACTTAATGATGACGATGGATCGAAAGTTGAACACTTTTTAACATCCACAATCAAAGGCAATTTGCTTGAATTGATTTCAGGTAATTTTTTACATCTTTTCAAAGCCAAAGATTTCATCTTACTCTGATAATCTCATTGATGCTCTTAACAACATTACACAAGCCATTGGATTAGTATTGAGCTGTAGCTGGAGTAGGACGCATTTTTGGATGTTTGTTACACCAAATGGAAGACAGAAGTAAACTTGCTTCAGAAATGGTTAGGAATCAACAAAAGAATTAGCTCGAACACCAAGAAAGTTGGTTAAATTGATTGTGATTCTCTTTTATCCAGTCTTTTATTTTTTCAAATCATCTATTGATGTTCTTCACTTTTCCTTTTCACTCTCTTAACCATTGGAAGAAAAGCTCGAGATATTTTGCTCTTCCAGTCCATTAATTCGATAAATAGGGCGAGTTCGAAGAATTGGTAAATGGTGATGATGAAGACGAAGAAGAGTGATCTTGTTTAGCGATTCAATGGTGATTACATGGAGACTACAATTTTATAACTGCACAATCATTTATCTGAAAGCAGAGGAAAACAAAGGCAGATATTGAAACTGTATTAACACAAGTAAATTGGTTGCTTAGCGATCACATAGCTTTTAAAATTGCGTATTTTTGTGTGTATTTTGTGAGTAACATCATCATAATGATCATTATTTTTCCTTCTATTGTTGTTATCATTATTGTCACCGGAGAGAGGAATAAAAAAGAGCCCTTAATCGGTATTCAATTTAAATATAATTCACCCTGTAAAATGTATTTCTGTAAAGGTCATTACTTTTGATGATGGTAACAAAGATCATCCTAATCTGGTCTAAATCAAAGCATTTACTGTTATTTAACTTAAATGACTGACGATTGAGAGTAAACTTTTTAACTATTAAATAACCTTTTATGTTTCTCTAAATTCACAATCAACTGGCAAGAATTGTTTAAAGCTATAATAAAGTAAATCGCATCACAATTTTATCCAATTGTGTTTACAAAAATAAAAATACAAAAAGTTACCCACAAAATTCAAGTCTTTAAGCGCAAACCAGGTTTGAACTTGATTGAACTTTGCTTTTGCGATACTCCAAAACATAATCAACATTCACAGTTTTAAAATGTTGTGGTTTAAACATTGAAATAATTAACTCTTGCCTTGTTGACTGATACATAACATTGTAAGTGAAAAAAGTAAAACATTTACTTGGATTATTTCCAGCAGTAAATGGATTCCATATTAACAAGCTGAAAATGAAAAGATGAAAAGTTAAGAAGCAAAAAAATTAGCAAAATGAAAATATTTTTCAATCAAAGATGTTAATTTTATTTTAACTAATGGTTTATTGTAAACAAACTAAAACTAATGACATCAGTTATAACACAGTTAGTTAAGCATAAACTAATTGACAGACTAACACATTGAGTCTGGTAACAAGTGATATCTATTAACTTACAATTAACGGAAAAATTAACAGCAACAGAAGAGGTTAAAAATATAGAAACATGAGTTTTTACAGAAACACAGAATAAAATTTCCTACTCAACATCAATAATCTAACATCAAAGCTCCACCATTTTTGCCTGGACATCTTAATTGACTGTCACCAAGTTAGTATTCGAAGTTTAACCTAATCGCAGTTTTCGTACAACATTCAACATTTATCGAAGCTATGAATATGATTTACCTTGATATTGTACCTCACCTACGATTTTGTAATAAACAAAATATTTAGCATACAATAGTTTCTTTAATGAAAATTAACCTTTTTAAACAGATCCTGGACAGATTTTACAAGTTAAGCTTTCTTGTTTGAAACATAGAATCGTGTAACAATATTTTATTCAAAATTTATTTATTTTAGTGACCAGGTAAAAGATATAAAAACATTTGTATTATTAAATCTTTGGAAGCTTTGATGCCTTGACAACAGGATTATTGAGAGCAATTAAACGCCTTCCTTCAGATTTGTAATCATGGGTACAATCATGCGTCTCTGAGTAGCGATGTTGAGTGCAAAACATTTGACCACATCTGTAAATGGATTGAAGAGTAGAAAAATTGAATAAGGATTCTTTAATTGATCACAGGATTATTAAATGGGAAAATAATTGTTAAATCAACTTACCTGCAGTCATAACGCGTTGCCAAACCAAGTTTTTTGTTACAAGTGAAACAACGATTCTTTGATTTACTGGTCGATAATTTTGACTTATTTTTAACAGGAGGAAGAGTTTTGCTTTTACTTTTACTCAAGCTTATGGAATCTTTAGATGTTCTGCTTCCACTTGGTTCACTTTTGACGCCACTTTTAACTGATCCCAAATCTTTGATTGAATCCTTTCTTGACATAACAGGACTATTTAAATTAATTACGGTCACCTTTTGTGTGGATGGTGACCCAATTTGATCCTTCAGATTGTTGACTTTATTAGGATAGGAGGGGAAATTGTGATCATTGTGGTAACAATAATTAACTAAACCAGTCATAGGAGTCGTCTTTGGTCTATCTTTTGAATCATTTCTCATAACAGTTAAGGATAATTCATTCTCATAATTAGTAGTTAATGACGGATCCAAAATGATCTTTTTATTAATAGACCTTTCCGATAGTCGCACACTTTTGGCTGAATTACTTTTGCACTTGTGACTATAGTATTTCTTGTTGAATTGTTCAATCAATTTAGATTTACTTCGCCGTCGTTCCGTTTGCCCTTCACAAGTGTCGTTAATTTTCACAATGGGCTGCAAGGTTACTTTAGCGGGTGGAGATGGTGAGACCAAAGGTGGAAAGATCAACTTGGACTTAGCATCACGATTAAAATCATAAGAAAATGACGATGACGAAGAGCCTCTTAATGGCGATGAATCGAAAGGTGAATCCTTTTTAACATCCACAATCAATGGCAATTTGGTTGAATTGGTTTCAGGTAATTTTTTACATCTTTTCAAAGCCAAAGATTTCATTTTACTCTGAATTTCTCTCATCTTGAATCTAAGAACATCATTTTCTTTCTGCCGCTGTTCATTTATCCTAGCAATATCAATTAAACCAATTCTCATGGAGTCACTTTGATCACCTGTTTCATTGAATTTACCAAATGGATCAGCCGATCCTATGCTGGAGCGATCTGTTCCCGTTGTACCGGTTGTTCGTTGACTTGAAGAATACATTCGTATTTCATTTCCATCCTGAAAAAAGACAAACCCAGATTGTCTTAAATCACTTCTTTGATCACAACCATGATCATTGCTAGACGTTTCATTAACTGATTGAGCCTCTTGATCAAGATTAATTTCAGGTCCAACTTTACCATCACTATAGTTTTCTGCTGGCAAATTGTGTCCAAAATTATTCAGAGGCCCACCACGTAGCTCCAAAACAAGTCTCAGTATTGCTCCAAATCCAATCCCATACTCTTCCAAGGTGAAGTCATCTTTCAACTCTTCACCCTGCCAGATTAGATGTTGCTGAGTCTGAATGTAAGGGACAAGAAGAGAGGAAAAAAATTAGATTTATGAATTCAAATAAATAATACTTTTATCATAAATTTGATAAAAAAAAGGTTGAAAAAATAAACAGGAGAATCAACATGAAGAGGATCGCCGTGTTTAAGGAAATCTCCAACAAATACAAAGCTTTATGTTATTCTTACTTCTCCCAGAAGCTAATTCAGATTCTGTATAAATCTTAAAATTAAACCATAAATAACGACGATAAAAAGCAATCTCTTCATCAATTGTAAAAACAGTACAAACTGTAAAAACATTCATCTATGAATATACAGTAAGCTAAATCAGTGAAATGTTTTCTCATAGCAGTTACCATTGTATTCCTGACCAACATTAATTTTTGTATGTTATTATACGGATCATGCAACCAAAAAATCATTCAATTGAAAAATTCAATTTATTTGTTGTTACCTGAATGGAAGCAAAAATAACGAAACTTTAGAAGAAAAGTCAATATTAATCTATTTTGACTGGGTCCAAGTTGAAATTGATAAACAATCAAATGGTTAACAATCAACTACTCATTGTAAGTTTAAACTGTGGCTTAAACAATCTTTTGTTTCTTAATTTATGTTAAGCTTTGTCTTAACTGTGTTTAAAATCAAACAGTTAACAATGACCAACGCCAATGTAAATAGACTGCTTCAGATAATGTTAATAAAGGTTTGTCAGTGAATTCATTTTACTGATGAACAGCTTAAATTAGTTGATAATAGTCATTATATAAAGAGCTTTTAAACTTGTTCATCAATCAACTTTCACTCTTAGTTTACTCCCAATTTATTCCTTCCATCTTTTTGTAAGCTTTTCTGAGTTAATTTCAAATTTTCAGGAGGTTGACAAAGATGGGCTTGAACAGTAAACCTGAAGAAAAGCTGATCAAATCTAATTAAAATCGCTTTACTCCTTCACATCTTTAGACTTTACTGTTCTTTCTATCATCAATAAGTTATTTATATTGACATCACCCTCCTACTCTTTTGTATTATCATGAAATTAAATAACCCAGCGAAAGATGAACATGTGCTAAATCAACATTAGAAAATGAGAAAAGGAATTTTAAAAGAGCAAAAAGATGAAAAAAATATCCATATAAACTGCTTCCTGTCATTCTCATCACTATCGTTCATCAACTAGATTGTTATTCACTCGTCAACCCGGCCTATCATGAGATATAATTGTTCCTTGATAATCATGCAATGGTGAAGTCTGCCATTTCCAGTATTTAACTAGGCTTAAAAAGGCAGGTTTATTGGTTGGTTAACTTTTATCATTACCATCAATATCCAAAAATTTGAAAATATCTATCAAAAAGAGTGAATGAGGGTGGAGAGGAAAAAGTAAATTTACAAAGAAATATTGAGAAAATTAAGGTAAAATCATTCTGCTTGAAATTCATGAAACATGAAGAAACCAATCTATCATACCGCTTATCCATATGCACATGAATATCACAAACTTCCTTTCCAAATATTATAAACACACTGATCTAAATAACCTAATCGTGCCTACAACATTCGACTTTATCCTCTCACTCGTTTAGATGAACTTTTTTTGCTGCCTTTTGCTCTCTCACTTTCTAAGTTATTATTAAAACGATGATAGTAATAAACATAATGATAATGGTGATGGTGATGTTAGTGATGATGATTATGAGACACACAAGCATTAAAGGCTAAAGTAGAATAGTCACAAAACGGAAGTTTTTGCAGATGATCCATATTCCTCATCATTAGTCTTTTGTACTTCTCATTTCCAGGTTCCTCCCTTCAGTTTTACTCATCCAGATGAATATATTTTTTTTAGCAAAAGACAGTCAAAACTCACCACCAAAATACCTTCTTCTTGTTGCAGTTTCATCTTGAGACAGTAAATTGTCTCTTGAGGTAATATCTGGATCTCAAAGGTTGTCCCGGAAAAGGTTTCCACATAGATGGGTATCTGGTGAACTGACCGATGTCCTCCAGTGTACATCATGGATCCATAGTTTGTACGGATCCTGTCCATTTCTCTGCCCTCTCCTCTTCTTCTTCCTCTGGCTTCCTCTTCAGTGACAATGTGATTATTAATCTGATCTTCTTCTTCTTCTTCTTCTCCATCTTGTCCAGGAAAATAACCATAATGATTTAGGCTAGTTGAAGAATAACGAGATGGAATAGAGTCATCAGGAAAGAGTTGAAAATCTTGAATAGGTTGAGCAGAATGACAACCACTAGCCACTTCACTTAATCTACTTTCGATCAACCTTAGCTCTGTATTTGGAGTTGTAACCTCTGACTCTGTAAAGTCACTTTTAGCATCAACATTGTCCTTCTTCCTTTTCTTTATATCAGCCTTGCTCTCAATATTTTGCTTAAACGGAAATTGAGTTTCCACTGGGCTGACTGTTGAACCATTTATTTCATCATTGTTATTTGATCGAACTGCTTCTCTATAAATAGCTGGAGCCGAGGAACATTTCTCACTGGATTCAACCTTTGAAATATCAGTGATGGTTGAGCTTTCTGTTAAAGACATACCCAATGGTGCTGAGGCAGAGGTAAGATTAACAGGGGATTGAGCTATAACCGGGATTGAAGGTGATTTGATTAGAAAAGTTGATCCCATGGTTGTGACAGTCACCGATCCAGAGATTGGTGGCTGAATATGGAGAGGTGGTGAAGAAGAGGTTGGAGGTGAAATTGGCTGAGAGGTTGGCGACTGTAAGGGTGACGAGGATGAAGACGACGAAGGTGTATCTAACATATCCACAGCTGTTCAAAAATGATGACAACGGTTTTGTAATTATAGATGCCAGTAAAATGTTGAATAACAAAGTCACTTTAAATAAAACCATCATGGTCTTTGATACTGGTTAATTTTAATTCCAAAGGCTTCTTATTTCTTAGCCGAATCAAAATTACAAGCGTCTTTGAGTTGACAAACTGGTAACAGTTATTTTTACGGACCAAACGATTTTTACCAAGTTGGGACGATGACATTAATTGACCATTTTTCAACACAATGTGTTATTGTGATTGATTAGACTAAACTTGGTAGGAAAATAGGAAACAAATAATCACCAGAAAAATAGATTGAGCTAAAAACAAAAATGAAGATGTTAACAAAAGGATTACGTTTTGACTTAACCAAATTGTTTCTATGGTAATCATTTGTTACTGTTTCTTTATTTTTGTTTTTTCATGTTTATGGCAATGGGTTTACTTTTGATTTTAGGTTTTTTGTAATTGAAGTTCAATAAATCAATAATTGAACAGGCTAAATCGATAATGAGATCATAATTATTCTCAATGACTTTGAGTGTTTTTGAACAAAAGCGAAATCCATGAATAGGTTTTTTGTTCCTGGTTCAAGTTTTGTTGAGCAAAACGTTTTTTACTTCTTTTGTGTTTATTTAATGTTTTATTTCTTTATTGTTTTTAATTGATTGAATTTAATTCAATAATACACAGATTTTTTTATAAGATGGAAATTCAGTCCTTTGTCTTTAATTTTTTACTTCTTCACGTCCTAGTTTTGGGACACACAGACAACGCTCGGCCCGATTTTCAAAACAAGTCATGAAAAAATTTTTATAAGATTTAATATCGTCTATGGTCTAAAAACTTGATTTTCACATGTTAATTTTCCCATAGGTTTCAATCAAATTTTTCCATCGACTCTTTTTGAAAATCGATCTGCGTTCTATATGTACGTCCCAAATCTACGAACAAAGTACCAAATGAGAGAAAATAAACTGAATTTTCTCTGTATGAAGAAAATCTAATTCAAAAAATCTAAATCTGACATGTTATTGCATTTTGAAATCGGTATCATCTTTTACTAACCTTTGATATGCAACACTTGCGTTTTTTTGTTCAACGATAACTCAAAATAAAAGTCTCGATTTTGGTGCAATCTTCAGAATAAGTTCCTATAAGAGCAAAAATTCACTATAACGGTAGTTTTTGATAAACATTGGCTCAGTCCCGAAATTTGGGATATTTTACATCAATAGAGGGCGCCAAATGCACATAAAACATAAAAATTAGTTTATTTCAATTTAGTTGTTGGTTTGTTTAGACATGAAAACTGAAACCATTTGTGCCATTTAAAACTTTCTTTGATCCAGTTTTCGAGAAAATCGGGTTCAAAGGTGAAACTTGGAAAGATTTTTGTACAATTATGGAAGCAAATTTTTGATGAAAATCATTTTAATGATGTAACTTCTGATGGTCAACCAGAAACTGATCTGTTGCATAGAAATAGAAATTTTTATTGTCAAAATAAGTGCATTTTCTAGCTGACCATCAGAAGTTACATCATTAAAAATATTTTCATCAAAAATCTACTTTCCATAACTAAACAAAAGGCGATCGAAGTTTCAACTTTCACATCGATTCTCTCGTCAACTATCGATCGGATAAATTATTTAATAGTTCTAATGCACTAAACTCTTATGCTTCTACAAACCCTCCAAGGTTCAACACACAACTCAAATGTTTCTGCCTGCACTCCTTTTCAAATAACAACGTCTTCACATCATCACATCTTGACAGCACCAACGCACATAAAATTAAAAATTGAAAAAATTTGAAATTGCATACCAAAAGCTCAGATTACACTGTTTCCAGTAAATCTAGTGTAAGTGAACTTCAAGCATAATTTAAGTTAGTAAATTGATAAATTTTTTGTTCATGCATTCATTAGGTCGATCCACAATTTGAGAGATATTACGCTGCCAGATTTTACAGACTTGATTACTGGAAGCCTACGTTTGGTTCATTTATTCAATTTGTTGCTAAAATCTTCATACCATTTATTATTCTTACTAGATTTTACCAGAATGAAGAAGTCAATTTTTATATTTAATTGAACAAGATGTTATTGACTCCTCTTTGGAGAAAACGCAAAGTGATGAATTGACTTATCAAAATAGGAAGCTTTATTTTTTCTTATATTAAACAAGTTGTAAGAGTCATATGTAGTAGTGTAAAATATTGATTTATTTATTTAATTCCACTAGTTAATATTTCTCCATTTTGCCGTTTATTCGCAATTATAAAAAACGAAAGGCTTGAAATTATTCAGGAAATCTGTTTATGCAACAACTTTGAGACTATTTGTCCTTTATCATACACTGGAAATGGCATAAAGAAAACCAGAATATTTCAAATTGGGTTTCTCGTTATACAGCTGCGAAAATGGAGTTAGACCTCGATACCATATCTTTGGCGCATTGTTTGGTATCCAAGTATATCGACGGTCATTTTTTGAGATAAATTAAGCACAATCAACATCGATTCAGTGCTTTAGGCAAAAAGTTTAATGTTTTCACATGAATTATCCAATTTTCTTCTTTAATCGTAATCAGTATATCCTGGACAATCAATTTCGTCGCTGTTGTCCCAACAATCGGTAATATTGTTACACTTCTTCTCTATTGCAATACATGAAGTATTTTGTCCACAGTGAATTTCCTGTAAAAAGCAGAGCAAAATGTAAAAATTAGATTAATATATGGACTTGAACACAAAACAAGAATCAATGAAATTGAATCGTTTGAGAAGGGAAGAGGAAATAATTAATGGAAAAGTATTTGTTAGTAATTAATGAAAATCAATTTGTAATTAGAGTAAAATTGCAATGGAAACACAATTTTCCAGAAATCAAATTTCAGTTGAGTTAATTGCAATTGGCATTCCAAGTTAATGAAGATTCACGAAACTGAAGTAAAGTATCAAAATGAAAATGTAAAGTTTCAATTACGATATAAAATTGAAAGTCGCTAAGGTAATTGCGGTTAATCTTGAAACTATCAGTTGAACTACAAAGTCTTACAATTTCATTTTCATGGAAATCCTAAAAATCTTACGGATTTTATATTCTGTTGAATAAAAAATGAACAATTAATCTTGTTGGAGGTTTTCTTTATCTTTTTTTCTTCAAGCATTATTTTTCTTCATTTTCCTCTTTGTATATTCATCATTATGGAATCAGTTTTGATTGTCTGTAAAGCATGGTAAAATATATAAACAGAATAAATGAATTTCCGAGGCAGATTAACGAGGAGAAGAAGATGATGATGAAGAGAAAGAAGTAAATAGGGAAAAGAGAACAATAAGTTGGAAAAGAAACGGAGATGAAAATTTTTCAAATCATTTCCTATTTGATATAATGCTAATAATAATATTAATAAAGACTGGGGAACAACCATGAAGATCCCAATGTGAATTGAGAGAAGAAAAGATCAGATGAAGTATATAAAGAGGTAAGCTTCAGCATTTGAGATCCGGTTTAAAGAAATGATAATAATATTGAATTTCAATGGAAAGCGCAAAATTAATAGTGAAAAATCATTTCAAATTTCATGAGATTTTTTTTCTTCTTTGGGTTAATTTTTTGTTGCTGCAAATTTAATTTCCTGAAGCACACAATTATAATGATGAAATTTGCAAAGGGTAAAAATTGTTCACCTATTTCCAGACTCAGACAATGTCAACAATTTAGATCAATAAGTGGTTTAAATTTGCTAAATTGACTTCCTAACAACTTGGTGGGTATTCAGATTCAGATATTGTTGATGGATTTGTTGGTGGGGATTCACAATGAATCAAGGATAACAGGATGTTTCTGTCTTTCAAAAAATTGGGTTTGACTAGTTGAGTTGTTCATTAATAGTTGAATCTATTCAAATAGATATTTTTTGTTGTTGGATATTTAATTGTGGTTTGGTTTGTTTGATCAATGATGATACAAAAAGATGGGGAAAATGTTTCCAATTGATTTTTTTGTTCACCAATAACATTGAAGTCAATGAATAACTGAATGCATTTTATATGTTTATTAAGATAATCTTTTGATCACAAACGTTAATGCAAACACTTAACCAATTGGCATTCATTGAACTATTCACAATTGAATCAGTTGACTGAGTGTAAATCAATGCAATAGATTTCAATCAATCATTAATATAATCTTGTCATAATTATTGGGTTTAAAATTAAACATTGCAATTAACAGTTGGCAGAATATTTTGCAAAGTTGAAAATGAAGAGATTATGAGAGGAAAAAAGATTGCAATTGAAATATTGTTCATTTGTTCATCAACACAAATTGGTATTGAAAAAGAAGCTAAAAGTGGTGAAAAAGAGATAAAATGAAAAAGAAAGCAAAGATTGAAAAAAAGTAACTGAATATGGATAAGAAAAAAATGATGAAAATGCTGCCAGATTGAGGTAATGATGTTGGAAATGATAATATTTGATAACAATGCAAGTAAAGCATATGTGTCAATGTAACACAATGGACCGTGAAAGTATATTCATAAACATGTTTAACCAGTCAAGTCCAAGGTTGATATTTTCATGATAGATGAGCATTTGCATTTAATTCTTGTGCTTTGATAATATTGATTCTGGATTACTTTTTGCTCTGTTGTCATGAAAGTACAAACATGAAAGATGATAATGTTAGGTAATGGATAAAAGTGCTTTGAAAGTGAATCGACAATTATTGAATGTAAATTGGTGGGAAAAAAATTCCGATCTGATTTGAGTGAAAGGAAAAGTTAAGCAAAAATTTGCAATCAAGAAAAATGGTGATCAAAAGATATGGCAAGAAGATCGTAAAGGAGTGGTGATGATAATGAAGAGATGCAAGGGACAGTGTCCCTCCCAAGATAAGGTCACAATGAAAATTGACGACAACTGATGTTACAAGAAAAGGAGGAGATATGATGATGATGATTAGAAGGATAAAAATGGCTCAACCATAAAACAAGGTCATTGATTTACAATGATGGACATCAATTAATTGATTGCTGTAACTCTTAATCAAAATAAAAGGCAGCAACAACAAAAAAGCCATAGACAAGAGGGACCAGTTAATGACCATTAAACACAAGACTGATGAGAATGAACAAAGGCTGAGATAAAAGAGAGAGAGTTGAAGAGGATGGTGATGATGAGCTTGATGATAAAGGTTAATAAGTTTCATCTTTGTCCTCAAATCCAGCTTGGATAAAGTGATACACACCCGAAGAGGGAAAAGATGATGTGATATCATCACTATGGAAGACATTTTTCTTCCTTTCCTCCTAATTATTATAATATGATGCAAAAAGTAACAATAAAAATGATAATAAAACTAATAATAAAAAATAATATATAATTTACAGTGAAAAGCAACTTTCAGAGATTCATCTTAATTTGATTAACTTGAATAAACAAACTTCAATTGTACAGTTTATCATTGCAATTTTAATTGTATTGAAACTATTAAAACGCCTTTACTTTCCCTTATTTTTTTTGTAGTTCAACAATAACTCATAAGGCAATGGAAACGATAATGATGATGAAGTAGATAAGGTAAAAATTAGATGACGAGAGTAAATGAAATATGAAGGGAAAAAACTGAAGTAAAGGTTAAGCAAAGGCTATCTTGAAAAGTTTGAGTGAAGAGGGGAAAAAGTCGTAAGAAGCTAGAGATGAACAAAAATAATGATAATGAAAGAGGAAGATATGAAGATGAAGATAAAGGTCGGTCTGTAACAATCAAGACTAAACTCAATGTTTATGGACATGTTTTTATAGCCCGCCCGAAAATACTGCCAAAAAATGGCTCAAGATATAAAATACTCTCCACCCGAGTAGAGAGAGATGATGATGAAAATGTAAAGATGCTCAACAACTTTTTTAATGTAAGAGGATGATGAGGAGGAAAGAGACAAATGGTGAATAAAGCGATACAGAAACAGCATAACAATATATACTGAAAGGGTATGGCTCAAGTCGGTTATTCATTGTGTTCCCTGGTTTCACTGTAGTAGGCCAGGTCATAATAAATTGAAATACACAAAAAGTTAAGTCAATTTGATTATCAGTGTGATGGGAAAGATGATAAATAATGTAAATACAAAGTTTAAACAAGGTAACTAAGGTAGTTTAGGGTATGGAACCATCAAAGTCTATCGGATAGGTGAGAAGAAAGTTTAAATTTGAAGAGAAGAACAAAATTTGAGTAAAATGTGAAGTTTGAAGGGATAAAGAAAGCAGATAAAACAAAGCAGATTGAACAATGTGCTTACACATTCTGACAGTTTATTGACAAACAATAAATATTGTGAGGATAAGTTTGCAGTAAAGTTCAAGCATTATTGAGATTTGCTTTTACTAACTAAAAAAATCAAAGTAAAGAGCAGCTTAATCATTATTGAAAAATGATGATAATCATGATGATAGAAGAACAAGAAAAAGGTTTGCAACTTTGTTTTTGAAAGGGCGAAAAAGTTAAGACAAGTTTTGTTAAAAAGTTAACTTTTTACCAAAATTTGTGAAATTTTTACAAGAAATGATGATTTACTGGATAAAACCAATTGAAGAAGGAAAAGCAAAGTTGAGTTTGCTAGCTAATTGATTGTTTACATTTGGTTCATCTCATTGTCTCTGAAAGAGCAACAGGAGATGATGAGGATGCAGGGAAGCATGAAGAGGAAGAGTAAGACTAATAACAATAAGGATAATAAAATTTCCGCTGATTCAAGCAGTTTTTGTTATCATTAAAATTGTTATTATTATAATTATTGAGACGAGTTTCAAGTTGAGGAAAAGAAATGAACATTGCTCAGATTCTTGGCAATGAATGTTTTCTTGGCCAGCGTCCATTTAAGGGTGAAGAAAAATTTCCCACTGAGTGTTAAAACATTCACCCAATGTAGTTAACTATATCATAGAAAGATTCATGATAGTAAACATAATATGAAATGGATGGAATAGAGTCTTGTGAAATATTTCACCTTCCAATGTCTCAGATAACAAAGATATTTAGTTGCTTTTCATCTTGTTAAATATCTTCTTGAAATCCTTTTACAAAGGAAGACAGAAGATGCAAGAGAAAGAAAGAGAGAGAGAGAGAGAAAGGTTTATATTTCCAAAAGCTCAGAATAATCTTAACGTAAACAGGCGATACTGCTTAATTAGCATCATGTTACTCCAAAAGATTATGTATATTGGTTAGCGAGTTGGTTTATTAATCTTACATGTAACATGATTGTTATTTTTTGTTGAGCAATTTTTCTTGTTTTCACATTTCCAAAACATCAACTCAATTTGGGTTATCAATCAGAATTTTTTTCATCATCTTCTTCTTCGTCTCATGCATCAATAAACACATTGGTTTATGTCTGTCTAACGCTAAATTAGACCTTAATCATTATCTAAGTAATCAAGCTTACATAAATAGTAGTGATGCTTGGCTAACAGAATAAAGGAAATCTGATTTTCAACGATAGATTTTCGATCGATTGGATTGTAAATATTATGAGATGAGAGAAAGATTAGGGATGAGAAATGTTACAGAGATACCAACTGAATATTGATTAACTGGTGAAGTATTAAAAAGGTTGAAAGAATACACAAGATAAATATGGAAGATTGATAAATGATTAAAGCAGAAAATGTTAATGGCTGGGAAAATGAAAAGGATATCAAAGGGATTGGGATGAGAATGGTAAAGGTTAACTTACGTTTTCACCACAATCACAGTTTTTCTCGTCCGATGAATCGAAACAATTCATATGGCCATCACATCTTTTTGATAAAGGTATACATTGAGTATTTAAACACTGCCATTCACTTTCTAAACATTTATAAGTCTTTTCACAGACACAATCTTCAATTTGGAGAGATTGATGTTGAGATCGGGTTACTTTGATGCAATTAATATCATCAACTCTCCATTGGTTTAACTTATCATAACAATAACGAGTCCTTGAGTGAACTCTTTCTTCATCACAGGATACAGATTCACCTTTACACGTTGGCCCCCAATCGGACCATTTATCCCACTTATATTGATAATGTTCAGGCTCCTCTGGATCACTTTCATCTGCACTTTGATCACCATCCACTTCAGATCCATCACTATTATCACTTGATGTGGTTGAACCAGTTTTACTAATTTTGGTACTCTCAGTTCTAGTTGAACTTTTAAATTTAAAAAGTATTGTCCTTTCATCAATATCTAAACCGGTGAATACTCCATTCTTTTTGGCACTCATTAGGTTAAGGACTATCTCATTTAAAGAACAATTAACATCTCTATTAAAATGTAAAATTAAATCAACAATGATTCCATTTAAATTGTACAGCAGATTGTCTCCTTTTCTCACTGAGATGAGTTCCACTTTATCCAATTGAAGAGGTACAAGTGAGCGAGATAAGTTGATCGCTAATTTAATCTGTAAAGCACGAAATTTCATTGGATTTTAGGATTTGGGCGTAAATGGAGGAAAAAAGGTGATGGAAGATGAGAGGGAAAAGGAGAGGAATATAAAAGGGGAGAAAGGTGAAAAGATGGAAAGAAAAGAACAATAAGAATTAGATTCGGCCGTGAATTAGGTGTATTCAGTAAATGGTCTTTACATGTTAGTTGAATTATTTCTAAGCCAAGATGAAATCATGTTCACACTCGACCTTCTTACCTTTTCACTAATAAGCCAAGACAGCTTTTGAAAGGCATCACTAGTTCTATTTTTTAATTGACGACTGTACATTTTATTGCTGACTCTGAATTGAGCTTCGATAATTTTTCTCTCTTTAAGACGGTTATGATGGTTTCCATTTGAAGCAAGTTGACTTTTGAAACCATCTGATACGTGAAGGGAAACAATGACAGGACCATCCATGATTCATGTAAATAAAATATAATAGAGAAAGAAATGTTAGTAAAATTGATAGATAAAGAAATCGTACCGATTAATTATTAAGAAAGCTTACCAATAACGTATTCACTGGTATTTGGTAAATCACTTATTCTGGTTGAATTGTGTAAAGGAAAGTGTTTTGCAGAATCTCTGTTATTCCTATTATTGGTGTTAACAATATTGGAATTTTCTTGAGAGTTCAGCATATTGTTATTGCTTAAATCCATTGGACCAAGTTTGACTGCATTAGAATTGACAAGGAACACATCTAGAGATAATTAAAAAGAATTAATTAAAATCGAATAAAGATTAGAAAATAATTAACAAGAGGAAGTATTAAACTCGATATTTTCACTTACCTTTTTGTAAATGAATTACATGATAAACAGCCAGAAAGACGGCAATAAATAAAACAGGGAATAGACATAAAAATATTAATCTTCTTTTAGCATTGAAACCACTAGATTCGACATCAACATGATGAATTTGATCACTTTTAATATCTCCAGGGTTAAACTGTAAGAGAAATGGAAACAGAAAAAGGTTAAACACAGAAAGAATGGAAAGAATGTTAAGTTTGACAATTAATTAAATTTAACAAGAAACACACCATCATCAAGTTAACATTGTTGTGATTTCGTTGTCTATTTAAAGTTGCATGGTCATAATAAAGTGACCCACTGTGATGATCTAAAGGTGCCGATGAATAAGCCACTGTCCAAATTGGTGGTTTACAGGTTCGCTGCTGTTGATGATGATGATTATGATCGTGTTGAAGAGTACCACTGTGAATGTCTCTTGCTATAAACATGGTCTTAACATCTTTGTAAGAGTCAGATGAACGAGAGGAGGAAGAAGAACAGGATGGCAACGATAAATGGGAGTAAATTGTTGATGATGAACAGGACATACCCCTGTGAAAATAGTCCCCCTCACCAAATAAAAGGAATTTGGTGTGAAATCAAAAAGAAGGGGCAAAAATCCTTCAAGATGAGAGGTTGTAGAAAAGGGTGAAATGGAAGATACAAATTTGAAGTTCAAGTATATGTGTAAAATCAATAAGATCAATTTTTATCCAAATTTATCCATTACTGAAAGAATGATTATATCTGGATAATCCTTGGTAAACATTTACACACAATTGTCATCACAAAAGATAAAATAGTCGAAGCAAATGAAAATATCCTTTGTATCGAAAACTGCCGATAATCAGAAGCCAAACAGAAGATAGATAAATTCACTTCACTTAAAAAAAGAGCAAAAAATTATTGGTATAATCCAAAGAGACCCAAAAAAAGATGTGAAAACTGAGATATTAAAAAACAGCGATGGGTACAAAAGTGATGCTAGTATGAACGTAAGCACATAAAAAAATCCAATAAAGAGTTGTTAGTTGAGTTAATGGCGATTTAAATTTGAAACACTAATTTTCTCCTTTAACTATCTGCTGTACAAGGTTATGAGTTGATGTGATTGACCAGAAAAGCAATGGTTAAACATTGTAGCAAGTAGTTTAGAAGCTGTTGTTGATTTTGATGTTGGTAAGAAACATGTAACCAGCACAAGAAAAAGAAGGTTGATTATTGTTAAGAAAAATATTCTAAACAACAGTTGATGTATTCCTAAAAAATATAAATATATTTATATAAATATCTGTGTACATGTATTGGAAGAAACAGATTTACTAAAAGTAAATTAGAAAACAAAGAAGAAGAAGAAAACAAAAATTGTCAAAAAAGAGTCCAACAATCAACAAAAAAACTGTTCAAGTAAACTTTTAGCCAAAGCTGTTGTTCACAATGTTCAACTTTAACTGAAGCCTGACAACCAATAACAAAAACCTGATTCTCCAACAACTGCGCCTTCTTGCTCCCTCACATTGACTCACTAACATTCCTTGCCCTTCTTTTACCCCTAGCAACATCTTCTGGTCTTCTCTAACCCATAGTAACTCTGTCTTCTCTGTCTAAGTTTCATCATTTTTTATCGTCTTTCCTGCTTATCTTTCTTTTCTTCTTTCTTATCTTCTGCTGTCATCGATTCAATCCTGATTTCGCATTATATTGAATCATCATCTCGCTGTTTATCCGCTCAAGACCATGATAAAGATTTGGTTATTTACGGTAAGTTTTTAGCTATTTATTTAGCTGGAAAGATGAGTCAAATTGTTTGATAAGATTGGAATGATAGTGTTAAGAAATCTGGGAAAAGATTGATATATATTTATGAACTTTGAGTGTCACCATTTAAAACTGTTTGCTCATATTTTAGGAAAAGCAGAAGATGAAGCTTTGGCCGTTAAATAAATTTTGTCATTTGAAAAATTATTTAACCCCTTACTGGCAAGTTACAGTATTTACTCGATCATAAACCATTGCAATGTTAAGTCTCTCTTTGTTTTACTATTCATGGACTCATTTCTTTGTTTCACTTGTTTTTTTCATCTACTTTCTAATTAATTATATTTCACTTTTGCTCTGATATGTCTCATCTTAATTTTCATCAGAATCTTCCCTTTCATTTCTGGTAATCTACATAAATAACAACTTGATTCCTAACATTAAAAGCCAAGTATTCCTTTTCCTTTTACCTTTTTTTTACCTCCTCTGCTTCATTTCTATCAAGAGATTTAACATTTTTTTTCTTCTTCTTTTACTTTCTCTTCTTTAGCCTGTGTTATTTTTAATATTACCTGTTGTATTCCATGACCGTTACCGTTGAATGAGGATCAAGGGAAAAAATCTACTCATTTTTTGCCTTCAATGGAGACATTCTTGAAGCCAGTGAAAAGGAGAAAACAAAACAAACACATGAAAGCTAAAAGTCTTCAGATTGAAATAAAGGAAAGCCAACAATGAATAAGGTAAGAATGGTGAAGAAAGAAGAAGAAAAAAAAGGTTAAAAGTAAAATCCCTATTGAGAAGTCCATTGATTCTTATTGTAATGTCAACTGGACTAGGTAAAAAGGTTAAACAACAAAAAAGGTCACTTAAAAATATTCAAGCCAGAAGCTAGGAAACCCCATAGAGCTTTCCGCTTCTCTCCCTCTCTTTTAAGCTGTTTGAGAGACAGTTTTGTGTTTGTCAAAGTCCATTTGAACGACGAAAAGGATGACAACGATGAAAACCAAGCATAACAAGGGAAAAGTGCCAAGAAATGTTAGAATTAAATGCAAAAGAAAGAAGGAAAATTCAATTCAACCTAACCTTGTCCTTTTCTTTTCTTTTTTCTCTTCACTTTTTTCTTCTTTCACTCAATTGTGCTTCAATTGTATTTTATTATTAATACACAGTTTACCTTTTTTCACCTTTAGCCCATCATTTATGCTTATTTAATGTACCATGTAGAAGAGCCTCTGATGCAGGATAACCTCAGTGAACAAGCAATATCCTACAAGTTTAGTGCCAAGGAGAAAAAAAAGCCAAACGATATGGAAAATAATACCTTTATTGACAAAGAATATTCAAGGTAGAAACAGGTCAGAACATAAGGTATCACAATCAATGGAATTGATACATTGGCGTGAAAAATGGTTTCACAAAGAATGTTTCATATTCATCTTTTATGTCTTCCTTTTCTTTATTCATCTTCATCAGCATCTTTTTACAATATACATCTTCGCTTTTTTTTCATCTGAATAGTTACAACTTTTTATTATTATGTTTTATTATTGCCAATATTATTTCCTATTTCAATGGATATACATAACGTTAGTTTAGATACACACAGGAATAGTGTGAATACACATGATAATATCCCCTATTGTAGCTATTATCAATTCCATGGTGACTATTTCTCTTCCTATGTTACCTTATACTTAATTTTGTATTTTTTTATTCAACATCACATTATAACAAGGTAATTGATTTTCAATAGGAATAGGGTACTTTATTGTTATTTACAAATTTGATTGTTACCATGTTTTTGCCTCTCTCTCTCCTACTTTCTCAAAATAGTAATGATGATCGAATAGCAGTTGATGAGGTTGCTTGATTGAGTCTGTTTTAAGGTCATAGACACTTGATTGTTATTAGATTTATATGTGATGCTAAGTTAGGCCAATTTAGCGTCAATTTTAAGGCCCGGTACAGAAACCATTTAACCGTGAAAATTTTGGGAATAAAAAACCTAAAATTTTGTTCACCATTAAACTTTATTAGCTTATTGTGTGTTCCTTGCTGCTTTAATTTTCACTATATACAGTATTGCTGTATTACTCCATATTGATCAGTATTAAAACAGCAATTGGAAACACGCTTCACCAAACCTAATTTTCAGATATGAAATATAATAATAATAATAATAGTAATAATAATAATGAAGCAACAAAAAAATACCTTCAATTGTAATACTTGACTAACACATTGTTATTGTCTATTATATTTCAGATACAGAGCATTGGAATTCACCCGAAACAATCGACGAATAATCTTACATGTTAAAAAATGATGACCGGAAAAAAGATTATCTATTGAAATGGTAATTAGCCGAATTAAACTCAACTTGAAAATGCATTCCAACCTTTGCTCCTGTTAAATCAATTGAATCAACCTTTTTTCTTCATGTGATTTATGATTGATTTGGGTTTTATGAATGATAGTTGAAGACAAGTTTCAAAGTTATTGAATAACAATTAACGATTGTTTTTCGTTAACCTTGACATTTTTGTCTCTTTCTCACAATGAATTATCTTTCAATTATCATGATTCATGATAATCTCTAATGTTGTTTACCAAACATGTGTACTTTACCAATATTTATCCAAATAACGTATTCATTTTATATTTTATTTTATATTATTGTTACAGTACAATAACAACAATGATAATAATAATATAAATGAAAATGATAATAATATTAATAAAATGATAATAGTAATAATCAGAAGCTCTTGAGTTGGTAAGCGCATTAACCACTGCTAAGAATTAATCTCAAGACATTGTATGGAAGCAGAAAAAAAGGCTAAACCAATTCATGGTTTTATTAAGATGATAACATTTTCTCTTTCTCTCTTTTTACAGGTTGATTTGACCAAGAAAGATTTGACCTGACCTACAATACTCTGTAAAATAACCAGATAATAAAATGAATATAAAACCACGATTAACCTTTAATCCCTTGGACAAGGTAAAAAAAAGTAAAAGATATAAAAGCAAGGAAAGTGCAAGTTAACAGAAAAGGCAAAAAGCAAGATGTAAAGTCAAAAGGAGCCCATTGTTATCGCTATTGAAGAAAAGACCAACGAAAATGATGAAGATGAAGAGGCAAATGTGAAGGAGCAAATGTAAAATACAAGTTATCATGTTAAGAAAAGGCTACACCAAGGACAAAGTTAAATTCATAAATTGATTAGATGAGTTGAGGTAAAGAAAAAAACTGGTCAAATGGACATCGCAATTCATCACTTAAGAAGGAGAAGTAGGATTGATGATTGCCATGATGAAGAGTAAAACGAGGAAAACTTGGTGAAGTCGTATGAAAATGGAGGAATGGAAAGACAAAAATAGACTAGATGATGAGTGTGAGTATAATTTTTTTGCTTGTTGATTTGCAAAGTTGACAATCTTGAAGTTAAATGTTGTTTCCCATGAAAGTATATCATAGAAAACCTTTTGTATTAATATTGTTTCATTTTATTTATATTATTTATATTAGGACTTGAGGTTGGCAAATGGATAGTTTGGCAAAGAAGCAAGCTTCAAGTGATCTCGAGAATCGAAGGATTTTTTTCTCTCTCATCAAAGAAAAACATGAAAACTGATGATAATTTGATCAATTCTTGGAAAGGTGGATATGATTGAAGATAAAAGGTGAATTGACTCTGTCTGGTTTATAAGTTAATTCAGGGTTAATCAAGGTTATACAACGTAATAACTCATTGTTACACTGGACAATACTATTGATATTTACTTATCTAATTGAAGTAGATTTTGTTTGTTTTTCGCTGATCATTTGTTGATCATCATAAAGTAAATATTGGACAGTCAAAATCAAATATTGAGTCCGAGAGAGAGAGAGAAAGAGTACAATTTTTGCCAAGTTAACAAAAGCAATCAAAAGTGAATCACAATCAAATTGCGACCAATACTAAACCACTGGCAATCAAATAGACCAATTGATAGTAATTGAATAACTCTTAGGAAAGTCATCGACAATATTTACCTAATTCTTGATTGAATGGTTAAAACGACTTTAATAACACATCAAGAATTGGTGTGAATACTTTTTATCCTAGAAACTGACATTTTTACTCAATATTTATTGCAACCCAGAATTACTGAAACTGTTAAGATAAATTAAATCATCTCTTAATTCATTCCAATTAAGATTGACATGAAATTGATACAATTATTGAATCCATGAATCAGTAAATTTCTTTTTGTATTACTTCTGATGTTAATTGAATGAAGTAACCACTCAATAGTTTTACTAATCATTTTCAACTCAAATAATAGCCATTAGAAATAATTCAATTTCAATTGCAGCTCTTACATCAATATTAATAATGCGATGATCATCATCATTTAACTCTCCTTAATAAGTGATAATTTTCATCAACTTATTATTAGTTAATTAAGCTAAATTTATGTGCAATTGAAAAATGGCTTTGAGGTAAATTGTGCTAGTTGAAAATGAATGAGAGATAAAAATTGTTGTTTTATTGGTTTGATTAAATTTAATTGGTTAATCACGAATTAACTTTCACCGTTAACTTTTTTTTATTGTGGTTAACACCTTAAGACAACAATCAGCCTTTGACTCAATCAACCTGAATTTACAATTTAATTTACTCAACATTCACACAAAACACCTCACAAAGGATTTGCATTGTAAATTTGCTTGCAAATTGTCTTGTCAATCTAAAAGGTATTAAACTTGATTTTGATTTTAACAATTTTTTTCTTCTCTTCTCTTTTTTTCAGGGGAAAAAAATCTTGAACCAGAATAACAAAATTCAACCTGCCAATCAGTTAATTGTTAATCACGATGACGTGATTATGATGCATCAAGTAAAGCCAAAGCTGATTTCATTTCGTGATTAACAATTTTGTATCTCTTTTTTGCTGTTCATTAATCAATATTAACGTTACAATGTCAACTTTAATAGAGGTTAATAAAGATGGCGAGAACAACATGAAGTTTGATGAACAAATGATGAAGAGCCCAGGAATAAAAAGGAACCCCCAATATGTTTAAAGCAACCTCAAAGATTCAAATGTTTTCCATACATTTTACATTCTCTATTTTAAAATGGTTCAAATCTGATGTACAATCATTATGGAATGGAAATGGATGGCGACAGAGTATCATTCATGGTGGAGCAAATGAGTTAAATCGGAAATTTTACTTTTACAATCAAACAATGAATCGTTTCTAAATAATGAATTCATTGTTAGTTTCACTTTTATTTGAATGTGATAAATGGGAAGCAAGACCATCAACAGGAACAACAAAATACATTAATAAATCATATGTTTTTACATGATACAATTTGAATGAAAGACATTTTTATCTGATAAAATTTTCATCATTTAACTTGCCTTGTTACTCAGCCTTGAGGCCTTTTTTATTTCACCATTCACTCTATTCATGTTTTTCAATTTTTCAAGCTTCCATTTTTCTTGCTTACTCATTATTTGTATTCAAATTGATATTCAAATTGAAGCCAATATTATCATTTGATGATAATGCAGATGATTAATTAGTTTCATTTTATCAAACTCTCTGTAAAATATTAACTTTTAATGCTTAATTGATGTATTGAACCTCAGCTAATGAAACATCAACTTTAATGTTAGAATCAGTGAAATCTCTCAAAAGTGAAACTTAATTCAATTCTGATTCTGTATCAAAACCTTGTTATTCATTATTTACTCAAAGGAAAGTTGAAAATGTTGGAGTTTACTCAATGTTGGAAAACAATTCAATTAATTTGAAGCAATTGAAGTTGTCCTATTTATAATGATTTAATTGCTAAATGTGTGAAATGTTGCTTGAATTAGAGACTAAATCTTGAACTTAAAAGATTCAGTTCCAATGAAAAAATAACAAAATAAATGAAAACAAATTAAATTAAGTTTACCACTCACAGTGCATCGATAAATCAAAAGAGGTAAACGCTTGACATGTAATTATTAATAAGACAGAAATATCGACTAATCAAGTGGACAAAATCATGCTGAACATTATCCTGAAAATATATATTTTATGACTAGAATTGAAGAGAAATTTTTTGTTTCATCAAAAAACGAAAACATGTTTTGCGGTTTTTGTAACTAATCAAGTATAATCAAGTATTGACCTTTATTCAATCGTCTTAACTTGATGAGTAAATGATTAGGATAAATTGTAACCTTAGTAGACTGGTAATAAGCTGATTCCTTGCTAACCAAATCTGCTCAAATTTAGATTGGATTAATAAGTGAGACCAGAAAAATAATACAAATTGAATTGAACGAAATGGTTGATGATGAAAATGAAGAAGCCAAACAGTTTTATAAACATGTTTCCCTGCGATGATGATACTGATGATGATGATGATGAGACTTATGTTTCTACCAAATTATATTAGAACCTTAAAGTGGAAATGAAAATTGAAAAAAATAGCAACTCAAATAACCCAAAGTATTAAGATAAATAGGATTAAGCAAGCTTGAAATTGATTCATCGGTGGTCTCTGGTTAGGTTGGTTTTTACCAAGAGGCAAGGGTCACCCTGTTGCCCCGGAAGGCTGAGCTAAGGAGGATGAGGATAAGGTTGATGGTAAAGATAAGGATAAGCTGAAGGAGGCAAAATGATGAACTCCGACTGAGTTTGGTCAAAAGCCTACCTGATACTCTCGCTGGGACTTGTAAGTGCGACCTCGTCTTTATCATCATTAAAACATCCCAAACGGTATTCCAATAAATCCTCATCTTCATCTTACTTCAGCCCAATCTTCATCTTCATCTTAAAGTCTACACGAATAAATCTCCAAACCTAATAGAGTCACTCTTTCACCCTCACCCGCAACCAATGAGAGCCTTTCGTCTGTAAAACAATTTTACATTCATCATTATTATTACAGTCAATAAGGCCAAGTAAGATGAATCTTTCAACCCAACATCGCACCTCTTCCCATCAAAAAACCATACAATGAGGGTCTTCTTTACGTTGTAAAAGTCGCTTTTTTATCAACATCTTTTCCATCATTTCCATGAACATTTTCATCCTCATTCCTCATGTTGTGATGAGACAAAAATGACTTGATTCTAATCACTAAACGTTTGATTGCAATTTAACTACATTTACTTATTAATATTTAAATAATAAACTTGATGTTATTGATTAGCTAAATCACTAAGACTCAACTTTTTTTTGACAATCAAAAGCTTTCACCTTAATCTGGACCCATTTGATTAACAGTCATCTTAAAAGTTGCATTAAAATTATCATTCATCTTTTTTGTTCATCTTCATCTTTTGATTAATGAAACTCACTTCTGTTAAGGCCAAGTCAAAAATAAACTGGAAAGTAAAACAACTTTTTTTTCAGGTAAAAAATGATCAAACTCGGAATCTTATTTTTACCTTCAACCATAATGTTCACTATCAATAACATAATTTGTTGCCTTTATCAGTTCAAATATCACAAATCTTGAAGCTTAAAGTGCGTTATTTTAAACGTTAATATTACATTAATTCAATGATTTAATCAATTGCGTTGGTGTAACTTTATTACAAGCAAACAGCAATTCATTTGATAATTTAATAGCTGTAATCATCAATCATAAGCTTTGACTTTTTTGTTCAATGTTAACATAAGTTTAGCATTTTCACAATGTTGATGAATCATGAAAAGCAGAAAATTATTTTTCCAAGTTGACCAACAATAACAGATTTTATGCGAATGGCAATCAAATGGAATCAATAATCATTGATTAGCATGGAAAATCGTTTTTGTTTCATTTGTTCCTTTTCTGAATTACTCTACCTTCAACTCCTTTAGGCTGTACCGGACTGTTGTGCCTGGTTTAATTGTTTGCTTAACTAACATTGTAACGTTAAACAGTTAACTCAATCAAGTTAATCAACTTGATCAACTGTTTTTGTTGGGTAAACAAAACAAAAACTTACGATTTCTTTTTACTTTTTGTATGAACGTTCCTTAACTAAATCCCAATATCATGGAGAAGAAGAAGAAGATATCATTCATTTTCATTCCAATCATCATCATCATCATCATCAACATCATTATCATCATTTCTCATTCCATTCATTTTATCCACTTGACCATCCTCATCTTGACCAACAAAGAGTATCCAATTGAATAAAACTACTTGATTTAATTGTCTCTCACATAGTTATTTGTAGTCAGACAAAAAGTGAAACTCTCAGAGGAATTGGTGGAAATGAAATAAAAGAATCAAAAATGATGATGAAAAGTGATGATAATGAAGGACAAAAGATGACCAACAATAAGGTTGAAAACAAAGGATCAACTGAATGGCCATCTTAATAGCAATCCGATCAAAAATAATATTGATTAAGCTTAAATATCGACATTTATCGATCATCAAAGGAACAAGAAAAAATCTAGAAAATCTCAAGTTGCGTACTTTTTTATCCAAAAATTCAGAACAATTTGTGCTTCAAGATTCTAGAAATTCATGAAAATTATTCAAGAATAAGATTTCAATTTCAGAATCTCAAAAATTCTCCTTGAAATATCACTAGAATTTTGAAAACTGGCAAAAAACTCATTCACCCTTTTAAGCAAACTATTTTGGCCAAGCTTCTTGATAGAGTTGAACTTGTTTCATAAATCATGAGCTTTTTTCATGGAAATGAAAATGTTTTCAATTTTACCAATTAATTTGCAAATAAATTGCTTTTTAATCAATTTAATTGAACGAATTGTCCAGCAAATTTTGACAGGAAAAGCAAATTGGAATGAATTTAGGCTTTGGAAGTCTTTATGTTTGCACTTTTATACCATTTACTGTTGATTGTTTTTTTACATTTACTGGCAACATTTACTGAAACCAACTAACAGTTTGCTGACAATTATCATTCATGATTAAACCAGTTAATTTGCTTTAAATCACTTCATTTCACCTTTCCTCTGTAAATCTAATTACTAATTATCAGTAATAATGAGTTTGCCAAGGGAATCTTGAATGTTTGCTGGAAATGCGTTTTTCTCAATCTTCAACTGTTTAACACCAAAAATTTGATTATAATGCTCATCTTGCTACCTTGATTATGTAAACTCATTAAATTATTGTTATTACTTGCAACACAATTAGTCAAGTAAATTGTTTTGCAAAGCAAAAAACATTGTCAGTGAAACAAAATGAGTTGATTTTTTCTTCTCATGTTTTCACGACAATTCAATTAACTCGTCATTAACATCTTAATGATGATCAGATTAACTGTCCCTTTATGCTTTAATCTGTTCAACATGAAAATGATATCAATTTTTTAGATTTATTTCAGCTGCTAATCTTGATCGGATGCTTTTCAAGTTGCTCATTATTTTGCATTTTCATTTCAATTAATCTTTTCTTTCGTTTCAATTGCTTTCTATTTACTGATTCAGTTAGACTTTATTATTAACTCTACAACATTTAATTCAGGTTTGTCTCTTCAGAACCAATTTTCATGTTGAATTGAGTGTAAAATTGAGAAAAATGAAACTCTTTTTTTTTCGCAAAACTCGGAAATGATGAGTAAAAATGATAACTTTTTGTTCATCTTTTATTCAGAAAATGAAATCTGATTAACATTCAAGGTTGACTGATTATTTTACTTGAAATTAATTGTTATTTATCAAGTAAATAGAGTAAAATTGATTTATCCTTTTCTCATTTTTAATATCATTTGTTGCCTAGAAAAAGGTGGAAAACGATTCAACTTGATTGTGTATTGCAGCAAGTGATTACAATGATTCAATTGAGTTTGAATTTCCATTGGAAAATAATCATCTGAATTGAGGGAAAATGAACAGAAAATGATTTATCTGTTTGATAGAGAAAAATTTGGCAGATCAATTGACCATGATGTTGATGGGAAAAGATGAGAATGAAAAAGTGTCACCAATTTAGCTTTTGACAAACTATTTACAATTTAAATTGTTGGACAATTTAATTTTTGTTTTCCCTCAAAATTTACTAACCAATTCAATTTGTCCCTCTGGTGACATATTTCATTGAATTTACCGTTGGGAGATGAAGATGAGCAGAATGATGAGAAGAAATTTGTAATCTTTTTTAGACTGTTTGGGTTGGAGAAAGAGGATGATGAGGAAATGTAAAGATGCAAAGTTTAAGGTTTCGATTGAATGTGAAGGAAGATGAAGATGAATGATGATTATGATGATGAAAAAGATGAGAAGCTGATTGAAAGTCACTAGAGATTTTTCAAGAGGGAAACAAGAGAAAAACAAAGAGCATGGAAGATGGGAATAGGAAGAGATGAAGAAAAAAATGGTGATCATGATTGGAATGGTTCATTGGAATGATAATATCATGTCAAAATATGTTCCTAATGGATTTCAGTCTCACAAGTTTCATCAGTCTCATCTTCACCATTATCTTCTTCTCATTTGACTTTTTACTTCTCAAATGAAACAAAGTAAATATCAGATGAAGAAAAAAAAACTGCAACAAAAGACTAATCAATGGTTCAGTTTGCGATACACTTTTGTCAATAAAATGATCAATTGTAAAGTTTACAATGATCTGACTCTGAATGGTATTTTTGATGGGGCGAGAGTGACTTTGTTAGGTTGAAAAAAACATCTCACAGATGCAACGTGATGTGAAAAGGGTAATCATGAAAATGTAAATTTTTTACGTAAAAAGGCTTTTTGTGAGTTTGTTTTTGATGGGACTGAGTAGCTTTGCTGGGTTGAAAAGGACCTCTCATAAGGCTTTGGATATATTTGCTCTTGTCTCATTATTACACAGAGCTGAGTCATTTCACAGGTTGAATAGTTTTCATTTTAACATCATTTTCAGACTTTTGAATTATCTTCATTCTATTCATCCTATTCATCTCGATCATCTTCACCGTCATCAAAATAATCGTCATCTTTATCCTCTTCATCTTGATGGGTCAAAAAGACTGTTTTTACCATTACATTTGATGACTTGAACAATTGTACTTCTCCTATTTTTTTGGTTGACGCAGCACCAAAGCTAAAAGCTTATTTATTTCATCTACAACACAAAAATCGATATGCAATTTATTTTAACAATTTAATCAAGTCACATATGTAAAGGGCAAATGTTACATTATAATGAGGGAAAAGTGAAAGGAAATAACAATTTATAATGTGAAACTGGGATAACAACAGGGCCAAGATGCTTCACCGGCAAAGAAGCTAAAATAATACTTAATCAAGTCAACTTAAATTGATTCCCTTTGACGAGAAATGATTAAAGCTGAAATAAAGAGAGAGAAAAAGGAGAAAAAATAGAAGAAGAAATCAAATGAAATTAATTTAGTTATTATCATCAGTTGACTTATTAAATCACTTGACACTTGATGGTGAGTCAACCTGGAGTTTGTCAGCACCATTATCATCAGTTGATATACACTTCAAGTTATTGTCATCCATATTTTGCTCAAATCAAATATACTTTTATCCTTTAAATCTCTCGTCAAACTTGCAACTTTTTTAATTGCAGCCAAATATTACAACCATAATTTCAATCCTCAATTGGCTGTTGATTTGGTGTCTTTACATGGTTAAATTAACCTTCATCATCTGATTATCTGAGAAATGGGGAAAAAAGCAAAAAGGTTATTCAGTTTGTGTCTAACTTTTCAATTTTTTGGTTCAACTTTTCACCCTTAGGTTCAATTCAATCTCGCAAAGTGTCAAAAAAGTGTCCAAAAAATGAAAAAATAAAAACTCAAGATGTACCAAAAGACTATGATTATGATTACAATTTAATATTACCTTTAAGGTTGACATTACCTTAAAGGCAAATATAGACAACTTTTGTTTGAACCATTTGAAAGTATTTCATTAAAAATGAAACCTTTCATCTTTGCTCAATTTAAATACTGAATCACTTTTTTTTTATTCAACATTAATTGTTCAATTTAGAGCACATTTGCGAACCATTTGTAAGTATTAAATGACTTAATGATAATCACAGTTGATGGAAACAAATGGGCGCATATTGTCAAAATAAAAATGTTGAATCAAAATTCTTGAGCATCTTTGCGATAATCAGGATAAATAGTAATCATAACAGATTGACAATCCTTAATTAATGATAATCAATCAGCTAAAGATGACTAAATGAGATAATAATTGGAAGGGAAAAGACTGGAAACTCTGGAAAGGCAAACTAGATTCAACTGAACATATTAATCTTGAATGCTAATCATAAGTTGATCATTCTAAAGATACAATGATTAACCCTAATTATGAGAAGTATCAAAAATTAATGAACCAAAGGTAAAGATGAAACCATAAACAGTAGCAATCGTTTTTAATCCTAATTCCTGGCCAATCCAATAAATCCAACGTGACTTTGGACTTGATGTATGAATATGGATTAGCGTCAGATATGTTCATTTATATCTCCAATTATAACTCAATATTTGAAAATGTCAGTTCCAAAAGGTAAAATATTGTTCCATGATCAAAGCTGCAAACCTGAAAATGTTGAAAGATCAAGAAAATATATATATATATTAATATAACCTGAGGCATAAAAAAGTCTCATAAGACATAAATATATGGATAAATATAATATAAAAAATGTTTCACTCACCGTAGGAGAATTGCGATAATTTTTAAGGTAAAAAAAACCAAGAAATATCTTGATGTGTGTTATGATAATGAGGATAATGTATTAATATATGAATACACAAAAAGATATATAAATTGATTAGAAGGTGAAAACAAAGTTGCCAAAGTCAAAATCCTACGTTATTATTACCTTTTTGGGTAAGTTGCTTGTTGCTGTTGTTAAAATAATTTGAACAAGTGAAAAGATATATATTAATATCATCATAAATCTCATTGGTAAACATTGTGAATGATAGTGAATAGCCTTACAGGCAAATTGATTGTTATTAAGATGAAGACTTTTTTACTTACCTGTGACTTGTTCCTCTTCCTATTCGTCTTGATCATCCATCAGAATCTTCAAGTAACATGAGCTTGAGCTGCAAAAATTTGAAAAAAAAGAGCTGAGTACAAAATAATGATAATAATAATAAAAAAAGAGAAGAGAAAAGCAAATATTCAAGTTAAAAGATGGAGAGACTGAAGAGGAGGTAAAAGATGAGAAAGCAATAAAATTGAATTAGAATTCAATTTATTGTATTTCATTCTGTTTTCACCATTAATTTTAAAACTGAACATACAAGTGCAATAATTTATAATGTTACTGCTACTTCAGATCAATATGAGAGTATCAACATTTAACAATCATAAATTGATGAGAATGATGAGTAAGAAAATGCACTAAAAGATCAATCTTTTTTTGCCAAAAAATGAAGAAAGTATCACTTTAAAATTTGGAGGAAAAAAACGACACCAAAAAAAGGTCTTGATTCTTGCTTATTATGTTAAGATGATTGAAAGGATCTTAATTTTATCATATCTTTCGAAGATTCATGATGATGTCTTCATATATGTGAGTGTGTGGCTGTGTTTGTTCAATCTGAAAGTTGTGATCAAATGAATAGCCCAAATGATGATGGTTCATAGACAATTTGATGTTTTTTTTCAATTTTTTTCTCGCTTTTTCCTTTCCTCTTTTTTCTGACTTTGCTTTTGCTTGAAAGATAACTGAAGATTCTTTGGGTGAGGAGGAAAACAATAATGATAATATCTGCAGATAGTTTTATAATATCTTTGATATTTTTTTCTGCTTCATATATGAAAAGTTGAGATATTGCATGGAGAGAGAAAAAAGTTGAGAGTTTATCGATTTCTCATCATCAGCATCTTTCCTCTCTTCCCATTATCATCACAAGTTATTATATTTCTCTTTCTCTCTCCCTGTGTTTCTTGTTTTCAATTGAATCTCATGTTTCATCTATGAAGTGACTTTTCAGCAAAAAAAGAGAGAAAAGAGAAAATGAAACTAAACGAGAAAGGAAAAAACAAAATTTCAAATGATTAGATTTTCATTCAATTTCTTGTTATTCCATATTGAATTGAATCTTTTTTTCTCCTTTTCTCTTCTTTTTTTCACATCTTAACTTTGAAGTTAAATTAATTTGAATTTCTTAATATAAGGCAAAGTAATTTAAACATTTCTAATCAATTATTTGGGGTCATATTTTAACTCCTTACTTGAATTTCATCAGATTGTTCCTTCCTTTTTTTTTGCTTTGAGGTTTTTTATTCATACTTGTCCATGGGGAGGTAAACATAAAAGTGTTTCGAGTTCAAGAGTCTTGTTTAAATATTATGTTGGCTAAAGATGTCAAGATGATGAAAGATTGTCTTTAATAAAGAATCAAATATTCGATGTATTAGTATTGGAACAATGTTCATCCAATTTTGGATTATTTTGTTTGCTGCTGTTGAGATGAAAATACATAAACACTCTTACCTCTAGTAACTTGTTTTGACACATAATATAAAATAACAACATGGCTTAATACATGGTAGCACAAGATTATTAAAATTATAAAATGATTGGCATCTAATACTAGTTAGAATCAGAATATATTCAAGTATAATTTAAAGATAATCAATTCCGAAAAATATGATTCTTTTATTGCGTATTTTTTGCCTATCAGGTGTCAATTTTTTTATGTCGCCATCTCTAGTGAAAAATGAACACAATTTAACGGAAAAATGTCATCGGTCAATCAAACAAAGGGTTGTTTTGGTTAAAAAGCTAATTTTTTTAATTTTAATATTTCTATTAATTTCAAGTTTAATTAATTAGTGTTTTATTTGATTTATTATAATGGTAAACCAATGTATATTGTGTTAACATGATCATTTTATAATTTGATAATGTTGTCAAAGACAAACAAGAAAATACTTTTTGGTTTAATGTTTACTTTTGTTTGAAATAAAAATGGTGAGTAGCAATTTTTGCTTTCTGTTCAATACAAATTACAATGGTAAATGACCATTCAATGGTCTATTATCAACTTTTCCTACCTTTACAAAAAGTAACTGGTCATCATTATAATCATCATTCTCATCTTCCAGCTAGTCTTTATGAGCGTTTTTATCTAGACAAAGTGGTCCTTTTCATCTTTTTTACTTATCTCTTTTTTTCTCCTCCAAACTTCTATTGCTTTATTATGTTGCTTTTTGTAAACTCAATCATAAACAATTACCTACAAGTTACCTGAACATTATCTTAATATTTTATTTCTTTACGCTCTTTTGATATATCAAAGTATTCATTGACCATTGGTAATGCTTCGGAAAGGTAAGGAAACAAATATTTAAAGCCATTTAGAAATGACAGATTTGTTTTGATGTTTTTTTTCACATCAATTTTTCTTCGTTTAATTACGTTACTTGTTATTTGTACTTGATATTTTGTTATATTTTCATATCACCATTTTTTTCTTGATATTTCAGATTCTGTTTGGACTTTTGGATTTCTCTTTCAGTTTGGTGTTCAACAATGTAACAAAAGTCAAGCATGTTTGGGGAAATATTTTCATCATCAAACATCCAGAAATCTAGGAGTTGAACAAAAAAAACGAAGAAATGATTGAAGATAAACAAGACTGATGAATGAATCAAATATGATCAAGACAGCTAACACTGTAAGTAAATAGTAAACATTGATACACTTCAAAAGGAACTGCTTTGTGATTTTTTACCTGAGAATCTTCCTGAAAGAAGACAAGGCTTTTTCTATTGAAACAGGTCAAAGTAAACTAATGTGTAGTAATGGTCATTATTCAAAGGAAACATAGAGCGAGTTATAAACTTTTTTTTGTTGTATTATAAAATTTACGGTCATTTTTTAAAATCATCTTTTTTATATTCTTCCTCCTTCATCTTCAGGTAAATTGACAAAGGATCTTACAGCTATTCAATGGACTATAATGCAACCTTTAATGCCCAAAGCAATGATAGTAACTACTCTAATGGTCAAACTGAACACACACAAAGACAAACCATGTAGGTCATATATGGATGTTTCTCTACAAAAAGGGTTACAAAGAAAAGATTTTAAATTGTTATTGACAATATGTGACAATTTAAATTGATTCACCTACGGAAAATGTGAAAGATAACTACAGTTGTTTACAAGAGAAATGATTTCTTAACAGTATTTACTCTGTTTTTTTTGTCTCTTTTCGCTTACTACCTTTGAGTAACCTGTAATTTCTAGCCAATCATAAGCTGGAAAACCAGGTAAAAAGATGAAATTGCTTTTTACCCTTAGGTTAAAGTCTGTCAGATAATTTAACGAACAGTAAAAAAGCTAGGTTTAGACTTGCTGATGGATCGAATGAAAGATGAAGATGAAAAGGATAGGAAAAGTTACAGGTTTTTATCTATTAGTCGAGAAAAGATTTAGTCTTCGTTGATCAATCTCAACAATGTTGATAAAAAAGCATCTAGTTATCGATATTTAACTTGTCAAGACAACTTATTTAGTCGATCAACTATTCATTGATTAATCTGTCATCAATAATCATTAATTAAGGTAATCACTTTATTAAATGTAACCAGCTAACTGTGAGAATCAATTCTGAAATTGAAATAATTTTCAGTAGCCTTTTACTTTTTCTTAATCTTACTATATTTACGAGTATAAACATTTTTTGCTCTTAGCTAATTGAATAATAATGTATTTATTTTTCTCATTTTGCCATCATTTAATTGCAAAATTGAAAAACAAATTTAATGTTGCCCTAGAATTAATATAAATCTAGTTCTTTAACATTATGCACTGAATTTCATTATTAGAACGTAAATTCAAAAGATTTCCGTGTTTAAATGATAAGTTTCTTTTTCTGTTGTCTAGAATGAGATTGCTTGATAAATCATGTAAAACAATCAAAACTGAATCATAATTTAAGCTAATTTCCCATTGAAAGTCTGATTTACTTGTGCAACAAAAATTCAATAAGCTTTTAAGAATTTTGTATTTCAAATTAGTATGGAAAAGTGAATGAAATACAAAACAATACATCTATTGAATTGTTGAGAAACAAAAAATTTATTATTACAATCTGCATTAATTCATGAGGTTGTTATAAATGTAATAATAAATGTAGGCAAAGAAATTAAGTTATGCATTTTACGACTAAAACTTTATTTCTATGGTTACATAATCTTATTACAAATAAAAATATTCAGTTCTAGATCAATGTTTTTCATTTGCATTATCATCATTATAAACATGATTTTAATCATTCTTTTTTTCTCTCTCTTCCTTTCAGTTCTTTTCAATGTTACCCTTTCACTTGGTTGAATACTGGAGTTGCTGTTGATGATGATAAGATGATGGAGGATTATGGTGAAGATATAATGAGATGATTATGACGAGGACCAGGACGACGACGGTGGTGGTGGTAGTGATGATAATGATGACGATGAAAAGCTATAACTGCAAGATGATGTAAAATGAACGAGCATGAGATTCTGGTGAGAAAAGGAATCAAATTTAAGTGAAAGGAAAAGTTGAAAAGGATTCAAATGTGAGAAATTTAGTTAAATAGTTTGTGGGCTTCATTTAATTAAACTTGTTAATTGTATACTACCGGTATGATCGGTTATGTATGTTATAGATGTAAAACACCTTAGTTCACTCCTTTTCACCATCATCATCATCAGCTTGTTTTATAATCATAGGTTTAGATTGTGTTGTTTTTTCATTACAACATTGAATTTGCAAAGGAAGAGCTGATGAGGAGGATGATGAAGATGGAGATGGCAGAAACAATAAAAAACGAGAAAAAGGTTTGGGTGCAAGAAAAGGTTAAAAAAAGTATGGAAACAGTTTAAAAAAAAACAAAACCTTCCCGAAGGCTGTTGATAATTTTTTGTTCATCATCATCATCATCATTTTTTATCTTCAAAGTTTCTCTTAATATTTTGTTTCTTTCCCAACGATAACTCATTCCATTGCTAATAACTGTCAAAAAGCAAAGTTGATCCAAGTTGCACCACGAAACAGCAAAATAACAACAATAATTATACAGCTGATGTTTGATACACTTTGGTTGCTCCACTTCAATCAATACATCTTACAATAACAGCTTTTTTTGCCAGCAAAAATGTGTCCATCAATTAATGGTAATGAAAAACGATAAATGATGGTAAATTTTGTAATAGTATTTAGCTAATTATTAGTTATTGGCTTAAATACTGATACTGTACACGATGAGCTGCAGAAGCCTGAAAAAGAAGCTCAACCAATTACAAGATTGTTGATTTAATTTAGTGTTAAAGTTATCTTTTTTTACCTTGTCAGGTTGATGAAATGTACATGTTTTTTGTAATCAATAGTTGCATGATTTATGTGAATCTCATGATTGTGTGTATTTAAACAAATGATGTTAGGTAATAAAATAAAATGAAATATAAATTTGTAATTTAACATTACATTTTTTACTAATCTTGCTTCATTTACCTGTGTTAACAAGTTTTCATCGACAGCAATTTAATTTCATTTTACTGGATAATATTCAAAGCTCATTTATGTTTAAACATAAAACACATAAAAAATGTTTAGTTTTGTCGATCGTCATTAGGAGATAACCCCTAATTTACGACTGTTTTGTAGCCATGGCTTAATAAACGCCATTGGTTTTCAATCTAAAGCTTTTACTTTTTCCTCTAGTTTTGATTATAACTCTCTGCTATTATCATTATATTTATTAGGGTTATTATTGATATAATCAACAACATCATCATTGCAATAACTTGTATCATCATCATCTTCCCTGTCATTCTCAGTTTTCATTTGGTAACGATTCAGTGTTTTTTTTATTTATCCGTATATCAAGTGTTTGTACTAGAGTAAATGAGGAAAAATTATCATCTCTTCAGGACTATCAACAGAACTTTCACCATCATCATCATCGTCAGCATTGTCATCATCACCATCTTTTTCATTCAATATCTTTGTGAGAATATCTTATTTATCTATTAAGTTGCCAAGCAACTTTCTCAGGAGGCTTAAGCTAACTTTGATCATTTTTGTTTCATATTCAATGTCTTTTTTTCCCTCTGTCTCTGTCCTCTCTCTTTTCAGCGTCACCTTCGTCTTTATCTTCATCCTTCTGATGGTAAATCTTGAGAATGATGATCATTTTCATCATGACAAACAGATCAACATGGGTTAACCAACATGTTTATCAACCCATCAGCTATTTTGTTCATCAAGGTAACTCTGTCCTTATAATTATCTATCTATCAATCTACAACTTGACTATCTTTCATTTCATTTTGCTTTCTTTTCTATCTTTTTCCTTCATCTTCATCAGTTTCGCTTTTTATTTCACTTGCCTGACATTCCCACTGTGATAAAATAAGATATTTCTTCATTATTACTGCTAGTTAGTTAATTATTACAAAGTAATAAGCACATATACATATCTATAAATTCATCCTTCCGAAGAGAAAAAAAATAGTTACCATTTTGTAAGCTTTAAAGTTAATTAGCATCGTTTTTCCTTTTCATTTTCATCTTTGCCTCTCTTTCTGCTGCTGATTAGTCGTTTTAATTAACATCACTTTTCATGGGATCCATTTTTTTCGGTACATAAAAAATAAATAATAGTAAACTTCTTAACTTGTTTCACCTTAATAACCAAAGAGATGAGATGAGGTTAATATGTATATAATTCAGAAAGAGAAGAGAGGAAAAAATGTTGACAAATATTTCCAGTTATGATTCTAATAATATTTACTTTTTTCTCCCATCCAGATTGGAATAGTTGAAGGAACCATCAAAATGAAAGATTAAACTCTGTAAGGTCAATTGAATTATGTCAATGGTTGGACTTTTGGGACAAAATTTAAGCTGAATAAGTGATCAATATTGAATATCTTTTATTCAAATGATGAGACCTTATGTTATCTATTGCTTGGTCCTTCCCTTTGCAACAATCCACCTTGTAATGTCATCTTATTGTGGTTAACCAAAGAGATCCAGGAATAAAGAAAGGAAGACAAGAATCCAAGATGACGAAGGTGATGGGAAAAGTGAATTGAATTGGTTAGGAAGAGAATCTCAATCTTACCCATTCTCATCTCACTTAAACTGATGACCTAAGGTCACCATTTAGATGAAAATTGTGTCATCTTCGGTCAGCTCTTTTAATGGGCTTACAGATTATACTGAGAACTGTAATTTAACGTTGTATTTGTGTTGGTAATTGATCAATTGAAAAAAATACAAAATAAGAAAAGGTAAAATCCAAAATCAAGGTAAGTATGACACAAACAAAACTGGGAAAAGAAAAGAAGAAAATGATGATTCTCTCCTCAGTTCATGTCCATTGAGAGTAAACTTGAATACCCTATTATATTTCACGAAGAAAAAAGTTATGCATTGAAAGGCCTTAGGGCGACAAAAGGTAACTTGAATCTTTAGGCAATCATCTTTTTTCTCACTTACCTTTTTATATCAATAACTTTGTCAATTCCCTGAATTTATCGCAATCGCGGTCAATATGTTTGAATAGTCACCTCATCATCTTCATCTTTCTTCCTAGACCTTTTCTTGTCCCTTCAATCCAACAACAATGTCAATCTCGTGTGATCAAGTAAAGTGTAAGGTAAAGTGAATAAGTCTTTACCTTGACTTTTTTTCCACTCTTGCTAACTTGCTAACTTGTTTTATTTATATACACTTACAATCACAGGTAAATCACTTTGGAATGTTATTATATTGATGATCAGATCGTAAAATGGAAATACTTGAGAAGGGAAAAAAGATTGTTCATGTTTGCCAAAAAAGCAAATCAAATCCAAATTTATGTTGATGATTTTTTTCGCTGATGTTGTTGATGGTAAATTTCAAGTGTTGTTTACTGTTTATAATTTTCAACACACCATTAAGTGTTGATTTAATAAGAGAAAGAAAGATAAAGTTATTCAACATTTAAACGAGTTACTGACTTTTGAGACAATTTATCATAATTTATCAATCATAAAGTCTCAATAAATCAGCCAAAAATATGATTTGTGCTATTTTTTACACTCTTCAGAATTATAATTAACTTGCATTTCCAGTGGCGATGAAGTAAACGGAACAAAAAAATTCATATAAATGTTGAAACAAATTTCTTCCATTTCTTCCATTGAAACGTTAATGAAATCAACATTTAAATGTTTTCACCATCACCATCATCATCAATGTCATCTACATAACTGGAGAGAGAGCCTTTGTTTGTACTGCAAAATGTTGGGAAAAGCCTTATTAGCATTGAAGAAACGTTGACTTTATCACTTTAAATAAACTGCTTAACCACAACGTAATAAGCTTGAGAAAACTTTTTTATTTTCACTTTTTTTCAATTAACGTCAAAAAAGTGACACAAACTCAACTTTTTATTTCTCTCTCCTGTCTTGTGTTGACCATTATCATTATCATTATTTTTGTTGCTTCCTCAGATTCCTCTGTGAACGTGCTAATAACGTTTCCAACGACCCTTCCATCATTATTATCATCATTATTGTTATTATCTTTTTTTATTCCAATGGTTCCTGATTACAACTTCGTTCCTAATGATTGAAAAAAAAGTCAAAGAGGTTCAAATGAGTGGAACATCTTGGAACGTGTCAACATTTTTATTACTTACCAAGTCTTTTTTTGACTACTTTACCTGTGAGAAGGTAACAAATTGTTTCATTTGACTGGTAGCGATCAACATAAACTTGCTTGTGAATTCAGGCTCAAAGTAATTTTACAATTGATGAAAACAAAATACTTTTTGTCAGCCTTTTCTCATGAATCCATGTAATGATGTAGACAAACTGCTCAATAAATAATAATAATTATATAATATAATAATATCACCATTATTTGCGGTTCATTTTCCTCTCTTCACCTTTCACGTTGAGTTTACTTTTGCAGCAATGATGATTGTATTTGAAAACGGTAGGACCATTTCATCTTGCATTAGCTCGTCGTTAGTTTTATAGCCATCGTTATTTTGCTCAATACTTGATGTTGGCCATCATTGACTTTTCAAAGGTTTTATGCCAATGTTTACTTGTCTTTATGACAAAAGTTATTGAAACTTTACTGGTATTAAAAGGTAATTTTGGAAATGCAATTAAATTCACCTTTGAAAGTGTCTTTTTTTCTCGCTGGTTTGCTATGAGTTCGGGTTGGATGTGAGGTTATATATTGTCTTTAAATTTGTTGGATATTGTTGATTGATGCTCAGTTATTTTAGACTAGTTAGCAAACATAACTTTAACGATTAACTTTATAACGTTGATGGAAAAGTTATTTTACTCCTTTCACGTAGGAATGCAAAGGTGAATTGTGAAGTATCAGCAACAGCAGAAGCAGCAAAAAAAGTCAACAAGATTTAATGAGTAATGGTCTTTTAATGAGGTTCCGGTTTATTTGATATTTTGACGGGTTCTTTTAAGAATCTAGATAAATGAATGGAGGAAAGAAGAGAAAAAATATAAAGAGAATTAGGTAAAGTTTTCATACATTTTCTCAGTTCAATATCAAATTAGGAACTCTGAAAAGAAGTAAAATCAAGGGATGAAAAGAAGACAGCCTAATGGATTGATGATGAGGTACTGAGGAAGAAAGGGAAAGAGAGATACTTTGTGGCGTTCAATAAAAGAGGATATGCAGAGAGAGAGGAGGAGGATGGAAGAGATGAAAGAGATGGAAAGAGAGAGTTAGAGGATGGTGACTGGAGTATGCACAAAATATACAGTAAGCCGGTGGCAAGGAAAGTTTGTTAAAAAGCACGATAAATATAAAACAGAGTAAAAGGATGTCTTAATGAATACCTTTCCATAGGAAGGAAAGGCAGGTTACAATCACAATAAATATACTGAAAAAGCCTTTTCTCTTCACTCAGTCTTGATTCCTTTCCTTTCTCCAACTTCTTCCTTCAATTTACCTTTACAATTCCATTACCTATGAGAACATTAATAAACTACATGTATTCTTTGATCCAACAATAACAGCAAAGCAAAAAAAAGAATCCTTCTTTACCTGGTTTACGTTAGCAATAAACAAACGATAAAAGGTAAAAAACATAGTTTCACTGTTATTGTGGGGTTATTGATGTTTGCAGATATTAAAGTAGGAGTATCGGTAGCCGGGATAGCAAGAGGGTTAAAAAAGCTTTTTTTTAAGAAGCCAAAGCCAACAATCAAAGAGCAAAAATGGCATTAAATTATCTAAAACTGAAATCATATAGCTAAACACTCAACACAGCATTTACAACTCTTTCACGACCGACGGTTTACCATTTATCAACATCTTTATTCCTATTGACTTGTTTGTTTGATTGCTTTCTATGTATTTAAAGACAAGGCCAATGGCTAAGAAATGACCGTTGATCATGTGAATAGAAATGGTAAGGTTACCGGTTAAATACACATTTACCTTTAATCACACACTTTATCCATGAACCATTTTCAATCTGTTTATATAGCTTTGTTTAACCAAGAGTCGAGGTAGATGTAGGATGTTAGTTAAACATTGATGTTTCCTCCTGTAATCTCCTTCTTTGTCTAGATAGCTTTATTCCTGGCCTTTGAGGTTCCTGTTGACAGCAAAAAGAAAAGGTAATGTTACTGATATTGATGAGTCAATTTTATAATTGATGTAATTTCATTCAATAAAAATGTAAACAAGCAATGCAGCAGCAACACACACAAAAAAAGCAGCAAACTAGATGTACTTTTTTCTGTAAACATGAACGGAAACATCATAGTACAAACTGCAAACATAAAAAGCAAACATTGAATTGATGAGTTGTAAAGATACTCACAAAAGGAATCATCATATATCAGTTTTGATTAGGATCACATCAAGAACCATCAGTCTTTCCAAGACTGTTGATAATTTTTCCATTAAATAAGTCCAAGGCAGCTAAAGAGGATAAAAGGTTTGATATGAGATTGTTAGTTGATAGTTTTTTGCTAAAAAGGTATCAATTTTCTTACTTTTTTGAGCTGCCATGGTTGATAATATTCATCATATTTGCTGGAAATAGAAAGCTAATGTAAAAAAATTCACAAGACTCTGGTCACTATCATTTTATGACTGCCTTTTCATTACATCAAATTTGTTGACGTTATTATTTTGGGATCGTCGTAATCATGTAATTTCACCGAAGAGAAATGAATCAAAAAAAGATCAAACACATCATATATAATATAACCGGGTTAATCGATTCTGTCAAAAATTTTGACACAAAAACTGTTTTGATAAATTGAACTAAATATGGCGCCTTGGTAAACTGAATCATTGTCATTGGACAATCAATCTTTTTGTTTAAGGCGGTTTTTTTGCTTTTACCCTTTGCTGTTGAAGAAAGTGAAAGCCAAGTGGCAAGAATGCGAAAAAATTTCATTGTTATGCAATCAATTTGGTATCCATGTTTTTTTGCGTCTCTCTCTCTTTGTATTATTAATCAAAGTTGACTATTAATAATAATTATTTTTATGAATTTGTATTGTGAAAACAACAATAACCGGTTCGACCTGAATTGAACATGTCCTTAAAGATCGTTGTTATTAAATTAAACATCAAACGAGGAACATTAATCCAAAGGAAAAACAATTTTGGTTAACCATTAGCTTTGTAATGTGAGTATTTTTGGCTTTATTTTCTCACTTTTTCTTCTCCTTTCATCATTATTATTATTGTTATTCAAGACTGTTTTGATCAAACATTCATCTTTTAATCTTGATCACTAGACTTAACTAATCATTCATCTTCATCTTTTTTGACTCTTTTTCTTTACTGCACAGGACACACTTCATTACCATTGACTTGTCTTGTTAACATCAAAAGTTTTGCATGCGGATGTAACATTTCCTATTGTGGACATATGGAGATACAATTCTCCCATTAAATGGATGGAACCATTGGATTGCAAGTACTAATGAACCAATTTAGAGTAGATTATTGCCTCTTCAATTCATCTTCTAGCCGCCACAATCGTCAACCAAAATAGTCTTGGAGTCGGTTTTTTACATTTTTTGGACTTTCTCTATGATCAATTGATATTTTCACCGCTTAAAATGTTATTTTTTGGTTTGAGAAAATATTAATTTTTCAGGAAATGTGGAATGTAATGCAAATTTGGTATTTTATCTTGATCATTACATGTTTACTTAAAGTTTGCGGAAAAATGCATTTCACATGGAGAAAAATCATCATCAAAAGGCAGAGAAAAAAGTTTCCAACATACTTTATTTCTAATTTGATTGTTTTCTGTTCTAATACATAAAATGGTACATAAAATATTCTCCCATAGTATTATGTATTATTTGAATAAAAGTGGCAACATCAACACCAACAAAATGGTTAATGTAAGCTTCGGTGGTGCTTAATGTCTAATAGTTTTCATCGTTATTTTTTACTTATTTTGTTGAAGTCAAAAAAAGAGCAAAAATAAAGGTTGGAAAGTAATGGTTTTCAAGTATCAAACCATTGCACCTCATCTATTCTCAATGATGGGTCCCTTCAGAATTTTCACATCAAATAGTGTTATACACTCAGAAATTTACCTCTCGAGCAAAATATAAACAGCTCGAGTTGATGCATTTTACGACTCTTTTCTTTCTATTTCTATCCCTTCCAAACCCACCAAATACATCATTCAATTGTCTCCCTCTCACAGTTTATACCGTTAATTTAATTTTATTTTTTTTCTACTTTTATGAATCGCTATCCTTAGATTGTTAAAAACACTTGTCCTGTTTGGATGGAATCCTGCTGCAAAAAAATGAATAATTCACATGAATACTGTTTCTCTTTCTCTATATCACACACACAACACTGTTCATCATCTGCGTTACAAGAGCGATCAAGAGACACCATTAATATCAACAGCAGATGTGTACTTTGTAAAGTTTGGGAAAAGCAAGAGGCAACAAATTTTTTTTCCTCTACTTTTACCTGAAAGTTAGATGTGACAAGGATTTATTAATTTACTAATTGTTGCAGTTAACTAATGACATTTCATTTTTTGGCCAAAAAAAGAGTGGCAATTTACTAGAGGCGAAACTCAAGGAGAAAGTCAGAGAAAAATGAGAAACAAGTTGCCAATGACCATGTAACGGAGGTTCAACAACAGACTCAAGGTGATACTTCCGGAATAATTTTTCACCTCCCTTTGGTAGACATTTTTAATAGGTACTTTTCAACTTTATTTTTTGTTGTTTTCCTCCCCACCTTTCAAAAAAGCACCTTAATTTTTATACTTTCTTATTACTATCTATCCATAATGAAATGAGGAGTTTAACAGAATATGATGATGATTAAGAACTGTTTTAACACACTGTTTTTACATTATTTTTCAAGTAATTTTTCCTCAAACATAGTAACTTACCCTGTGGCTTGATAGGTAACTCACTTACCTTTTACACTGAAAAAAAATCAACTAACAATCATCTTTCTCTTTCTCTTCCTTCAGGGCCTACTCAGTGAACAATTAATGTTAAAGCTCAAGTTAAAAGGACGGGCAATGAAGTTGTTGATGATAATATTTTTGTGACTAATTAGTACTCCAAACTAATTAACGTACAACACACGGTATCCTAGATGCCTTTGAATCAGTGCATAGATTCATTGAAAGTTTCTCATGAAGATCTACACCAAAGCAAAAGCGGAGGAGGGAAAAAAGGATGAACTGAAATATTTCAATATATTGCCTAAGCAAAGAGGCATTCTGGCTTTGATGGTCAACAAAAGAAGAGGAAAAAAGAGGATGAAAAGCAAGAGGAAAGAAGGCAATGAGGGAAAAATTTGAAAAATGTATCATTAGAGGTATTCTTCATGTAACATCATAAAAAACTCTGATCACATCTTGAACGATTCTTGGTGTAAAGTAGGAAAAGCTGTTAAAATTGTATTATAAATATTGAGAAAAAAAGGTAAGTAAAGGTGTGGTTAATGTTCATCAAATATACATGTATATATTTCTTGACGATTAAAGACCTCACACTATGCTTGTTCAAATTTGACCACGACAAGTCAATGCGTCATTATTATCATCATCAACTTGATCATTATTCTCATCATTAACATAATCTCATCTTTACCGATTTTCATCGTTTCTCCTTCTTCAGCTCTGTTCATCCCCTTCATCATCATGATAATATATTCTTGACAAAAGTAACACTAAATCCAGGTTTTACAGGGACGCCCATTGCAAATAACTGGTTAATAACTTGTTAGGGTCACAAATTAATTTCAAGAAAATATAAAGTGATCTAAATTGTGTGTTATCCTCATCAACTAATGATTTCAATTACCAGAAATGTTCAACCTGTGATCTACATAAATGAGGGAGAACAAGGAAAAAAAAGTTAACTCAACTTGGATAATAAATTGCTTTTAAATAGCAATTAATAATTGAAACACAAATAGACCTTATCTTCAAGCTTAAAACTGAACCCCTTTTCTTTCTGCCCTGAAAATGTACTACTCTTACAATGTAAGTAAATTAATGAACTTAACAATATCTAATTATATTCTTAATTTTAATCACTTTTTTTTCTCTCCTTTTCCTACAATCTCTTTATTCCCAGTTTGGTCCATTGATTACAATGTTACAGATGTAAACCCAAGAAACAATTACAAAGTAGAGTTGAAAAATTAGGCGAAATCTGATTTCAAAAGTGATTTGCTGATTCAATCCAAGCTTTTGCGAGGAAAAACCTAGCAATCTTCAAAAATTCTGTGGCTATATTATTAACCTTGCATGGATCTGTTTGCTCAACCAAATCAACAACAATTTCACGGTACAACTATTCACATGATGGTGACTCGGGCGTCAGTACATAATAACAAGAAACAATTCACGATCATTTCATTGATTTTACCGGTTTTACCTTAAACTTTACCAACCAATATTACTTGTTATTATCATTATCTATGTTTATTATTATGTAATGCATCTTACAGTAAATGCAGCACAAAAAAGCGTTCAAATGAAAAAGGAAAGTAAAAAATCTATTCTATTTGAACCAAATTCCCTATTTTTTTACTTCGGCTAACTTTTTTCTGCTTCTTCTTTTCTCTTTTTCAGATTCAACGGAAGTTACAGGAAACAAGAAAAAAATATATCTACAATGATTCAAGAACCATTCAATGTTACCTTGAAAAATGGGAATTCAATTTGTTTTCTTTAATGATCAAAATGATGATTAAGATAGATACACATTTACACAATGGCTGATTATCAATGAAAGCAAATATTGTTTCAACCTTTCCTTCAATATAATACAATTTCAACATTTGTTTTTTTATTATTGTTTTCAGGTTAACTTTTGACTTGCCATGAAGATAGCCTTTTGTTTTATTGTTTTCACCAAATTCCCAACGAGTCCCATGATATACAGAAGTAATATAATTTAATGTTTACCACAATTTACCAAATTTCAAGTTAATATTTTTCTTTTCATTTCAACATTTGTTTTCAAACAAAACAAAAACCTTTTCCTATCAATGTTACAATTGATCTTTTTACTTCTGTTCATTTACAGGTATTGACTGATTATATTTCAACATATCAACAGTTATTGACTTTGGCTTTTCTGGATCAAATGGCCATTATATTTCAACTAACTTACCATGATATCCAAGTCGCCGATTGCCTGGGAAACTATCCATTTCAATGAATTATTTCATTTTTTTATTTCTTCTTTTTGATTAACATAATTGCTAGTTGAAATGGCCCTTTTAATTGGCTCTTTATCAAAGCAATCAATCAACAAATAACTGAATCCTCAATTTTGTGTCTGTTGATACATTAATTATTTAATGTGTAATCAAATATTCATGTAAGGTTAAGGTTAAACCTGCAGACGCACAGTTTGCCTCTTAAATTGTAATCTATTTACACATTTAATATTGTTAGATTGCCCATTAGAGCCAATTTAATCATCATTTCATCTGATTTACAAGTAAAAGCATTGAATCTTATTTGTTGAACAGTGCAAAGCATTCAATAATATCACTTGTTAATACAATTAGAGTTGACACTTGAAAGAAATCAAATTTACATTAAAACCTCTTTTTTTGTTTACACCGATTCTGATTAGGTTAAACAGCAATAGTAATTTAATTAATTATTTAAAATGTATGAGCAAAAATTAATCTGTTAAAATGAACCAAGATTGAAACGATTCCAATTGATGAGTGAAATTAAAAAAAAACATTAAATTAAAGATGAAATGATATCATTTAATTAATGGCAGCAACATTGCCATCCATCATAACCAAGTGAGTTAACTTTTCATTTTTCACAATTATAATCATTTTAACTTTCCATTTCAAATGAAAATCACAATCAAGAAACTGTTTGGTTTCATTTTGTTCATTTAAAATGATTGAATTGATTAATACAACAATTAAGATGTGCAATGGGTTCACTGAATGAGTTGAAAATTAATGCACAGTCAAGTTTATCTCAGCTTATGAAGCAGTTTATCATCTGTGCTTTTCAAGAGAAACAATCACAATTTATAAAGAAAATTTATTAATTACGAACAATTCATGTCACTTTACTTTTGAATTTTTCATTCAAACCATGATTAATCTTGATCCTTTCATGGTAAAGTGAAAGACTTGTAACAAAAGCTATTAATGTAAGTCAAAATACTTGAGCTTTTTTATTGATTTCCAATGTTAACTTGACATTGTCTTATTGGTTACACATTTGGCTTTTTGAACGTTGACGCTAATGTTGAGGTCAATGATCATGTATCATCTCGATGATCACATGAACTTTATTGACTCAATTAACAATCGTGACAAGTTAATTTCTATCGGTAATCATGAGAGATAATCAGTTGAATATGGAAAAAGTTGAAAGGGAATTTGGTAAAAGCTTTATAATATCACAGTCATGATTGAGATTTAAATTGATAACATTTCAAGAGTGTGTTTCCTATCGGATTGATCAATGTTATTATTGTCTCCGGAAACAGTTTCATCCTTATTAGATAAATGATCAGAATTTTATAGTCAAAGTAATTGCTGTTTTATCTTGTTCTTGGCTCAACAATCTGAAGAGACATTAAACTGGCATTTGCATTCTTGTAAGGATTGATTGAGAGATTGAAAGGTTTTCCTAATTCATAACAGAAGTAAATACCTTTTCAAATTAAGTATTAATTTCTTTTAATTATCATAATCATTGACATTTTCTAGATCATTTCTTCCCATTCTAGCTCATTAGCCCTAATACTTTACCTTTACAGATATTTGTCATGATTATGGATGAGAAGAAGAAGAAGAAAGGTTTCAATATTTACTCATTTATTTACAGCTTTATCAATCTTTCCTATTGGAGTCAAACATAATCATCATTATCATCAGGTTGATCATGAAAAAGTCACATCCAAAGGAAAAGCTACAAAATGTTATCTTGTTACTTGGTCAAGCATCCAAGAAACGTCCCTTGTGACGTCCAATTAGACGAAAAAAAAGATGATGAAGGAGAAAATAAAAAGGCCTTTCCAAAGTTTAATGATAATCCAAGGGAAAAGTTGAAACCTGAGAAATGTATTTGAGGTACAAAAAAGATAGAAACAGGTAACCGTGATTCTGACAACTCGATATCTAATCCAAGACCTTTTCATACAACTTGCCAGTTTCATCTGAAGAAGTTTGTAGATGAAGAAAAACGATCATCACCATGATCTTGATCATTTACACATCTAGTAATACATGTAGAATGTGGTTGAAAAGATGAAATGATGGTTGGTACAAAAAAAGTCAACAGCAAGATGAATGTTGATTTGGTTTCTGTTGATGAAAAACAAATATTGATAAGATTGAACGAGATGATATGTAAATGGCCTTAAGGGTAAGATTTGGGCTTGAAACAAGTTAATACAGAGCGACGAACAAAAAGCTGTACAAAATGACAGATTGAATCCAGTTTTACAGAGAAAAAGATATTCTGTTTTTTGGTCAACTTTTTTTACCTTTTGCCTGGTTCACCATTTGCCGTCTTGAAACAATCTTATGTTGATTATTTTATTGGATAATGTTTCATCAAAAATGACTCTCTTTGCCTTGATTTATCATCTTTCAACCGTCTTCCAATGTCAACAGAAGAGTGTAACAAGATGAGGAGGAAAACACTTATCAGCTTTAACTCAGAGTAACCAGAAAAGTTATCCGATAGTGTAAGGGAATCAAGAGAGAATCTCTTTTTTTGTCTGTTTCTGTCAAAAAAGCCATGTAAAAAGGTAGCAGCAAACTCATCACCAGAAGCAGCTCTTAAACTTGTTCAACATCAACTACATCGGTTCAACTTGCAAAGTTAAACTTAAATAGAATTGGGCAAAAAAAGAGTAAAAAAATGGTTGAATCAACCGCTGTAGTTGATGATGGTAATGATGAAAGTAAAGATGGTAAACAGAGATGAACAAGGTTTAGATGATATACGATATCGTAGGAGGAGGTTGAGGGAAGGATGTTAATCGATGTCATTCCTCGGTATTCATTGTTGCCTTTGTTTCTCCTCTGATTACATGCTTATAACTTCTAGTTTATGTGCATAATAATGCATGTAATAAAGGTTGCCTGAAGCCAAGTTGATTGTTTTTATCTATACCTGGCTACTCTAATAATGGGACTGTATATGACAGGAACCAACGAGAGGAAGAGAGGAAAGAAGAAAGAAACATTTTCAAAGGGAAAGAGAAGGAAGGAAACAAGGTAAAGGTAAAGGTTTCCCTTTAAAATCATGATGTACAATTTACATTTGTATGCTTTGTGTGTGTGTTTTAAATCACAACCAAGAACATCACAATAGCAACATGCAATGAAACACGCAACCAGAGTGTTCATCACAGGTAAGATGAGGTTTTGTTTCTTCATTTTAATGTTTACCTTTGAACAAAAATTATAAAACATATAAGCTCTTTAATACTCGATTCATTTGCAAATTTTATTTATTTATGTTTACCTTTTCATTTTTGCTTTTTTTGGGTTTTACTGAGTTTTGAGTCTTTACTGGTTCTTGTGACTGGCAACTGGTAATCAAGGAGAAGATGAAAATTTAAAGAAATGCTAGTTATCAATGGATTTAGTTGAATGTTGTTAACTGGATAATAGTTGGATTGTTTTATAACCAATTGTTCAGGTATAATGGCACAATCGTGTTTTATTTTTTTCTTGTTGTTCATTTTCTTTTTTTCGGTTTACCGGTTAACCCATGTTGAAGAGGAGGAGGCTGATGAGAAGAGGATAAATGGAGAGTAAGAAGAGCAACATGATGAAAGGTGGAAGCTAAGGTGAAACATATCAATTAAAATGTATAATGATGCAAGCAGGTTGGGTATAAATATTGTATCTACAGTTGGCAATGGTTTTGTCATGCTTCACATTGTTTCCCATTCACATTGGTTGAGGTACCAAATGAGTGTCACAATTGTGATTAGTCTAATACCTGATGTGCCTGTGTGTGTGTGTGTTTCTTGTTGTCTTTAATGGTTCAATTGGTTTACAAGAGTCGCCAGCCGTCTGTGAATCTTTGGGTTAAAAGGAAAAGTAAATGTTGATGTAAAATGCAAGGTTGATAATGAAATGAAGATGCTGATGGTAAAGATGATGATGAACAATTTAAAAATTTGCAAGAGAATGGTAAAGGAGGAGGAAAAAACAGAAGATCCGGATTCTGATGTCGAGCAAATCAAGGAGTGGTTAGTTTACCATGATAATGGATACAAGTCTTGTGCATACGATTTCATCCTCCATTGGCATATTTTAATACACACACGCATTGTGATACCTAAATGGTTTTCATGAAGTTTACTCATGATAAAAGTGTTGATGAATAGGTTGCATGAAAAGTAAAGGTTAAGAAACAAATGGATATCAAGAGATTAAAGGTTACTTTAAAGGAAACATTAGCTTTTTTTGGCCTACAGTGAAACCAGGGAACACAATGAAATTGATGAAATTCATTCAATTCAATTCATGATGTACATGGTACAAGTCTTTTTTTTGACAAACAGGCGATATAATTATTGTCAAGTGGGACAATTTTACTGAAAGGAAAATCATAGATCACTGTGAAAATAATAGACTAACACAGTCTTTACAGCTATCATTTTGTTCATTGATGGTGTCAGACAGAAATTCAAGTTGTTTCAAGACTAATGATGAAAATGGATGGTGAGACAGATTGAGAGGCATAAAGAGACAGAATGACAAAAAACAAGGAAAGTTGAGACACTTAAATGTAAGGTATTCATGTAACAAAAAAAAGTGACAGCAAAAAAACCGGAAGAATTATCGACAAGCCCAATGTGACCGCATTGAGAATAAAAAATTGTCGCTTTCACTGTCTCTGTGTCTTCCTCCTCCCAGTCATTCTGCATCTTGACTGGTAACAAAAAATTGAGTCATCCTCTTGAGTTTGCCTCTTTCAGGATTTCCGTTGAAAAATGGTGAGTCCTTCAAGCAACAATAAATTAGTCCTACGCTTTTTACTCTTCAACTTTGTCCTCAGCAAAAAGTAAGCGTGCGACCCAGAGTTCAAGAATGGGTGAGAAACGCGTAAAAAGTGAAATGTGAATAAACATTTTTTAGGCAAAAATGAGGATAAATTGAGCTGCAGTTTGATTAAGTGAAACAGGCGAAAAAAGTGAAGACCAGAAATTGAAAAATAACTTGTGGACCAACATCGGCCAACTTGGAGTAAAATGAGGGCGAAGAGGAGATGATGAATGTAAGCTTACATAGCTGTTGTATTAAGTAGCATGTGGCACTTTACTTGTCACCAATAAAAATTGTAAAGTCAAGCAGATCGTCAGACAAGAAATGGTGGCAACAACAAGAAGACATTTAAAAGCGATCAGGTCAAAAATTATAGCTCTCAATTGACTTTGTCCTCATCTAAATTGGATGAAAGAAGGGTAGAAGGAAGATAAAGAGTGAGATAAAAAGTAAGACCAAGAGAGATGATAATGATTAGAGGAAGAGGGATTCAGATGAGTGAACATTTGAATAGCGCTATATCGTTTCTGTCATCTAGTTTCACAGAGAGAGAGAAGAGGAAGATAAGGA